ATATCAAGGTCAAGTACCATTACGTTCGTCAAGAAGTGGAAAACAAAGAGATCATAGTGGAATACGTACCGTCAGCAGACCAAAAGGCTGACGTCCTCACAAAGTCGCTATCTGGAGTTAAGCACGGAGTAGCTATGAAGCAACTTGGGCTCATGTGAAATGTATGTCGATCTTCTTGTTGATTGACAACGGAACTGTTGAGAAGGGGGAGTATTGAGTGCACGGTCCCCTTTCCTGCATGAGGCATCTGAACGGTCAGAATAGCGCACAGGCCTCCTCTCTATGCATGTATATAAGTCTCTTCCAGTTCCTTCAGTCAAGCCCCCACTCGCTATGAATTCGATCTCTTCTCACAACAGCTCGTAGATGGCATTTAACAGCGCAATGAGTCGAATCTTGAAGACAAGACGGCAAGCTATGCCATCATTGATCAGGCGCGATCCAAAATCTGGATCGCAGAGCCAGTCGTAATAAGAGGCATCGCCTAAGGGAAATCCGACCTCATTGGGCTTGCGAAAGCAAAGGGTAAAGACAAGGTGGACCGTCGAAGCTTTGTCGCTTGACGGGATGTCTTGAGCAAGGTTTCCCAATTCGTTGACCAAGCGAGACTTGCCTGTACCGCTGCTCTGCAATATGGCAAGAGAGCGAGAGTGAGGCAATGGATGCCGTCCTGATTCTTCCAAAATGTCTTCTGGCAAACTTGCAACCACGCGGCGACGCTCTTCAGTGAAAGCTGCTTCATAAGTTGCGAGATATTGAGCAAGACGGATATGACGAGTGCCAGCAAAGTTTGCAGTAAAGAAGCTGTGCTCCAAGTGTGAAATGGCATCTGCGTGTCGATGGTCATTGCTGGCATCGAAGCGCATGCCTGTATGACTGCGCAAGCCCTTGAGGATGACGAGCAAGGGGGCCTCGACTGCTGGATCATCGAGTGGCTTGTGTCGTCTGCGTTCCCAATTCGCGCCCATCTCGACTCGCTGCTTGAGATGCTGGATCGTATTCTGGCCCTGGAGGAAAGACTTGATGAATGGAGGGGCGTTGGGATCATCCATCTCGATGTCAATGCTTTCCAAGAGCATGAGTAGGCTTTTGCTGAAGCGTCTCCATTCAGAGCTCTGCGATAATTGTACATTATGCCAGCCTTGCACAACATTGGCCATGTGTCTGCTTTCGTCAGAGGCGATTTTCTCGAGCCACGAGGTGACGCTGAGAGGTACTGGACCAAGAGAGCTGCTGGTGTCACCAGAAGAAGATGTGATGTCTCCCGAGGTGGATGCGGTGATGCTCGATCTATGATAGAACGACTCGGACACATCCCCCATAGTGCTGTTGGCGTCGAGCTGCTGATTCGCATCCAAACCCTCGTCCATTCTCGCCTCTCCATTCATTGTTCGAGCGTGAGCGGGGATGTGAAAGTGAGGGTGGGTGCGACTGCGACTGCGACTGTGAGTGAGGCTGTGACTGTGAATGCAGCTGGGAAAGCGACTGCAAGTGCGATAGCGACTACAGGTGCAAATGTCTCTATCACTTCGAGAAGAGCTTCAATCAGCTTCTAATCCTCCGCCTGACCTTTCTCCCTCAGCCTGCTGCCTCACCTTCGATGCGTGTCGCGGTGTAACCTGCTCAAAGGTGCAACAAGGAGGTGGTCGTGGTGGTGTGGATGGTTCGAGTTACGACTGCGCAGAGTGTGCAAAGGCCGAATCGTGCTAGTGTCGTGTTGATACGAGCAGTCTTGAGGGTCTGCGAGATGGATGTATGAAGAGGGTCAGAGGTGCTGCGAAGGGAGGGCGAAAACGACGTGGAGGTGGATGGATGGATGGATGGATGGATGAGTGGATGAGTGGATGAGTGGATGAGCGAATGTATGCGGTGATGCATGCATGCATGGACAAGGTCGATCAAGAGCTTGGGCGCAGGGGGCCGGGCGGATGGATGGGTAGGACACAACGTCTACCAAGCATCACGAGTACCTGTACTGTATACCCACCCAGACTCGTGACTCGATCAAAGCATTTACAATCAACTCGGAGCAAATCAGCATTCTCTATTCCCACTTCATCAACGCTCTCGAATCGCAGATACAGTGAGTACTAGTGTGAGTGACTCTTGACTCAAGACTCACAAACTTGACTCATCAGAACGAAGTCTGAGTTGTGCTTGCAGGACACGTGATGCGATTCATTCATATTCATGATTCGTGATTGTGATTCTCGATTCGTGAGATGTTCAAGATCCCGAATGCACGCCGATCATGCGTGCATGCATGACGTGCATCGACCCCCGCGGTACCGGTACCGCTTAGCCTGCGTCAGTCGTGCGTCGTGCTTAGATCTCGAGTCTGAGTCTGATGGATGGATGGATGGATGGATGGATGGAGAACAAGCATTTGGCGATACTCTCTCACTCCCACTCACGTTGATGCCCAACCCCCCTCTACAGAACCCCCACGCGGGGGGGCGACCAAACTTGGTCGCGGCCAAGACCACACGCCTTCATGCCCCACCCCATCGCATTCGTGCACACTTCTGAATGACGTGAACATGCGCAAGTCATCGCAGCAGCCCATGTCAGACCCGCGCTGGACGGGCGCCGCCAACATCGTCACCAGCTGCGCCCAAAGCATGGGCCACGAATTGAGGGCACTGCGTCTCACATCGTCGTCTAGAGCGTCTTCCCCCCCCCCCCCCGCTTTTCAAAACTTGCAGCAGCCTACACCAAGAGGGGGGGGGGGGGGGGGGGGGCGAGAATGCGAGGGGACGCAAGTGTTTGTTTTTTTTCAACATTAGGTGACGAAATTCGACACGAGACCCAGCTGATTTCCATCTACACCTCTCTCCTCCTCCTCCTCCTCCTCCTGCTCCTCCTCCTCCTCCTTCTCCTTTTCCTCCTCCGTCGTACCACCGCCTTGATCCGCTGCGAGCAAGCGAGCCAGCAGCTCATCACAAGCTTGCTCCATCTCGCTCGCCAATCCTTCTATCCGCTCCTCGGTCTCGTCGTAAGGTTCGAGAATCTCAAAAAGCTCCGAATAAGCTCCTCTGAGCTTTGCCAGATCCGCACGGATGGGTTTGGTCCCTATGCGAGCTTCGATTCGGCGCAGAGGCGGAGCGAATGCTGGTCAGCGCTAGCCGCACGGCAGAATGGAAATAGAGACTGGGAAAAAGTATAAGATGCGGCTGGCTCACCTTTGCAGCAGCACTGCACGAGCTCCGCAGCTTCGTCGAAATAGCTCCTCTGAACGGTCAAGTGTTCCTTCAACCTGCTATGCATCCTCTCCCGCTGCTTGCCATTCAACAACAGCGATCCTGCGCCGCTAGAAGCACAACGGGCAAAGCGTCTAGCAGATGCGACGGCTTCTGTCAAAGAAGCGTAAATCACCCCCATCGTTTCCTTTAAAGCCTCGAACTGCACCCGCGGTGGAGAAAGGGGGGAATGCGGTTGCTGCATCAGCTGCAGGGCGCAAGGCAAACCGAACGCAGTGTTTGGCGATGCCAAGCTTCATCGACGCAGCACTCACCTGGCCCTTGGCTGAGAGGTACCTCTGTTCCAGATCGATCAAGAGGGACTCGGCAGATGCCTGGTGCTTGAGCGCATCGTCAGCGTCCAAGCTAGCGCGCCTGTCCACGTCCATTCCATCGTTTTGATGTGAGAATGCGGGAAAAGTGAACGGGTAGCTCTGCAATTCGTTCATGCTGCCGTGGTCCATCACAGGTCCAGCGGCACCGCTGCCAGCGCATCGCGCGTCTGCTGGACGAGCGGTGGGCGTCTTTTGATCCTCCATGCCTCCTAGCAACAGTCCACCTGGCACTTGCAGCGAGCCCTGGAGGCGAGTGCCTGTGATCGGATAGCTGCTGCTGCTGCTGCTGCTGCTGCTGTTGCTGTTGCTGATGCTGCTGATGCTGGCACCGCTGCTGTCCGCGACAATGCGATTGGACGAGTCTTGACTGGATGAAGAGGTGGACATGATGGATTGTCTTCTGCTGGCGTCCCTCACAGCGATGGCCGCCTCCACCATCTTGTCCACTCCGCCTGCGGCGCCTCTAGACTGACTACACGCGGCAAACGACACCGCTTTGGACACTCCTGTGCCGGTCGAGCTTGCGCTAGCGCCAGCTAGCGAGGAGCGAGCTGAACCCGGGTAGGATGCGCTGCTGCTCTGATTTCCATGCTCGAGCGTGAGGAGGCGGGATAGCAGATCGGAACCTTGCGCGACGTTGTACGTAGCGCTCTGAATGAAGAGAGGGGCAAAAAGGAGAATTCCAGCATACGACTCGCCGCGTAGCTCGCCTGATCCTGCTCACCTGAACGTGGGCCATGACATCCTCGAAGCCCATGTTGAGCGGGGTTGAGAGCGAGAGAGGCTTGGGATGTGCTGGTGCTAGTGAGCTGAAGCTAGCATATGGTGTGGGGGGGGGGGGGAAAGGGGAAGATGCCGGTTGAATGCGTGGAAAGTCGCTGGTATATTTGTTTTGCGTGGGATGCGATGCTGAGGCTTTGTGAATGAAAGCGAGATGAGTTGCGAAGTGAGTGTGAAATGAGGAGCTTAGAATGTCGAATGCGGACGCGGGTCTAGCCTGGACGCAAATGTCGGAGCGGCAAGTCGGAGTTGGAGTCTGATGAGGACAGGTACAAATTGCTGTTGTTCAGTCATTCGCTCGTGCCTCGAATGCCGCCTTTCTGATCGGAGATGTGGTCTCTCTAGAGAGCGTGTGGTTCCCGATCAGAGTCGCGAGTCACGAGTGGGATGCGGTCACGGGTATGGGTGTGGGTATGGGTATGGGTATCAGTCTGAGTATGGGAGGATAAGGAGGTGAAGGCGCAAGCAAAAGGCAAGGCCAGGCCCGGGATGATCAGCTGATGTGAGTGAGTGAATGAATGAATGCATACATACATGCACACATCGGCGCTGCTCAATTCACGATTGGATTTGATGATTGCGCAATTGCATGTGGGGGCGACTTGGGCGTCGTGATTGATTTGGCTCAGCAGCGCACTCAGACTCGCACTCACCACTATACTCTCACTCATCACACTCTCACGCACGCACACCTTCCCATCCACTCCTTACGCAAAGCGGCCCTGTCGAGTCTTCACTCAGAGTAGTAGCATCATGGCGTGGCATGGCACGGCATGGCACGGCACCGCACCGCATGACCCTTCTTCGGTATGTTCTGTCCCAGCATCACATCCACATCCACACCCACACCCACATCCACATCCACATCCAAATCGTAGCGTGACTATTTGCAACACCCCGAGTCGTGAGTCGTGAGTCTTAATTTCATTCCCAGCGGACCTACTCATGCAGCTAGGGCCCATTCTCGACTTTGACTTGCAAAAGCCTAGATTCTTGATTCTGCAGCTGATTCTTGATTCGCGCGCATGCATGCAACGCCCCCGAAGAGCTTTGGTGAGACTTGGCGCGCGCCGCCCCCGCTCCCCCGTCCGCCGATTGAACACGTGACTCACTCTTTCATGATTCGCGCCCCGTACTTGCCCTGCGCACGGACGCGCGCGCGTTCCCCCTCAGTTGCGTATATGCCCACCGCAGAAGAGGCGTGCGTGCGTGCGTGCGTGCTGGATCGCGTGTGCGTGTATAGTGTAGCCTTCACAACTCCGCGCCGACCGCTTGCTTCTTGCCGTGTCAGGGTCACATTCACGATCAGCTAGACTCATGACTATTACAGCCCCCTCACACACGCACCATATACGCGATTCGAAGGCCACTGACTGCTGTCCCATCTGGATCCGCGCTCCCCTCCCCCTCACACGCTCACTTACAGCATGGAGTCCAAATTGCAATCCCTCAAGGTCACCGAGCTCAAAGCTTTGTTGCAACGAGCAAATCTGGCACAGACTGGAGTGAAAGCGGATCTCGTTGCAAGGCTATTAGAATCCCACGCCAAAGGATCGCTCAACGGCTTGAGCTTGGAAAGCGAGTTGGGCTTGCAGAATAGCGCGGCAGCTGCTGCTGCTGGTGGTGGTGGTGGTGCAGGCGTGCCAGGGAGCATCAAGGATGGACCCAACCTGCTGGGTGCGGACGACGACAAGGCGCAAACAGAGTCGGACTTGGTAGGATTACCAAACGAAGCGTCGGATCCCGTCAAGCCTGATGCGCAACCCGTCGCTGCTGCCGCGACGACACGCGCCGTGGACGCCAAAGCGAGCGAAGAGGAGACAAAGACGTTCCTGGCGGATCTCACCAGGCGCAGAGCTCGTCAGGCGAGGTTCGGAGAGTCGACGAGGGATCTGGATGCTCAGATTGAGCGCATTCAAAAGTTTGGTTTGGAGAGCAACAGCGCAAAGGAAGCTGCTGCTGCTGGGCCCGCTGCGTTGTTGAGCAAGGGCTTGGATGAGATTGGCAAGCAGAAGAAGGAGGCGAGGAGAGCTGCAGAGGTGCAAAAAGTGGACGGTAAAAAGGGTGGCGTGGCATTGGATAAGGCTCTGAGCGCGACAAAGCCGAGCAAAGCAGGTGCTGCCGCTGTCAAGAAGGCAGAGACTGTGAGTGTACTTGCAAGCGGTATTGGAGATTGTCGATGGTAGACGTAGGGCGTATGCCACTGCGACTTGTGCGTCTCGCCCCCATGGCCCCCTCCGTGCATCTGCTTACCTCGCCCCTCACTCACTCTGGCAGCCCGAAGAAGCTGCAGCTCGCAAAGCGCGTCAAGAAGCGGATGAAGCTGCCAAGGCCTCTCGCGCAAAGAGGTGGGGTTTGCCAGAGCCAGCGAAAGGGGCATCGTCGGCGGGTCAAGTCGACGCAAAGAAAGGCGCTGCTGCTGCCGCTGCAGCTATCGTCGCAGCTGCACCTGTGGACCCGCTGGAGGATGAAAAGAAGAGAAAGAGGGCTGAAAAGTTTGGAACGGGCGCACCTGCAGAGAACAAGAAGGTCAAGAGTTGAATTTGGGGCGATCGAGTCGATGCGAATGGGGGGCCCAACGTGTCCGACTAGCCTATCGAGCAAAAGATTTTGCGGCAACCATTACCAGTCGCTCCACTCAGCGGCACAGACAAAATGTTGACGGGCCACTTGTGCTCGTGAATCCTTGCATCTCCCTATTTTGGGAGAGCGCAAGAACAACGCGTACTCCTTTATATGAAGCGTCATTGTACAATCTTCAATCTACCACAACTTCAAACCATGACGCCGTGGGGGGGGGCAAGAGCTGTATTCGGACCCGAGAGTGCGCGCATGTGTGTAGGTGTGCGCCGCTCCTTTCACGCTTGCGCTTGAGAATACACGATTCGCACCTCGAAATTTACAAGGATTCGAGATGACCATCTCGACCAAACCTCGGGCTGCAGCAGCTAGGCGGACCAGGCGGACCCCCCAGTACAGGCACGCAGCAGCTTATGCACAAGGGCACGAATCGCTGCCCCCTGACTGGATCAAGGGCATCCATCCCTTTGCGCGCTCTCAGCCCAGCTTCCACCCCAAGACTTTTGTGTGACCCTTCGACGTCACCTCGATTTCCGAATGCAAGGCTTTGCGCTGTTGTGCCCCCACATGCAGTCTTGAAGTATACAAACCAACCAAGAAGTCTGATGGGGATCGTAAAAGTTTCTCCAATTTTTCTCGAATGTCACGTGTCGAATGGCGCCGAAATCACGTGAACGACATGGCCACCCAAATCAAAATCTTGAATCACGAATCAAGAATGCAGATGCATGACACAACTTCCTCGATTTCTCGACTCGCACTATAGGGTCGCCTGCCTGCCTGCCTGCCTTGGCGCACGCATGATGTTGCGCATCTTGGAATCGAATCAAATGACATCCGACGCTTGTTCGCCGTCGACCATCAAGCTTCATAGCGTCACGCCTTGCCTCCCCAGCCAATCCATGCTACACCAAAGCATCATCATCACACGCACCACGATCTGAAGTCTTGCCCAGCCCCCCAAGTCTTTTCACTTTTTTCAACTCCTCACGATCTCCGTCATTGCAGCGCATGTATGCGCATGTTTGCGAGATGGTCAAAGCGCTTGCGACTTGAAGCGCAGCTCCACTCCACCTCGCGCGCTGGCTGGCAGTCTAGGGCCTTTAGTCGCGGTGGTGCGAAACCAGTCACGGCCAGCGGCAATCATGTCCTCCTTCCCCTCCCTCACGCAATCACCTCCACACTGGACAAGGGCAAAGGCAGAGAAATGGGGTCAGGGTCAGGAGGCGTGGATGAGCAGATTCGGAAGCGGATGCGGATGCGGATGCCTGCTCGTCGTCTGGCGCATAGCCAAGCGACGACGTCCAAGGTGACCCTTGAAGATCAGCCGCCCGCTGCTGCCCCACCTCGTGCCGACGTCAGCATGGACGCGCGCACATCATCTCTTGAAAGCAGACCTCGCCTTCCTTCTCTTCTCGCAGAAGCTCCAGTCCCATCGCGTGCCTCGAAGGAGGAGAGGGAATGGCGCCCGGTAGACATGCTATCGCGCTGCCTTAGAGCAGGTTCTGTAGGCTACCCCAATCCGGACGTCGTGTGGCGCGCGTACAGGGACGCCATCAACAGCGGAGCAGACATTGCACCCGGCACCCTCCATGCTGTGCTGCACGTCGTCGCGCTGCCCTGGAGCGGTGGGAAGGGCAGCGGCAAAGCAAGACTCGCTCCTCCGTCATCCTCCGTATTGCGTCCAGGTGCGCACGGCAATGTGGATTGGGAGTACATTGCCTCCACGCTGCAAGCTCGCATCGTCGGTGACAAGACCATCAGCGAGCGATCTGCCCTCAGAGTCATCGCCGTCCTCTCGGCCATAGAGCGAGGACTGGCCACAGCGCGCAAAAGGGTCCACGCCATGGCCAACGGTCTTGATCGCAGCAGCAGCAGCAGCAACAGCAGCAATAAGAGCAACGGTAACGGCGACAGCAACAGCAACAGCACAACACCCGTCGCATCGCATAACGTGGATGTCCATCCCATCGTCGCGCCTTGGCTGGAGGTGCTCGACGCTCCTCTGACAAGGCAAGTCACGGCGCTGGCGTTTGCGCATTCTCGCAGGGGCACAAATACGGAAAGCATGCGAGTGGGTCTCAAAGCGCTCTTTCCTACTCTCGTACCCGCAGCGCATCCTGCCACCCAACAGGAAACGCGATGGCAGGGTCGATCGGTCGCTTCAGACTTGCGGCAGGAAAGTCGTTCGTGGCGCGACCAAATCAGCACTGCTTTGGGCTTGATAGAGGACACTCTGAGCGTGTGGGATGGATCGCTCGCTGAAGAGCTGCGCGAAGCAGACCTATCGTCGGAAGAGCAGCACACATTGAAAGAGAGATTGATTTCCATCAGTCGACTACGTCTCGAAGTGGATCTGGACGCGTACACTCAGCCGCCCTCCCACCGCGCGTCGCCGCCGGCGATGTCGGCCCAGGTGCACGGTCGCGCTGACCGCATAAAGCACGCTCTGCACCTCCTCGATGCCATTGCGACTCGCAGGCAGCCGAACTCGGCTTCAAAGGGAGACGATAAGTCCCTCTCGCTCGATCCGCACGATGCTGCCAGTCTCTTTGCGGCCCTCTGGCCCACTCAGCGCATCGATGCGTCCCGCAAAGACGACGTCATGTCCCTGCTCGGGATGCAGATCAAGCTTGCTGCTTTGCGCGCTAGAGCCGTAGCTAGGCTGCGCAGCTGGGATCGCAGCATTCTACGCGGAGATGATCAGGTGGCTGCGACGTTGGATGAAGAGGAGCCGTTTGGACCAGTGCGCAAGCTGCTAGGTCAGTTCTCGCGACGAGGCATCCTCAGCATTCATCACGTCAACAGGGTCATGTATGCCAGCATGAGGTACGCCAGCTGGAGGAGATGGTCGCCGCACTACTTTCCCGCCTCGGGAAACGTCTCGCCTGGTGCGGGCGGCAAGGGCCCACCCAAATGGTTTCTCGCAGCCGAAAACGACGAGGCTAGGACTCCGCGAGAGATCGTTTGGCCCACGTGGAAAGATGTCAAGCAGACGTATGCCGCGCTGAGGGGCGAAGAGGACAGCTCGAGCAACGATCTCTTGGATGGCGAGCGCGTGACCTTGACTCCGAACAGGACGACGTACAGCATGATGCTCAACTTGGCCACGTTCAGGGGAGACTTTGATACGGCTTTGAGCGTGCTCAACGACATGAGACGCTCATCTCCACCTGCGCAATATTCACGATCTCAACTTGCCGCGGAGGCAACCGCGGAGGCAGCCGCGGACGCGGAGAGGGTCGCTGAACTTGCATTGCATAGCTGCGAAGAGCAGCTCGAAGTGGGCCGTGAGTTCGGAAAGCGGCGCGATGCGCAGCCGAGCATGGCAGAGTACCTCGCCTTCTTCAAGGGCTTTGCGAGGCACGGTGTCAAAGTGCCCTCTCCGCCTCGAAAGAGCAGCGAGCAAGAAGAAGAAGAAGAAGGGGAAGAAGAAGAAGAAGGAACGAGGCACAGTAGTACTTTGCCGATGCCAAGCTTTGCAGCCCGCTCGGACTCGGACTGGACGCTGGAGAATTTGGAGCTCATTTTCCACTCCTTTCTCAACATGAGCCCCGGCAACGCCTACCCTGTCCGTTCGGATCGAGCGCTGAGAAGACGCATAAGAGGCGCCGCGTCGTCGTCGTCGTCGACGAGCTCGTTGGAAGCCAGGCAGCAGCAGCAGCAGCAGCAGCAGAGCTCTGCGCATCATCAACGCTCTCTAGAGATCGACGTTGCCGCAGCAATTCGAAAAGATCGAGCATCTCAAGGACCCGCACCTTTCGTTGCGCGCGCACCAGCCGCTTCTCAGCTTCACACCATCCTCTTGGCTCTGCGCAGAGTTTCCAACGACCCGAGCTGGGTCTTGCAAAGGTGGGATGCCGTGGTGGAAAAGTTTGGAGGAGAAGAAGCGCAACGGGCACCTTTGACCGCTAGGGACGAAACGTTGCGCGAGCACGTCGTTGAGCAAGAGGAGTGGGTGGGTTGGAGATTGTCTGGTCGAAGTAAAATCCTTCTCAAACAGCTGCACGCCGAGGAGCAGCGCCGATCGAGTCACACGTAGTCTTTTGTATCGTGGCAATGCATATTTACTTTCACGATTGGGATTCGGCGGAGGGGCCGCGCCAAACGCGTTCGGAATCTTCATGCAGCCAGCCCCACACCAAGACGCGTTTCGAGGCATGATCAAGCTTTATACCCGCTTCACCCTCTGCAGTCTGATAGGCAGCGCATCTTGTCCGATGAGATGCGTGTCGTCGTCCGTAGAACTGCTGCCAGCACCCAAGATTCTCGGTCCATCGCCTACCCTGGTGTGAATCAACCTTCGAACCGCACCCGCCTCCGAGACTGGAATGACGCTCTTGTTAAAGGTGCTGGGCAAGTCTGCCGACGACAAGCCGTCTCGTGGCAGGCTGGGGAGCAACTTGAACTAGAGCGGCGGACGTGGGCGTGACGAGTCAGCGAGGCGGGGTGTTTCCGGCGCTCTCAGCGAAATACGTTGGAGCACTCACGGGATCGTCAAAGTCGGCATTGGGAAAGTAATGCCGGATGAGGGATAGGACCAACGGGACATTCTTCTCTGGTGCGTAGAGCACGGCATTGGGTCCCGCATCGAACGTGTAGGCCGCAATTGCTCCTGCGCCAGCTCCAGCTTGCTCGCTGCTCCTGTTGAGCTCCTCGACGAGCTGAATGACGAGCCTGCTGGTATCGTTGAGGTAGAAGATGGGAGGAGAGGTATCGAGGCACGTAGCGTGGAAATTGTTGGAATCCCTCATCGTCTCTTTTGCAAACGCATCGAAATCCCTTTGCTTGATCGCGCTCGTGATTCTCTGCATCCTCTCTGGCACGACGTGAGAGATGCGGGACTGCAAAGCTGCAGAAGTCTGAACGGTCCTCTGCATACCTGCAGTGGAAGGCGTGCCCTTTTTGGCATCGCTGATGACGCAAATGATGGCGTGCAGATCCTTCCAATGTTCCCTCTCCGCCACTTGAAGCGCCAGACTGTCCGATCCATCCTTTGCCTCACCTCCTTGCCAAGCTACAAACCCGCCGAACAGGGACCTGCACGCCGATCCGCTTCCTTGACGCGCGACGCGAGAAAGCGCAGATGTGGAAAGATGCCCGCCTGAATCGCTGTTGAGTTGGTAGAGCGAAGAGATGGACCAGACCAGGGCTGCGAAGCCCGAGGCGGATGATGCTAGACCCGCAGCCGTTGGAAAGTTGTTCTCGCTGACAATGTGTAGCGGCAAGTGGGCGATCTGCGCAGCGCCAGCGCATCGCATCGCAGTGCGGTGCGGTGCGGTGCGGTGCGGTGCGGTGCGGTGCGCGGTGTGCCTTGTCAGCCCACTCGGATCACTCCACGCCTATCCTTCTGAGCGCATGTATGCTTCCCTGCTTCATCTCGATCGACCGCACGCGCTCGCTCGCTCGCTGGCTGGCTCACCTTTTCCACACCACCATCCTCGCCCTCCACCTTTCGCCTAGCGTTTCGGAGCTCGTCGATGCAGGTGCGCAGTCTGCCCTCGCTTCCAATCTCCTCCTCTACACCATTCAACCAAAGCCTGTCCTTGCTTGCTGCTGCTGCTGCTGCTGCTGCTGATGCTGATGCTGATTCGCCCTGCTCCTCCTCCTCCTCCACCTCGACAGCAGCGCTGCTAGTCAAGCTCCTTAGATGATCCTGATCCAGCGTGACGCTGAGACTGTCGTTGGTGGGCAGGATCAGCTTTGTGTCCTTCTTTCCCCAATACTTGACCACTGCGATGTTGACAGGCGCAGAAGCTGTCGCGATGCGCTTGATCCGTGCCATGGTGTGTGCGTGCTTTGGGGGGCAATGGAATGGAATGGATTGGGTGTGATGGAGTGGGACTTGAAGCAGCGTGCGTGTTGTGCCAGCGCCGAGTGCAGTCAGTGATTATGGCAATTATAACCCATGCAATCAAATCTCACGTCACAGATCGCAATTATTGAATGATCCTTCGCTGCTCTCATCTCGTCCTTGGCGGCCCTTTGGTTCGCGCGTGTGTGTGTGTGTGTGCATGCGAGCGCGCGCGCACGCTAACCAAAGCTCTTCCGCGCTGTCTTGTCGTGTTGTTGCACTTCTTCCAATAACGCGCAATCACGCCACGTGGCTCACGTCGTCGCTCAAATCTGAATTTGTGAATCTTGAATTTGAATGCTGCTGTGAATAGATGATGACGCCGATCAATTAGGGCAGACGACGTGACGGTTAATTCTGCATGCGATCGAGTCGCGAGTCACGACTTTTTGCGTGAATTGCATGACTCCGTACATTTACTGCGCACGGGCCGCGGTCCGGTCCGGTGCCGTGGTTGATATGCTTGCTTGATCGAGACAGAAGTGAGCGAGCGAGCGAGCGAGCGGGGGATGCTTGCGCATTCGTGATTGTGCTTTGCGGGGACGGCCCCTCATGCAGCACGAATTCATTGATGCTGCTCATTCACGATTCCAATCGATGCGAGTTGAGTGATGACGAGTGTGAGATTGAAGGTCAAATCGCTCACATCTTCGCCCACCACCATCACCATCACCACCACGGCTACAAAGGCATTCATTCATTCCCTGCCCAGCTCTCCAATACCCTTTCGCAATGACGCCCGCTCCGACTGCGTCGACCGCAGATAGAAGAGAAGAGCACACCAACGATGCAGCCCCTCGAGCATCAACATCCACATCCACATCCGCATCCACATCGGGCTCATCTTCCGCCTTACCAGCACATCCCACTCTTGCACCCCCTCTACCAGGTATCATACCACCCGGTACTCCCTTTACGCAATCCTTGCACGAACACTTGATCTACTTGGACAGGCAGAGCAATACGTGGAGGTGCGAAGCGGGCGAGGAGAATGCTAGGCAAGGAATACTCGAGCTGGAATGGAGGATCGCTGCGGTGGTCCCCTCCTCCTCCTCCTCCGTTCCCGCATCCGAAAGGCAAGAGGAACAGAGAGATGAGACGTCGATGTCGACGTCGACAACGAGTCGCAGAGAGGGTCACGGGAGATGGGTGCCTGTACTGGATGAGGAGGTGCTCAGGCAACAACAAGCGGCGTATGGAGTTGCGGGCGTCGATGAGGAGGTGAGCGGCTGGAGGAAGGGGGGGGGGAGGGGGGGGGCGGGGGGGGCTCGGGGAACGTACAGGTCTAAGCCCCTTGGCGAGATGCGAAGAAAGGCAATGCTCAGCTTACAAATTTTCTTTTGGTCATGCTACGCTGTGCTATTCGCAGACGCCAGCTGCACCCATCGCGCGTCGCTTGGCGAAACGCGGTGCCATTGCGGATCAAGGCGATGCAGCAGCCGATGGAGAATCGTCGCGAGCTGGCAAAGCTCGCAAGGTGGGGGAAGCGAAAGCGAAAGCGAAAGCGCCGCGCGCAGTGACCGCCGTGTACGTCACCGGTCTACCTCTCGACACGAGCGTTTCGGAGATTGCCCAGGTGTTTGGCAGGTACGGCGTGCTTTCGGAGGATAATGAAGGGAATGCGAGGATCAAATTGTACACTACGGATCAAGGCGCGCAAAAGGGCGAAGCGCTGGTCAGCTATTTCAAAGCCGAGAGCGTGGAGTTGGCTATTCGCGTGCTGGACGAGAGCTGTCTTCGTGCAGCGCAAGGAAAGACGAGCCCGGTGATGAGCGTCCAGAAGGCGGAGTTTGGCAGTGCGGAGGTGGGCGGGACAGCAGGGGAGGGAGGTGTTGCAGCTGCTGCTGCTGCGAAGGAGGAAGCCCCGGCAAACAAACCTGCCAAGAAGCCTCTGCGGTCCGACGCGGAGAAGAAGCAAGCAGCGAAGCGATACGCCAAACTCAATGGGTGAGTAGTAGTGGTGGGGTGCACAAGGTAGCGGACTGTGGGGAACGACTTGCTGATTCCAAGCTCAACGATTTCTTCCCGCATCTTTCTCCTCCCTCGACACCGCACAGCAAACTCACAGACTGGGATTCTGATGAGGACGATTTCGGACCAAAAGGAGCTCAAGAAAGGCCAAGCGGTGCAGGTTCATCGACCCAAAGTCGCATCGTCATTCTCTTGCGCATGTTTACGCTGGCCGAGTTGGACGAGGATCCGACGTTGCTGTTGGATCTGAAGGAAGATGTCAGGGAAGAGTGCGAGACGATCGGCAAGGTCACCAATTGCGTGCTGTACGATGTGAGCGAGGCGGAAGGGTGGGATTGGAAGAGGCTCTCCAAACTATAGCCTACGTTGCCGTCCGAGATTCCCTCGCCAGTACTTACTTCCTCACTTGCTGCCTCGCAGAAAGAGCCTGAAGGCATCATGAGCGTCAAATTCGCGACGCCAGCAGCCGCGGTAGCATGCGTACAGGTGTGTATTACTGAAAAGGGCACTTCAAAGAGGCCGCTGCGAAGTATGCTCCGCTTACACACATGGACCCCCCTTCTCCACACCCCCCTTTCTACACGGGCGGTTTGGGCAGAAGATGGACGGCCGATTCTTTAGCGGTCGCACAGTGATTGCCTACTTGGCCGATTCCAAGCCCAAATTCCGCAGATCGGGAATTGGAGAGGGTAGCGATGAGGAGGAGGAGGAGGAAGGTAGACGTGCGGATGCGTTTGGAGAGTGGTTGGATCAGGGAGGTGGATGAAGCGCAAGACGGCGGTCTTTCTCCCCCTCTCTCTATATCTCTCTAGAGATCTTCGCAAGAGGGCCGTGCAGCAAGGCAAGTGCATGCACGGGGTGCGGCCACTTGACTGTCAAAGCTGCGCCTCAGAAGCTTGTGTCGCAGTAGGCGTCTGGCCAATGGGGCCGCTCCCACGGACTACACCGGTCTGTGCATCTGGCGGATAAAGGCTGAACCCAATGCGCATCTCGATAGATCAGACTGTGGATGTAAACATGCTTGAACCGTGTTCGACCGACTACGCTATGGTTGCGAATGGGGGGGTATCTTCGTGCGTTGACGAATGTGATGAAGGAAGGGGGACTGGGCCAGTAGGACCCTGATTGATGCCTCGTTCGCGTTTGAACGGTGGAAATATGCATCATCGAGCGTCGGGAGCGGAGGGAACAAGCCACCAGGCGAGGGCTGTCCAGACTTGAAGCACAGCCAAGAATAGCAGAGCAATGGGCAGAGAGAGCGGATGTTCGCTGCTCGCATCGTCGTGTTGTCCAAAGGCACGCACAAATTCTAGCAGGGTCTGAGCAAGCGCAGCTCCGAGCAACAAGCAGAGGACAGAAGTGACCCTCTTGCGCCCAGCATTGGCCAAGAGGGGAAAAGTGGGATCGGCAAAGATCTGAGTCAGGGTGGCTGCGAAGAGGTTTTCAAGAGCGAGGGCCGAAGGAGGTGAGCAAGCTCTGCGGGGGTTTTGTTCATCGACATTTGCCCCCACCAACCCCTTCCCCCCGCCCCCTTTCACCCGCCGCGTACACTCTTGACTCACCTGTAAAGACGACGGTTGTGGCCCAAGGCGCATTACCGCTCCTTTGACCCTGAGCAGCTTGAGCACCCATGCTGACGGCAAGCAAGCCCAGCATGATGGGACCCCACCGACCTGCAAGTTGCCAGCCCTGCCGATGTTCGAAGAATGCCAGCGCAGCAATGACGCACGCTACGATGGAGCCGCACAGGGGTGTGAAGAGCAAGCGCGCACGATGAGAGGATCCGAAGCGTGATATGCCTAGCTGGCAGAGGTAAGCGCCGAGGGAGAAGCCGAGGATGGAAGAGAAACTGAGGGAAAGACGCTGCAACAGCTCATCGCGGGGTAGGTTGGTGGTGCTGGTGGTGCTGGTGGTGGCGGCGGTGTTGTAGGCGTCGAGTGCAGGGCGACGAATGGAAATGGAGATCAGACTGACGAGCGAGATCATGAGCTGCGTCAAGTTGCCCGTCTGTTGGCAAGAGGCACAGCAATTAAGAGGTCATGGTGATCAGTGCACGTCATGAGATCAGTTCCTACCGCCCCCTCTCCTCGATTCCCCCCCGCCCCAACCGCGTACGCGTGGATGTGGATGGATGCGCGGCTCACCATGAATGCGACCCAGGTCTTGGTGGTGCCATGTGCAGCAGCATCGACAAACCCAGCGACGATGCACTGCAAAGCCAAAGCGATACTTGCTGCTCTGCTCTGCGTCTCTACTTGATCTGAAAAGCTTCGAGGTGGAGCGGCGACGGGCCTGCTGCTGTTGCTGTTGCTGCTGGATGCATGGTCGTCGTGATTGCGCGCAGATGCAGATGCAGCAACTGATGGCAGTAGGGGTGTGGACTCGTTAGAGGTACGAGTGGACATGATGAGCAGCGAACGCGGAGAGAGAGAGAGAGAGAGAGAGAGAGAGAGAGAGAGAGAGAGAGAGAGAGAGAGAGAGAGAGAGAATGTTCGAAAAGTGCAGCGACGAGGCGATGGGGGGAAGTGAGTCGGTGGTGAAGGAGATTCTTGATTCGTGATTGCTGTACAAAGGACTCGAACTCTTGATTGCATCATGAAATGATACACCGACCGCTCTCTCTGCCTTGATTCGTGATTCTGATTGCAGCAAATGCCCACCGCCTGCCCGCCCGCCAATCCTCCACTTTTGACTCGGACTCGGAAATCTTGAATGGTGAATGCAGCGTGATGTGAGAACAGGCGATCACGTGAGCCCAAATTAGGGTTTGCGGCATCGCAAGGGTCGCCTGCATGCTTGATTCACGTGATTCGCGCGATTCATTGTGATTCGATGCCAAGATTCTTGAATGAGCGGAGCGCATGGACGCTCTCGATGCGATCTCCAAAGACACGAGTGGTGAGTCGATGTAAGCATCGACGCATCCACTCTAGCATCGTGCAAAGGTCGAATCGGCAAACGAAGCATCGAGCTCAACACTCAAAAACATCTCTAGTCCGATTCGGTGGATGCATCTCATCCCGAAAAAATGAGGATGCGCGCTGGTGGATGGATGGGAGGAGTCATGGATCACAGTGAGAATCACGTGAATGAGAATGACCAGCCGGCATGCTGCTCCCGCAATTTTGAATCACATGAGCCACGCTTTTTTTGAACTTGTCAGACTTACGATTCACCCTTGAGATTGTGCTTGTGCTTGGAATGTGGAGACACTGCGAAGCTCTGCACCGAGGTACTGTACCGAAGCATGTGCCATCCACACCCACCCACATCCACCACGTCAGTCAGTCAGTGCTGGGTGTAGACTTGCTTGGGAATCCGGCTCGCAAGTCCGAATCAAATTCTACTCTGCTCAAAGGCTGCACATCATCCCACGCTTCAGGTCTGTCAAGGCGTGCGTGCGCGCAAAGACGTGTCCCCACTTTGCTACATGCAGTCGCTCATTCGTACCTTTGCACCTGCCCGGCCCACACCTCGATCCGCTGCTCGTGAGACGTGAGTCACGAGTGTGCCATTCGTGATTTGAATGGCGCACTCATGACTGACTGGGACACAATGCACTTCGATGCATTCCCTCTGCTCCCTCAACATTTTGCCCCCCTTCGTAGGCAAAACGCTACATGGGTCTATAGCGGCGATTGCAGCTCAGGCACACTCGTGACTCGAGAATTGGACGATTGCATGGAAACGCTGTCACCCGTCAGATACGATCGTACGCTACGCCAGGCCACACGACGCGAAAGCTGGAAAGCGCGCATGCAGGTTCACTTTGATCATCGTATGTGCCGTCGCACCTTGCCAATCATCCGCTCGATCGTCATCACTATTGAGTGCACACTCCGGCTAAACGGTTGGCGTAGACAAGTACTTCTTTCGATTGATTTGCGACGATGCAAGGCAAGTGAGGGCAGGGAACCCCTTTGCCCTTCCGTAATCCTCTTCGGCACGTCTTTAGGATCAGACAGACTGCGTCCAGCAGACCCAAAGATCATTTAATTTCGAGCCACCCTTTGTGCATGAAGTCTTCCTCGTCTTCCTCGTCTTGAACCTGCAGGCGAGTCGGGATGGCAGAATAGTCTGTTCAGACAGGAACACGGTCACCACACGGCACCTCGTGCCATCTGTAATTACTGCAATCATTGACTCTGACTGGCCGCACGCGCGTCATTGACGAAGGATGGATGCAGTCGTTGCACGCACTCTGACTGCGGCTCGGGCTTGCCAACGACCTTTTCAAGCCAACTCGATCGCATCCGCGAGAACGGGGGGCAGCACGCTTTGTCCCTCAATAAGCAGCACAACTTTGGGAATCATCGGTAGGTAAGAGGCGTCGAGGTAATGCTGCTTTCTCCCAGTTCAAATTCGCAAAGCTCTACTCTGCTCTTTCCCGCCCCATTCGTTGAGTGCCGATTCGCGCGCATGTCTGCCCTGAAGCTTGTACACTGCGCTGGTTCTTCCCGTTTGCTGGACACGCTGCGCTTTGCCGATACGCCACGGGAATTGGCCAAGGTGTGCAATGGCACGGACTGCTCTTTCCGGCCTGTCTTTTAGATCAATAGCGTCGAGTGCTTTTCCGAGCACTAGGGCGATATACAGTACAGCTTCGAGCCTCGCCAAGCAGTCGTTCAGAGCATACCGTGTCGCTTCAGCCTGACACAATAGATCGCACCTCACCAAGCCCCGCACACAGCACAGCGAAGGGTATAAGATCAAGCATTGTCGCTTGCTCCACCAAGTTTTTCGCTCGTCGTCCGAACCTCGAATCCCACCATCCGCCGCTCCTTCTCTCCCATTTCGTTCCAAAAACCCCCACGCACATCATGACTCCCCTCACTCTCCTCATCGCTGTAGTCGTCGCCAGCGCTACCATGCTGACCTCAACGTTGGCGCTGCCTAGCCTCGACAAATTGCAAGCCAGACTTGAAGCTGGACACGGACTCTTTCCCACGCTCTTACTGGGAGGCGCCGCTACAGTGGCAGATGGCCTCTCCAACGCTGCCGAAATCTACGGTAGCCAGCTGCGCGATGAGTGGGTCGCAGAGATCCTAGGCGAGGCGACCCCGACGTAAGTGACGTGATGCCCCTCTTTCCGGCGCTTCCCCCAAGCTGAAATGATCTCCGCCCTGCCGGCAGTCTGACCACCGGCGCACTTTCCGCGCTCCCTTTTCAAGGAGAAGCGCTGCAGAACATCACCCTTTCGCTCGAGACGATTCGCAACCTTACCATCGATGACCGCGAATTGAAGTTCAACCAAGACGATACGGGCAGTATCCTGGTGAGCTTCAAGCCTCAAGTGTACCAGAATCTGGTCGACGCGCTGGTGAAGAATGTCACCATCAATGCTCGCATCAAAGGAGGAAATGGCAATGCGATCCAAGTCTCCTATCGCTCTTCGAAGCTCATCGAGGCGTGGGACCTGACTTTTGAGGCCCTCGGACCGCGTTTGTGAGCAACGATTTCCTGCTGTGTATTACACAGACGGAGCGAAGAGCATCACTGAACTCACGCGTCGCATCTTTTTCCCCTCTCGAGCAGCCACAAGGGCAAAAGAGGCTCAGAAGTGTTCGAGAGCGGGTACGATCAGATCAAAGCTAGCCTGCAGAGCATCGTGCGCGAGTTCGAGTCGACGTATCATCTACAACTCGACGGGTTGGAGATGACCGAGCAGTCTTTGCACGCAGATGGACGAGAGCACAATCGAAATGCGAACAATAAGGCGGGCGAAGAACCTCCACCTCCTTTGAAAAAAGTGGCTCAGCTCATGCGCTGAATCGAATAGCACCGCTATACTCGTTAAATCTGCCCCCAGCAAGTGCTAGACGGCGCATATATACTGGTCTGGTAGATATCCACCCTAACAAATCACTCCGCCTTGCTTCGCGAGAAATTGAATGATCCATTTTCGCACGTCTGCGCATCGCTCGCCTCGCACGCGAGGTTGATGACCACTTTGATTATATTCGATCGTCGAGCGATGTGCGGCGAAGCGAGAGCGAGCAGGAGTGGATAGAGGTGCCGAGAATCATCGTAGCCTCGACATGCTTACTGTAGCGCTTGACCTCTCGAGCGAGGGAACGATATTGAACACCCACGCACTTCAACATTGGTCATTGTGGCTGCTGTGATGGTGATCGCTGCACCGAGCATACGAGTCCGAGGTTTGCGCTCGAAGCCAGACAGGGTCTACACGCGCGCGTCCGAGGTACAATCAGGTCGAGATTGGGAATGTGCGCACGCAACAGCAGCCCCAATTTGCCCGCCCGTACGGACCGAGCATACCAGGACCTTGATTTGATTGCGTGACTTGTGTACCTGTACGAGCTTAGAGCGGTCCCTGATCATGGTGACATTTGCGCGTAAAGTCAAAGAGTCGCACCATGTCTGCCCGAATGCAGGGACGATAGTGATGGGCAGCCTTGCGTTCGAACGGAGAGTCAAGTCAAGAGCATGCGGTATGCTCTGGTATTGAAATGGCTCGGCACGAGGTTACTGAATGTCCGGGCAGACAGGGGACATCGAGAGCAAAATACCAGACGCGTCATACACAGTCAAGATGTCGACGTCGTGATCGAGTGAGGGCAAAAGCAAGAGAAGCGACCAAGTCAAAACTCTCTGCGCGAGTACAAAAGGCACAAACTTTTTGGGGCAAAACTAAAAGTGAGAAAAGAAGAAAGTCTCCCGCAGGAAGCTGATTCGTTCATGGTTGGCCTTCCCTCGTCCTCATTCGCACCATCCCCACGGTCATCCCCAACGAAAAAGTTCCCAAGATGCTCTGCCTCAAGCCACTTTCTATCCTCTTTGCCTTCTATGTGGCCCTTGCCTGTTGCCTCCCAGCGCAAGCAGCGCCCCTCGACTCTCTCGCAGCTCGCGCACCCGAGCGTGCTGCGGACGAGTTGAGCAAGTTGTTGGAGATTGCTACGGATGGCAAGCTCGTGCCGTTCAAGCTCTACTATCAAGGCCAAATCGACGTTGGGTGAGTGGACGGCGGGGGCGGGCGGGGGCAGCAAATCGGAGTTTGCACCCTCGAGCGCACATGGCGGGGGGGGGGGGTGCATCAGAAGCTGACTCGCATGAGGCTCTCTCTCTTCCCTTTGTGCCGATCATTCACTTTTTGGCTTACGCCAGCGAGCCATTCACAAACAGCACGCAGTTTCACGACCTCTGGAACTCCATCAACAACATCACCCTTTGGATCGATGAGAAGCCAGGATTCAAAGTGCGCGGCGCACGCGCCTTGCAGGTCCTCGGACACGCTCACATACAAAACTATCACCTTTTCGCTACGGACCTGATCAAGGATGAGGTGTACATCAAGGTTCGCGCTGCCCTACACGATCTCGATTTGTTCCAGGAGGTGTCCAAGCTGCTGAGCGTCTGGCAAGCCGTCGTTGGCGAACTGTTACCCTCAGTGTGAGTCGCTTGGGGGCGGGTGGCAGACGGAGGTTGTGACAGCATGCCTCATCGTACCTGCTCTTTCGTTGCTTTTGCAGTCCTACCGAAGATCCAGCTAGCAAGGATTGGGTAAGCAAGCTGAATGGCATCGTCGCAGATCTGCAGACTGTCGTGGACAAACATGATCCGACGTGAGTCGCTTCGTGTGTTTCGTTTCATGTGGCTGAACCCCCAGGCTGAATGCGGCACCTCCTTCTTCTCGCCGCTTTCAGCAGAACTCTCCCTCCTCTCGTCAGCGGAGGAACGTGGTGATCCGATCGTGCTGTCGACGCCACCTTCGCGCATCTGCTCACACCCATGCAAACGAGTAGGTGTTCCTGCTTGATGAAATATGCGTGATCATCGAATGTATCTATTCAAAAACTTTTTGTGAAACTCGGAGCCTGTGCATGGGCATTGTCAGCTTGACGGGGCTGTCTGAATGCGCTAGAAACAAGCAAGACTCACGAGTGAGATCGTTGACAAAGCTGCTCTTGTCGCCGCCGTCGTTACCAGCAGCTCTGAGGATGCAACATGTGAGATGAAACAGAATCAGCGCAGTTTGAATCCTGCGCAAAACAGCACTACGCACTGATTCTTGAAGATGACATCGTCGTCCCACCTCCTCTTGACGCCAAAGCTGGGTTGCGCGCTGCTTGCCTTGCTTGCGCCTCCTCCTTTCATTGCGTTCTCTAAATTGAGCAATGGATTGCCCAGCGCAATTTCATCCTCCCTCGCATCCTGAGCAGCAGCATTCTTCTCCGCCTCTAGTCGGGCCTTTTCCTCTGCCCGTTCGCGCTTGATCTTTTCCAGTTCTCGCATGAGCGCAGCCGTCTCGTCCTCCTCATCAGAGTCAGAGTCAGAGTCCGAGTCCGAGTCAGAGTTGGACGAGTCGCTGTCGAGATGGGATGGAAAGCCAAATGAGCACAGCTGTACGTGCGCCACGTCATGCGTCGCTACGCCGACTCACCTTCCATCTTTGCCCTTGCCATTCTCATCCGCCTCAGCCGCACTCTCTGAATCACTGTCTGCGCGCTCCAGGGTAGCAGCAGCTTCTACCATCTTGCGACGCTTTGCGGCCTCTTGGTTATTGTTGGCAAGCTGCTCGATTGCCATTGGACTTTCAGCTTGCCCCCTCTGCCCCTCCACCTCCTGCTCGTCCTGATCCAATTCTCCAGCATCCTTTCGCTTCTTGTCCCTCGCCTGCCTCTCTGCTCTTTCCAACTCCAGCTTCAAGTCTCGCCTTTTGGCTGCATCCGTCTGAACATCGCCCGTCGTACCGCTACCCGAAGCGTACCCTTGACCTGCTGTCCTGAACTTCAGCCGAGTGTGCGCTGGCATCTCTTGCGCGTTGTACACCTTGGTCAGGTGACGGACGTCAGCCCTGCCCGCCTTGGGCGCCCATTGCGGAAGATGCGACATCCTGAAAGAGGTGGTAGCCTGAGCGAGAAGCTTGGATGTGGTGGTGATGCTGACGTTTGTGAGCTACAGGCGCAAGTCAGAGCGTCGACCTACGCAAGTAATACCAAGCGACCCGAAGTGGAGTGTGGCACGGTGAAGGGCCACGTGGATTAGCAAATCACGTGATGTCTCTTGGAAAACGATGTTTCCTCGAGTTGTGTTTGGTGCCTGAAATTTGCAGAGTGTCGTTTGGGAGGCTAAGTTGACGAATTGTAATCAAAAGTCGATGATGGCTGACCGCGCCAAAAGTCGTGATCATCCAACACTTCCGTCTGCGATGCTTGCTTGCTAGCCGAGCAGGGACGTTGTGCAGTTGCTGCAGATCAAGCAGAGGCTCGCTCTAAACGGACGGGCGAAAATAGCGTGGCGCCTTGGCTTGGACGCTGCGAGTCGCGCGCGTCGTTTCTGCAGCAGAAGGAAAAGAAAAGGTCGAAGCGCGTTGCGGAAGCTGGCGCTGCTTGGTGCATTTTGAGCGAGGTGCGCGCCCCGCGAGATGGTGCCATTTGCCGTTTGAGAAGAAGCAAAGAAGGTGTACGCGGCGGGTATACCTTGCAGCATCCATCTTTCCGACCCGTCCATCCAGCCAACGCGCGCACGCTCCAAAGCGACCTGGCACTCAGGTTGGGTCGGTCAGCTAGCACGCGCGCGGTAGGCAGGACATGCGGTGCGGTGCGGTGCGTTGCGCATTCATCGTGATTGGGTGCTTTGGAGGCAGAGAGGCGCCGCGAAGGGATGCGAGCAGAGCAGCGCACACGCCATCTGCTGCTGCATGTTGCATGCATGCATGCATGCATCGCCGGCTATCAAAATGCCGCGATTAAAGATTGGTTGTATATATTTGATTCAGCGCCGGCGGTCTTTTGTTCGATTGTCGCTGCATGGGCTTCGTGGTCATGTTGAATCCCTCAATTTTTATAATCAGCCTTTTCATTGCTGGCTCACAAGTTTAATCCATTTCGAGCAAGCTTGACATTCAAAGACTCTTGACTTTGCTCCTTTGGGGTCATGCAACTCATTGTCTGAGCGACATTCATGATTCTTGATTATCATTCAATTGAACATGCGACTTGCTTCACTTCTGTGTCTGCTCCATTCAGCCAGCGCCAACCTTTTTATTATCTCCCAATTTTGTAGAGGTCCACTCTACCTTGACGTCGCAACGCTGAAGTCATGAGTGGGAGCTAGGCAACGCAGCCCTCGCTGTATAACGGTAGAACGGGAAGCGGTTGAAACGGCGCTTCGCTCCATGATGCTGGCGCGAGCGGGTCGATCTGTAGAACGCCGCCCCTATACACAGCGCTCTGCCGCCGCCATCGATCGATCTGCTCCTTTTGCGCGGCTGTTGAATGCGTGCGCATGCATGGCGCCCATGCTGGCTGCATATATGCGCCCATGCGATGCGCACCAGCCGCGCGCTTGCAGCACGCGCGTGTTTGTTTTTTTCTTCTGCATGCCCCTGATGTATGCGCTGCCTGCCTGCCTGACCGACCAACCGACCGACTGACCGACCCCATATACCTGCGTCTGCACGCAAGGCGGGGGGCCACAGCAGAGTTGGAGTGTGAGTCGATGGCCCCCGCACAGTCTGCTTCAGCACGCAAGCCCGGCCGCCGCCGCGCGTTCTTTTCGCTTGGTCCGTGACATTACTTCGCGCTAGTGTGTCCGTCAACGGTGCATGGTGCGAGCATATCACCCATCCTCGCGCTCGATGAACACCTATAATAAGCAGCCACGCAGCTGGGACTGAAATTTCGGTTTGCCTCAAATTTGAATTTGTAACTTTTGATTTTCGTGTGATTTGAAGTCCTCCCAGCGGCCGGGCGATCAGCAGCGGGTTACGTGTGTTGCGCGAGGCAACTCACGCCGCTTTGCCCAGACTGGCGCGCATCCTCAAGCCTAGGAGCACACATCAACCCTGAATTTGTGCCTCTGCTGCACGAATCACCTCGCTCTTCAACAGCGTTTCTCACCTCTCATTCACCGTTCGCTGACGGGACTCCTTTCCTACTCACGCATTCTCCACACGCACCCTATCCTCCTCCTTTCTCTCTCTCTTTGGACCGCTGTGACTCCGTTGATCTCGTCTTTTCTCTCGCAGTCCGCGAACCATCTGTGTTCGAGCAGCGCGATCCAGGGACCAGTCAAGTCGTCGAACCACCTTCTCGCTGCTCCCTCAGCCCGCTGCCTCACCCCTCATTGACCGATCCGATTCACGACGACCGACGACGACCGAAGACGACGATCACCAATTCCCACGCTCATTGCCTGTTGCCACTTGCTCATCACCCAACACACTCTTTTTGCTAGCCATCGCTGCATCCTTCTGAGCCTCTCATCGCTTCCAAAAGAGCGCGCCGGCCATGTCGCCGGGTGCTCGCAACGTCTCCAAGAGGCTCAAATTTGCGGCAGCCAGCGCTTGTGCTGTGCTCGCATCCACCGCCACCACCAGCGCATCGGCATGGGAAGTGCCTCCCATCGATTTTGATGGCTTGGGTCAGCTTGGCGTCGCTGGTAGCTTTTCCGGCATCCAATTGTGGAATCAGTCGACGTCCACGCTCACACAGCAAGGCGCATTCAACGTCAGCGAAGGGTCGCTGATCGCGCTGGCTGCCGATGGGAACCTCACCAAGATTGCATCGACGAATCAAGGCGGCAGCATCCGGGCAGTCTGCCAGAGGACAGCGGAGCCGTTCACTGTGTTCGTCGGTGGTAACTTTAGCGACATCAATGGCACGCGCGTCGGCAACGTAGCCAGCTTCGACCCTGCGACGCAACGATGGGATGCGCTTGCTGGTGGTATCGACGGGCTGGTGAACACGCTATACTGCGACGAACAACACGGCACCGTCATTGCAGGTGGTGCATTCCTGGGCCCCTTTCGTCCTCGTCCCGACCAGGCTGCTCGCTTCCTCGGAGGAGTGGCCAGTTGGTCATACACTGGGGATGTTTGGTCCCCAGTCAGCTTTGGTGGTGTCAATGGAACCGTAGAGACCATCGCGCTCGGGTCCAACGTCTCGAGCATCCGCGTTGTGGGCAACTTTACCACCGAGTACAGCTCCCGATCCAGTCCCAACGCCAGCTTGTCAGGCACCAACACCTCCGCTTCTAGTCTTACACAGGCCCTCTCACCTCTGCCTCTCGGTCAGAGCGAGTTTTCGGGTGGCCCCTCTTCTGCTGTCGCTGCATACGCCAACCCAGCTCAGCTCCTGTGTCCACGCGGTGAGGATGGACCCAACAATTCGTACCACTTTGCAGACAATGCCGTGGGTCGCTTGACGCTGCGAGCGTTCCGCAGCCTGCAGACGCGCGCCATCCGCATCGGCAACACCTTTGTCGACGGAAGAGGCACCCGCACGTTCGGCATCGTCTCCATACCCGACAATACCGACCTCACCCTCATCTACCTTGACCCGCTCACCCAGCAGAACGTCACTTGTCGAGGTAACTGCTCCCTTTTCCACGACGCAGCAGTCGCACCTTACCAGGACTTTTTGATCGCAGATGTGCCCGAGAACGGTGCTGTCAATGGTACCAAGCTGCTCACTGGCATCCAATTCACCGCAACGGAGTGGTACGGACCGGGTGCTGGTCTGCACAGCTTGTCGCTCCTCAGTCAAGGCTCGTTTGCATATGCTTTCAACGGGTACAACCGCGGCGGCTGCAGCTCGACTCAGCCCGGCGTCAACGGCACCAGGTCGAGCAGCACTTCAGAGGGAGGCTGGTATCGCACGCACGTTCCAGAAGTCGGCGTTCCAGGAGTCGTGTCACCAGTGCTGGCCATCACCGACCGGACCGCGAACTTGCCCCAAAACGCAGGCTCGAGCGTCACCTGGAACGTCGATGCGCACTATAACGGAAACTACAGCGTCTTTTTGAGCGTGCCTGGTTGCACTGCCACCAACTCTTGCGACACGCGTACCGATGTCCAAGTGACCGTGTTCGGAAACAACACTGCGGGCGATGGAGTGAGCACATTTGTCAGCCAGAACGTGCCTGAGGACACGCAAATCCTCGTCTATGATGGCGAGATCATGAAGAGCGCAGGCGGCTTTGTCCCTACCGTGCGGCTCTCCATTCCGGGCAACGCCACGCGACCAGTCAGCGACACCTTCAACGTCATTGCCGATCGCGTGACCCTTAATCTGCGATCGTCGAACGAGACTCATCCCATGTTCGAAGCGAGAGGATTCGGCATGCTCGAGTACAATGTTTTCGACACGCGCGATGTGCCACAATTCAACGCTACGCAGATGCAGACAAACCTCACTTTCAACGCCTTTAGCAACTTTGGATCGGTCCTGCGCTCCAACGGTGTCGCCGCCAACGACACGATGGGTCAAATGATTGTTACTAGCAGCGTCACCAACCGCGGCTCTACATTTGTAGGCGGCAACTTCACCTCTCTCAATGCTAGCGCCACGGTCGGATTTGCCAACATCGTGTCTTACACCAACACATCTGGAGGATCCAACTTCACACGTCTATCTGGTGGAGGTGTCAATGGGCGAGTGTCGAGTCTCAGTGTCGTCAAGGATCACCTGTTCATTGGTGGAAACTACACGTCCACCTTTGACAACATTACTCAGCTGCCGTACGTCGCCGAATACGATGTCATCGGCAGCAAGTGGATCCCTCTGGCTGGCGGACCCGATGGACCGGTGGAAACTCTGACTCCGCTGCGAGAAACGTTCTTGCTGGTTACGGGAAGCTTTGAGTCGCTCAACAAGGGTGCAGTCCCGGCGGGCGGATATGCGATCTGGGATGTCATTGCCAAGAAGTGGGTGCCACAAGAGCCGTTTCTCGTTGGTAATGTTCTGGCCGCTAGCACACCGAGCAACGCCTCTGGCGTGGCGTACCTGGCAGGTGCCATTGGCGGCATCAGCAAAGATTCGGCGTCAGGAGCTGTGCGCATCATTCCTCCAAACGATGATGATCAGTTACCAACCATCGACACGCTCAACTTCCGATTCGAGAGCACCAGAGCGACGTCCAACATGCTGCCTGTTCCTGCAGCGCCTGCTGCAAGCTCTTCGGCGTTGGCATCAGCCCCTTCGAGTTCTGGGGCTGCTCCTCTCTCCAGCTCAGGCGCTGCACCCACAACCTCCGGAACTGCAGCACCAGCAGGTGCGCCGACATTTGCCAGCGATCTCGTCTTTAGCAAGCGCACCGACGATGCTCCTCAACCACGGTCCACCGGCGGTCACCATCACCACCACCGTCATCACGGCAACAGCTTAGAAGAGCGCAGCGGGACGTCGGTATCGCGGTGGCTCTCTTGGAATGCTCGGAGCAATCAGCAAGGCGGCCCGCTCGTCTCTCTCTCGCGTCGAGCGTCTGCAATGGAACCGGCCATTCTTGCAAGCAACGGGGAAGACGAGATCATCTCATCGGCATTCTGGAAGCGAGGCAACAACGACTTCGTCTATGTGCTCGGAGGCAATTTCACCACCGATGCCGGCATCAAGAATTTGGCGTACTACGACGAGAAGACGAATTTGCTGAAGCCCTTCCCGGCTCTGCCTCGTTCTTCGAACCTAACCGTCGTTCGCGCCGTCGCGGTGGACGGGGACACGCTGTATGCTGGAGGCGATGGTGGATTGGCCATCTTTGACTTCAAGGCCAACACATGGTCCAGCAATCTGGCGGCCCTGCAAGCGACTTCGCGAAACGTTCTCAGCGTGCAGGCAATCTACCACCGACCCGAGTCTAGCACCATGATTATTGCGGGAACTTTTGACGAAGCTGGCAGCTTGCCTTGCAAGAACGTCTGTGCTTGGGACACGGGCTCCCGCAGATGGAGTCAATTGGGTGCAGGCATTGATGGACAGATCTCGGCGATCGACTATGCAGGAGTGAGTCTGACTTGTGAGCAGCGCCACGGCTCGGATGCTGATCCTCTGTCCTTTGCTTGCAGAACCACGCGTCCTTGTTGCTTGTGGCGGGATCGATGACGGTGAATGGCGCCGAGGCATCGCTGGCCCAATGGGACTTTGAGGCGATGACATGGACTGCCCTTGGCAGCGTGGGAGTCGCCGGCGGCGAGATTCCTGGTCCTGCAACTGCGCTCAGTGTGGACGACTATAATCCCAGATCCATCTTTGTCGCCGGTCGCACCACTGATGGCAGGCGCCCGTATCTCGCCAAGTGGAACGGTCAATCGTACGATTCGCTTGCGCCAGGCGAGCTGCTTCCGGACTCTGGAATTGCTCAGCTCTCCTTTGTTGGTATTACGCGCGCGCACCCAGACAATCCCGTGCTCGAAAACAACCGCATGCTCGTCGTCTCTGGCGCGCTCCTCATGCGCGACTTTGGAAACGTCTCGACTGCGCTATTCGATGGACAGCTTTGGACGCCTTACCTGCAAGCCACCTCGCCATCCGGCGGATTGGGAGTGGTGCGAGCTTTCACTCGCAGCAACGAGATACTCAGCTTCCCCAACTTGCACCACCTTGCCGTCGGCATTGTTATCCTCATCTCGATCGCCATTGGTCTGGGCATCGTCTTCCTCCTTGTCCTCATTGGTTTGATTTGGGCGCTGAGCCGGAGACATCCCAATCGTGGGGTGGATGTGCCGATCTCTCCATCAGACGATACGCTCGCCATGGCAGGAGGTGCGGGTGCAGGAGAGAAGCGTGCCCCCAGCGAATTGTTGGCCACGCTCAATGCTGCTACGGAAGGTGCGATCGAGCAGCGTGGCGCAGATTCCGCCGGCTACGCTGCTGCTGGAGCCGGCGCCGCTGGCGCGGGAGCGGCGATGGCAGCGTCCACATCGCACGGACATAGTCGACAAGAGTCGTCTGCTGCGCACGGGGGAACGTTGGAAAACAGCGACGAAACTGCTGGAGCGGCTAGCACTGCTTACCACTCCGAACGGACTGGCCAGTCGGCCTATTGGAGCGGCGAAGAAGGCAACCCGGCTGCGGAAGCTGCTGCTGGTGGTGCGGTGGGGGCGGGTGCGGCTGCGACAGGCATCGCGTATGGAGGATTGGACGAAGGGGCAGGGCCTGGAGAAGGCTTGGAAGCTCACGCGAGATACTCGTTCGAAGCGACACATCCCTCGGAGCTTGCTGTGCATGCTGGTCAGACTATTTGGATCTTGGACGATCAGGACGAACATTGGTGGTTGGCAAAGGACGGACAGGGCAACAGCGGGGTGTTGCCCGCTACCTACGTCCTCTAGCATTACGAGACGTGCGACTTGATCGATACCCACGCATCATCGTACGGCAGCAGAGCAATCAACGCTCTCTCCTTCCGCAGCTCAAACATACACACACTCTTTTTTTTTCACTTCACTCTTGAGACCAAAACAGACACACCCTTTCCCTTTGCACCTCTTGTTAATTCTCCTCTCTTCTCCCCTTTTCTTCGAACTTGACAGCTAGATTGAATCTCTCTGCCCAACCTCACACTTTTTCGACAAATCTCTTTGTGGAGAATCTAGATTCGGTTTCGAGCAAGGGTGCTGCTGCTGTAGTCCGAGCGAGCGCCGTGTGAGATGTGTTCTGCAGTACCGGTACATACCTGAAGGAATACGTACATGAGCAGAAGGTCGACCGCGTGCTCGCCAAGCGTACCTGTCGCTCGATCAGGTGTGGCTTGATCGCATGCTGCGAAAGGACCGGCCGGCCGATCGACGGGGCGAGCTCGGAAGTGCGTGCGTGCATGGCCCCGATTTAGCACCTGCGAACGGGCGCGTCGCGTAATCGCGAATGTGAATACTCGATCACCTACTACTCACGACTGTGCGTGCGTGCGTGAGTCCCCGCACGGCGATGATCAAGTGCATATACCGCCGTGCGCGACACAGAGCCGGAAGCGGAAAGTCAGCAATCGTGAATGTGACTTGAGTGTGAGCCAGGCCGCATGGCAGCAGCAGCAAGCAGCAGTGGCTTGGCTGTGCTTTGCTTCCACTTTCACTCTTCATTTACTCCCTCGTCATACTATACCCACACCACTCCGACTGCTTTCCCCCCCCATCTTCGCAAATCACACCCCACATTCATCTCAATTGACAACCACAATCCTTTGCTTGCAAACTTTCTTTTCTCGAACTTCGGCGCACCTCACCTTTGCACATTCTCACAACCTTGGGCGCACATTCGGTCCACGATTGCCCTTTTTTTGGCCCTCGCAACAGTTCGAAGCATCCACCTACTTGCGCATCTGTCTCTGTTGCCACTCGTATCGCCCCTCCGTGACGGCGGTATTCACGATACCGGAATGGCGCAGCTGCAGGCTCCAGCTCCTCGTCGGCCCATCGCGCTGCTTCGAAAGAGACGAACTTCCTCTCATCAAGCGCGAGCCCTTCACTCTGGCTCGATCGCAGACGCGACACCATCGAGCACGAGCACGGGAGAGAACGAAGTGCGAGCAGGCGCACAGCCGGACGAGGAAGAGGATGGGGAGAATCGAAACCGACCTGTTATGAGGCAACGAAGGAGCGCAAGTCCTGTAGCCGGCTCTCACCCCGCTCTCAGCGCAAGCACGAATCACGCGGATGGCACACCTTCGCGTCATGACCGCGACAGGCTCTTGAGTGTGCCCTTGGCCAGATCATCACACGCAGCAGGCAACGAAGGCTTGGTGGGCACACCTCGAGCACCAGCGCTACAATGGGTTTCGAGCCCTATTCCCAGACATTGGACACTCAATCCACTGGCTCGAGGTCGCGCTGGTCAGGAAGGAGGGGACGAGGAGGCGATGATGATGATGATGCCTTCCAAACGCGACTCGCCATTAGACCCATCCGCAACACCCGCAGCGGCAGCGCTCGTCAAGCAGTTGTGAGGGCAAGAAAGATGCGTCGCGTAATTCATGTGCGCCAAAGCCGTGACTTTTTGCAACGCACCCAGCTTTGGCACCAAGCACGAGGTCGCTCGCCCCCGACGCAAACAAGCCCTTCAAGCATGACGCTTGGCTGCAACACACTTTTGCATCCGACGAAACTTTTTCGCATACTTCATTAGGCACGCCTCGGGTTACATTCATGTGCCGCTTCTCGTTCGACACCCAGCAATCCCCCCTCAACTCCATCATGCAAGCGCGCCAAGTCGCGATTGTTGCCCCCACTCCGCAGCTTCACCATCTGCCTTCGAAGTTGTTGAGAGCGGGAGCGTAGTTCCACACGCCGGCTTGGCTCAGCACATTGACGACGAAGAAGCGCGGTCTTCCAGCCTCGCGCGTGCCAGTAGCTACGACGACGCTGGTTTGACCGGCCTAAAGAGAGGATGACACGGTCCATCAGCATAGACTTTCTTACCCGCTCGCTTTGGGTTAGAGAATCTTTCGAACTTACATTGACGCGCTGACCTCGAATCGTGGTGTAGTAGGGCGTTTCTCCGGCGCCGGAGGTGTAGGTCTCGTAGATGATGTTGTAGCTCGCAGCACCAGTCACAGCGTTCCATCTGACTTCGTAATCGCCATTACTGTTGATCCTTCTGGCGGAAGTGATGGATGCTTGACCAGCTTTGCTTCCTCCACGAACGACGTTGATGGGTCTGGACTTGAACCAGTTTCGACCATTGCCTGCGCACGTGGCCGTCAGCGTCTGAACGACGTAGAATTGGAATTGCACCGGAGCTTGACCGTTGCGGCACACGTTGGTAAAGTCGTGCACGGAAATGTAATCCCTATGGGCACATCGTGTTCGAGAATGATGGAGGGAGCGGGCGGGCGGTATGATCCTATCAGCAAATCACGCCATGCGCTGCTGCTGCTGCTGCTGCTGCTGCTGCTTCGATGGGCCATTGCGCACCACCCCCATTCCCCCATTCCATTCTCCACTCACCCGCGCGTCCTGTCTTGACGATAATTCTGACCGCCGGTGGTGGTATAATCTGGATCGCTGATGGACAGCTTGTCGAAATCGCGAACAGGTGTTTGTCGAACGCTGTCACGGTGGTGTGGAGAGAGGGGGGTGCACGTGTGCGATGAGAACCTTGCACTCCATGAAGGGGGGTGGGGGGGAACACGCTGAACGGTCACTCGCTCCGCTCATACTCACCGACTTCCATCGGCATAAAGCGCATCGAAGGCCCAATTGTAAACGACGGCGCGTCGATCGCGCAGCATGGACAGTTGAGCGCTGCAGTCGTCGAATACGCGCGCTGCGAAATCGGCAGGAGGGTATGCGCTGCAATCGCCCGAGCTGCTGTCTTCTCGCCATGTGAACGAGTACTTGGCATCGTTTGGGTCCAATTCTCGCTTGGATAGCGTGGCGGGTGCGCCGAGCGTCGAGCTGCTGCTGAGCAGGGTCAGTGCGGACGCGAACACGACGGGAAGAGCGAGTGAGAAGCGCATGATGGGCAGAAGTTGGGAGTCGTGAGTGTGTGTGTGTGTGGAGAGGGCGGCAGAGAGCGGGGGGGATTGGTCATGGTGGAGCTCGTTCATCTCCTGTCTTTATGCTTTCTTTGGCCCCAACAGGGTCATCAGCAAGTAAGCCTGCGGTATCGTACAACGAAGCGACGCTGCTTCAGGGAGATTTGCTCTCTCCTGTGATTCAGGGAGATACGTACCCCTGGACAAGCTGCCACTTGTTGAATCTCGCTAGCGGTCTCTTGGCGGATCGCACCCGCACCAGCAGCAGCTTGCTGGTCAGATCTGCAGCCTGACTGAACAGCAGACACAGCTACAAGTAAGTCACCACACAGCTCAGGGTCTCATCTATTTCTGGCTTGCAAGCAGGATCACGACCGAGGCAGGCCTTCATACAGATCGCTGCTTGCCAAGACATCGCTGCAAATCGATGCATCCTTCGTCATTTGCTGCTTAGCTTTGACTTGGCGCAGGCATCATCCGTGATTCTCATCTCCGCAGAGTTGCAAGGAACGCCTTGCTGCTTGCTGCTGCTATAATCAGTGAATCGCGCATTCGCATTCACGCACCCACCCACGCACCCACGCACGCGCATGCGCACATGTGAGAACCCGCGTTCTCCGCAAATCTCACATTTAGCGCATGCTTGGCAAGCGAAGCGCGAATCAACAAGATGAGTGGTCAGTGAAATTGCGCTTGGCTTGGCTTGGCTGGCAGCAGAATGCACGGGACTTTGCTTTCAACATGACCATCATCATTGGCGATTTTGGACGCATAGTGACGGACTTGGAACGGACTCAAGACTTGGCAGCAAAAAAAGACGCTTCAATCGGGGTAATAATAGGAGATTTCAGCGCATCGGATGAATACAGCCAGCATCATGGATGCTGCGGACTACGCATGAAGTGGGGCGGTGCGAGCACGAAATGCGGCGCCAGTCCAATGCTCAAAAGGAAGCAAGCTGATGAATGGACCACACCGGCGGGATCGCAGTCGTGATAGACAAGCATATCCCTCACTGGGAGTGAAGAATCAACTCGAAATCAACGCATCCAGAACATCATGCGCACATTCGCGGGCCCTGAGTGCAAGGTGCTTAGCATTGAGTTCAGGCAGGCAGTCAAGATGGGCGGCGGTTGCGAGCCCGCGACCAGCTGGAAGAGGAAAGCTCGGTAGTGCCGACCGCGTGGGCGCATGTATGCGCTGCGCTGATCCCGAACCGACGCCGCGATGGACGCTTGACAACGCAAGTGTACCACTTGTATGCCGCGATCAATTCCACTGCGGAACGGCCATCGTCAGAAGCCGCTTTCAACTTCATAGCTTCCCTCTCCCTTCTCAGAGGAGGCGTGCGCAGCCTGCTCGCCCAAAATTATTCCCGTCACATTTGGCACGCTTACGACCGGCCAAGTCGCTTCGGAACGCATTGCGTAGCCATCGAAGGCGTCGTGCTCAGGAAAAGCGCCCAATTGAGGGCGTCAGGGCCAACGATGACGAGGCGCGTCTGTCCCAAAGACTTGTGGCTCACGAGCAACGGGCATTCTCGAAGATGCAATGCGCAATGCGCAAAGCCAAAGCCAATCCCAATTGTCTTGGATGACACGCCAACATCTTAAAGTGATGGCGTCATCACCGGCGCAGTCGGTAAGCCTCCTCGTGTGGCAACCAATCAGCAAAGCGACCTCAACGGTGCACATTGATGCTATCACGACTCTGGCGCAGCTCAACGAAAAAATATCGGAGGAGCCAGTCTGGACACCAAGTGATGCTTTTCTGTGGCAAAGGGTTAGGCGAAGGCGAACCGCGAAAGCGCAGCAAAAGTACATGAAGGCGCATCTCGCTACCCACCACGCGACTTCAGTCCATCCCTTGTCACCAACACTGACCACTGTCTAAAATTTTGCACCCGAGCTGGTCTCGCCTTTTGACAACATCGTCTACCTTGATATTCAGCAAACACTTTCCCAGGTATTTCTTTCACATAACTCGACGACTTTGCCGACATGCAAGTTTTCACTCTGCCACTCATGCTCGTGGCCAGCATGGCGCTTTCTAGCAACCATGGCGTTCTCGCTGCCCCTCTCGTGCTGGAGGCACGCAACGAACTCACGGCGGCGGCCAAAGGTCTCGAACGCACTCTAAGCGGCAGCGGCTCGCATCAAGCCGAGGTAGGTCTGGTGGAAAGACCCAGCAGCACCAGCCCTCTTGCGCACGACCACGACCACCAGCCTGCCGCAGGCACTCCGCTCGTCCATGGACCTGATGGGAGCGTTGTACCCAAGAAAAAGCCCATGACTTGGCAACGAAAGGCCAAAATCTTTGGGCGAGTGCCAGATCAGGTTCAATGGACTTTGATGCCCTTCGGGCACCGCAGTGCTGACTCGCCATTTCTTCACTGCATGCCATTCTCGTAGCTATGCGGGACTGGGTGTGGGAGGCTTTGGTCTTGGCACCTACCACCTGAGTAAAGCGTTCATCAATGCCGACGAAGAGCGACGAAAGCAACGTCAAGCGGCGAATGAGCAAGTCATTGCTGACTTTGTCACCAACCTCAAAGCGCAACGTGAGTAGTAGCGGTGCCTTTTCCAAAAGGTCTCAGCTAGGGCACTTGCAGATGCTGACGTTCTTCACGATTCTCCAAACTTTCCCCGTCGCCCATAGAACCCGACGGCAAGTCTTTCTAGACATTCACAGTCCTAGAGCTGCAAGTCACGGTTGGCGCCAGGACTCCAGTTCTCATACAGATCTCGACTTGAGTCGTTGCCACTGTGAAGCCAGGAGATGCCCTCGTGCATGCGAGCTCGGTACACTGCTGCCCGTCGCCTTTGATTGAGATTGGCGAGTCATGCCCAACGTTCTGTATGTGCCAAAGTTCGATGGGTGATTTCATGTTGCAACCTTGTCTATTGCTCGGGCGTCTGATTTAGCCGTCTTCGTGGTGGGAAATCCCTAGCATTCGAGTCTTGACCCCCGTCGCATTCGTGGGTATGGTGTTAGATACTCGCAAGTCCGGCTCGGAATCCACTCCTGGCATGAATTATGATCTGACTCAACCCTCGTGCCCCTTCAATAGTCAATCACGTGAATAGTGCGAGTTTTTGGGAGCAATGGCACGTGACACTCGAAACAGCGCTCATCGTGAATCATGAGTGGGACGCGCAAGCTTGGAGACGCGCTTTCTGAGACCTTTGTGCCCTTTGCCTCGCATTCGTGACACCAAATTCCATGACGCTTGCTTCGCTCTCCAATGCCCTGCCACCTTCTGGGAGCTCTGTTGCTCCGCCTGCCCTCATTGAGCATTCTGACCCTTCAGATCCGCCTGACTCTGATTGTCGACCCTTGCGCCAGGAAGCGCCAATATCATTTACCGACGCTTAGGCAGATTCTGTCGAGAAACTTGCAGTGACGACACGGCGAGGCGGTGGGCACAAGATGCCAACAGCTACTACCACTTCGACCGGCGATGGCCGCCATGCGAGTGGATCGAACTCGGCTTCACCAGCATCCATCGCATCCATGCAGCACCTCTTTCCTTTGACCATGCCCTTCCCGAACCCCATGACGGATGATGATGTGATCCCATCTGGCGATCTAGCGCTGGAACAAGATCTGCTGCTGCATTCGGACGATCTACGAGCATGGAGAGCGTACATCACCCACGTCGAGACTTCCAACATTCCCGTGCGAGATACGATCGCTTCCAAACTGAGCACCGAGCCCATCTGGAACAGACCCGATGCGACTTGGAGCGCGGCTCAGGTTGATTTGTTGGGACCTTTGAGCAACAAGGAGGCGAGAATCGCGCTGAGACGCGTCGTCTGCGTGTACGAGAGGACATTGGTCAGATTTCCGCAGTGCTATGCTGTCTGGCTGCAATATCTGCTCAGAAGGAGCAGCTTCGTCGCAGGCGAGCCAAAGGGAGGCATAGAGGCTTGGAAGAAGAGGACGCTGGAAAGTGCTAGGCAGGCGCTAGATGCCGGTCCTGCGCTGTTGGAACAGCAAGAAGAGGAAGAGTGGGAGTGGAGAGAGGGCAAGGCTTTGGATGGTAGAGTGGGTCACAGAGAGTGGGAGAGCTTGGCAGCTACGTTCGAGAGAGCATTGATGTGCTTGCCAAAGGTGAGTGCGCTACAAAGATTGAGGCGAGAGAGATCGTCTGCGCCCTTGGTAAGCATGCTAATCTCATCTCGCTACGCACTCGCAACATCGTTCAGATGCCTCGATTGTGGCTTCTCTACTTTTCCATCCTCACCCATCCTCTCGCCCCAGTCACGCTTTCCCGAACGCATACACGCCGCACCTTTGATCGAGCTCTGCGAACGCTTCCTCCATCACTGCATCTGCGCGTATGGAAGCCTTATCTGAGATGGGCAGAGAGTGTAGGAGGAGAGACGTGTCTCAAGATCTGGCGGAGGTATCTCAGGGTAGATCCTAGCTTGACAGAGAGGTACGTTGGCATCTTGCTAAAGCAGAGACAAGAGGTGGAGGAAGAGTCTGCTGAGCAAGAAGAGGAGGAGGAAGAGGTCAACGAGAGCAAAATCCGAAGGAGCAGAGAAGCTTCCAAATTGCTACTCAAGCTGGCCAAAGAAGCTCAGGATGGCACATACACCAGTCCAGAAGGCAAAAGCCCGTATCAGCTCTTGATCGAGTGGCTGGAACTGTGCGAGAAGCATGGAGATGAGATTGGTTTGGATCACCAAGAAGAACAGGATCTGCAAACTCATGGCAAGACCAGTGCCGACGGCGCTGTTGCTAAGTCTAGTGCCGCTTCACTAACGCAAAGAGGCGCCTCAATCCGCGCATCCGATCTCGATCCTCTGGACGCGATGCCCATACCTGTTGATGGAATTCTACGTGCACTCGGCATTAACAAGTTTCCTGATCAAGCGGGACGTCTGTGGACTGGCCTAGCGACGTATTGGATCCAGCGTGGGGAGCTAGAGGTGGCAACAGGGACATTCGAGGAAGGCATCTCCAGCGTCGTCACTGTGCGAGACTTTACGCAGATCTTCGATGCGTATGCAGAGACGAGCGAAAATGTGATCGGATATCTCATGGAAGAGCTGGGCGAAGAGCAAGAAGATGAAGGGGAAGCGGAGGAGAGAAGCTTGAAAGAGCAAGAATTGGACGAAAGGATGCAGAACTTTGAGCTGCTCATGGAGCGGAGACCTTTCTTAATCAACGAGGTCCTGCTCAGGCGCAATCCAGATGATGTGCAGGAGTGGGAAAAGAAGATTGCCCTGCAGGGCAATGAAGACGACAAGATCGTAGACGTCTACAATGAGGCTACAGCCACCATCAATCCGCGAAAAGCCACGGCAAACTACCACCAGCTATGGCTCAACTTTGCGAAGTTTTATGAAGTAGGAGGCAGCAGTGAGGGAGAGGAGGGCGAGGCGGACCTGGATAGCGCCAGGCTCGTCTTTGAAAGGGCGGTCAAGGTGAACTTCAAGCGGGTCGACGATCTTGCAGAGGTGTGGTGCGAATGGGCAGAGATGGAAGTGCGAGCTGAGAATTACGAAGCAGCACTTCGTGTCATGTCTCGAGCCGCTTCGGTGCCCGTCAAATCGAGCGAGATCAAGCACATTTCATACCACGACGACGCGCTCAGCGCACAAAAGCGGCTCTTCAAGAGCACCAAGTTGTGGAGCTTCTACGTCGACCTGGAAGAGAGCATCGGAACGGTCGAGGGATCCAAAAGGGCGTACGATAGGATACTGGAGCTGAAGATTGCCAACGCGCAAATCATCGTCAATTACGCTAGCTTTTTGGAGGAGCACAAGTACTTTGAAGACGCTTTTAGGGTATACGAAAGGGGAGTAGAGGCTTTTGGATACCCCATTGCTTTCGAGATTTGGAACGTGTACATCAGCAAATTTGTCAAGCGATACGTGAGTTGTGGTGTGGGCCGAGCAGGACACAAGTCGCGCGCTGTGTGGATCCGTCTGACTCAAACACCTTCTTCGCTGTTCTTCAACAGGGCGGAAGCAAAATCGAAAGAGCCAGGGATCTGTTCGAACAAGCGCTCGAATCATGTCCTTCTAATTTTGCGAAGCCTCTGCTGCTCAAGTACGGAGCGCTGGAGGAGGAGCACGGACTAGCAAAGCGCGCACTGAGCATCTATGAACGCGCAACACAAAAAGTGTCGGATGAGGACAGGTTTGATGTGAGTTGTTCTGGACTCGGCGCACCTGCAAGAGGTGCTGTGATATGCAAGCATCTGTAGACGAAGTGTAAGCTCACATTGCTGTGCTCGCCAAACCGAAATCGCGCCACGCAGATGTTCACGTTCTACATTGCCAAGGCAGCGGCCAACTTTGGTTTGGCGGCTACCAGATCGATCTACGAGCGAGCGATCGAAGTGTTGCCGGACAAGCAAACGGCGGAAATGTGCCTGCGATTTGCTGCTCTCGAGAGGAAATTGGGAGAGATCGATAGAGCTAGAGCTATCTATGCCCACGCTAGCCAATTCTGCGACCCGCGAGTGAGTTGGGCAGTGTCTCCTTTTTTGCCGTCGAAGAGCGTCTCAACCCTGATATGGTTCCTTGCACATCTCTACTATGGACTCTACAGACCAGACCCGATTTCTGGTCAGAGTGGAACAAGTTCGAAATCGAGACTGGCTCTGAAGACACGTTCCGGGAGATGCGTGAGTGTCGCGCAGCTATGAAGGCTTCAACTGTCCCGCTGCGCTCATTAGGTGGACTCGACTGACACCACTTTTGGCTTGATCTAATACCGCCTTGCCATGCTTTCGCAGTGCGCATAAAGCGAGCAGTGCAAGCTCAATTCAACACCGACGTCTCCTACATTGCCGCATCGGCCGCGCTCTCGGCTGCAGCAGGTGCCGCCGAAGCGCAAGGAGCGGCAGGAGAGGAAGACGAGGAAGATGATCCAATGGCTAGAGCAGAGGCTGCTTCTAGGAAAAGAGCTGGTGCGGCCACTATTGGCAGCGCGGGCGGACCAGCTTTTGTCGCTGCTACCACCACCGGACAGGTCAGGAGCGAGGATCAGGCGAAGAACAAGGAGCAGATTGGTGGGGATGATGACGATGATGATCTGCTATGACGCACTGTATACATGCGTGGTAGTAGAAATACAATGTTGAGGTTTATCGAGCCTTCCGCCTCGTTCGAGCGCTGTAATGCGCGGTCCCTCGATTGAAGCGCGTGCGATGCCTTATCAGATGTGCTGAGCGCGAACAAGCTCAGACAGTTCGAACCTTCTTTGCGCCCGCACCTGCTCCTGCTTTGCGCTTCTTGAACATGCTTTTCGGGGCGTCGGAGCCCGCTCCTGGCTGCCCAGTCGTGCTTGGCTCCCGCAAAGAGCCGTCAACCTCCTTCGTCGGAGGATCCGCGCTGTCATCTTGCTCCTTCTTGGGCGACGCAGGAGATCCACCAGACAGGCGAAATGAATCCACACGGGATTCGATCGTCGAGTCTTCTCGCTTAGGCTCCAATTTGAGACCTTGCCATTGAGGTAACCTTCGTCTCCTCACCGCATCCTCGTTCCAACTCGCCTCTTGATCATTCATCCTCCTTTTCTTCACCTTGATCTCCTCCGTCGCATTCTCCTCGTCGTCGTTGCGCGCATGCAGCCCCGTCTTTTCCTTCACTTGAAACGCACGAGCAGCTTCGTACTCCGTGCCCTCATCCTGAGCATTCGGTGCTCTGTTCACGACGGGCCTCGAAGGAGTGACAGTCTCCCACTCTCCCACGAACCCTTCCTCTTTTCTTCTTTGTTCCAGCTCTTGCTCGCGCAGTGCAGCTTCGTGCTCTTCTTTGAGCCGAGTGGACTCATAGGACTCTTGAGCATAGGACGCATCGCTCACTGTTCCGTAGGCTGACAATTTGTCCGAGGGCTTCCAAGAGGTATTTTCCGGGGCTGGAGCCGTCTTGGAAGGTGTGGGTGCTGAAGGCTTGGAGGTGCTGACACTTGCTTCAGAAGCGTCCCTCGTCGTATCTGCAGCATGCGCTGCTGCTGCTGCCTGTTCGCGATGTAGCGAGAAGATAGAGTAGTCATGTCAGCAGGCACACCTGTGTATCTGACGCAGCACGCCACATCAATCAATCGTCAGCAGAGCGCAGCTCTAGCCTGCCCTCTCGTTCTACCGACGCGCCCAAGCTCAACTCACCCTCTCGATGGCAGCCATCTCCCTCCTCGCGGTCTCCTCTTCCCTCCTCTCCCTCTCCGCCTTTCTGTACGTGCCCTTCAGCGACCTCTCTACGTTGCCTTTGTGACGAAGCCCATTTTCGTGCTGCATGCGCGAAGGCACATCATCGTTGATGGTAATGTCGCAGTACGGACAAGTCCATTTCTTGCGAGAGACCCAGAATTCGGACATTATCGCTTGTGGCGGAGGGGAGCTAGAAGCGCGAAAGGGTCGTGTGGGGACGAAGACTTGGGGGTGAAGAGGTGAGATGGACGCCGTGCTGCTCAGCTGTATGTCTCTTGGTGTTGGGTTGGACGCGGCCGAAGTGGAGATGATTGAGCTACTCACTCATGCGTGACTGATGTGAGGATGTCCGTTCATGACACTCATCAGACTCTTGACTCTGGACGTGGGTTGAAGTTCGAGTTGCGCGCAGCCTCACGTGAACCTCATGCGGCCGCGTAAAGAGGGCGGCGCGCGCAGCAGTTCGCGTTTGGTCGTCTCCTGCTATAGCATGCATGCGTGCAGCACAACCCCAAGAGCAGCGTAGTAGTCTTGAGTGGATGAGAGCTTGAAAACAGCAAATTAATAATATTGCGGAGCCTTATTTGCGATTACGCGGGCTACGACGCGCCTCTGACCTCACCTCGCTTACTGACCCTACCCTTTACACTCGCCTTGCCCCTCGTACAAATTATCGTGACGTTGTCAAACAAGTCTCCACCCAGCCGCAGCACAAGGGCTTTGATGTGTGCGGCACCACAGCTGGTTTGGTCTTTGCGTGTTATACCAAGTAGATTCTCAAGGGAACCCCTCGCTTCTGCGACTGTCTTGACCTCAGTAATCAGGGCGGACCTGGTTCGAGAAAGGTATAATTACAAGTACAACTGCACTTTGATGTTCGTGGTCTTGCTCTCTCTGCCACAGTCGCTATACGAGGTGAACAACACAGGCAGCGCCCACCAGCGCAGTGCGACATGCAAGAGATTGATGATGTATTTCTGGCACATACACACGACCGACAGTAGTGAAGGTCATTACAGCACGATAGACAGTGAGCAATGGAAGCTGAAACGAACAAACAACCCGCTCGTAGGGACTGCCGCAATGACTCCCACAGCTTCAGAACTTAGTGTCTCAGTGAGAGGGCCACCCGTGCGGAGCGATCGCTCTACTACACAAAGCAATTGCCTCCACTCTTGTGTGCGTCATCGCTAGCATGCAGGAGCCTACCACTAGGCAGCCCCTTACGCGCTGTTGAAGCTGGGCTGTTAAGTTACGAAACCGATGAGACATCTGCCTCTCCGCAACCCCTTGTGCCCATTCACCGCCCTCCTGAGCCCGTCCTGACGGACCCTTCTTCAGGGTTGGCGACAGAGGACACTCTTGGGCCAGCCGACTTGGCAAAGCGCCGACCTGAAATGGATAGACACGGCGAACATCTGGAGGCGGTGAGCTGTTGGCTGCATAGCCTGGCTTTCTCCAGGTCCCAGCCCGCTGGAACTCTGAAGAAGCTGGCGCCCACCCGTTTACCTGCCACAGCAAACTGCTAGATGACCGCTCCGGCACTAAGCCCGGACAGAGTGAAGTGGTTAAGTATTGTTGAATACGCTGGTATCATCAGCGTCGTGCGGTTGTGCGAGGCTTCTTGTTGGATTACAGGGACAAGGATGGTGGTTGATTCAAACAAAGGAATGACCGGTGCAGAGCACGATTTGCGAGTCATCGGGATGAGTCCCTCAAGCACATCAAGCAGCCGGCCAACACTGCAGCAAGGTGTGGGGCTACCGAGCCAATCGCTGCGACCAGGGAAAGCAGTACCCAGCAGGACCCCACTTGGTTGATCCCGCGCAACAGCAAACGGCAAGAGATATTGGGCAGGCAACGAGCCCTTATCCACGTAAAGGCCCATGCGCAAGCAGTGATAACGGGGCGCTTAGCGGGCTGGCTTATGTACCTGGCCATCGCCCCCTAATCACACGGAATCGCCATACATAACTGCCGACGTCCGGAAGCCGCCTTTCCACCGCACGGCCCATGCGCCTCTTGAAAAATTCAGTCCCCAACGACAGATACGCAGTGCGCCGTCACCCATGGCACAGAGATGTCAAGGTGAGCTCCGCGTGAACGACACAGAATTGAAGCTGGGCGATAGCCCAATTCGGAAAGCATGGTGGCGAACCGCGCTAGGCAAAATGCACCAAAAGTCTGGAATTCCCCTCTCGTGACGGGATGCAGTCGTTAGTCTGAGTAGTAAAGATCACAGTATGCCACAAAAGTCACGGCTTGACCTCCGATCCATCGATGACATCCTCTTTTTTCTAACTTACAAACGGCGACCGGTCCTCAAATGTTACATAGTCTTGGAAATTGAAGGCCGACACTGTGGCAGGCAGTTTATGCTACTCAATAAGTAGGTACTCTTGTTGCGATCCCGGGCCAATGACCGACACGTGCACCTTCCTAAGAACGCACAAGGCCGTAGTCGGCATCTTCTGGCCTACCAATCAATTACCGAATCATATCAGACGCCGCAACCTGTCAAAATTTAGCCATGCCACCTGCACCGTCCGTCACTAAGAGGACCCAACCCCAACAGCCGCCACCCATTGGTTCCTCCCTCCATAAAAGGCCAGGATCCAACAAATTCACGGGCTAGCAACTTCTACCGCCTGGTCCCGTCAGTCAGATCAAGGAGATTACGCGATCGGCAACACATTGACAGCAATGTGGGCCGACAAGGACCCGTCCCTACGCTGACATCCCGGACTTGCACGTGCACACGTTATCCACCTTTGTTCCCCACTGCGCCAATGAGGTCCTACACATCGAATCACGGATGTGCACCAACGATCTCCACCACCGTACAAGGATGACCAACGATCGGCGGACAGATGCAACACATTGACGGCAAATAGACCGACAGGAATCCGAACCCACGCCGATACCCCGGACTTGCTTCTCGACACCCAGGCTTGCTTCTATACACCTTGTATACGCCGCAGAGGTCTGTAGATGCGCTAAAAACTGCCACCAGTGTACGACAACGATGGCGCAATTGGCGGGAAAGTGCAACACATTGTCCTAATCAGAGGACAGACAGGCACCCGTCCTCGCACTGTTACCCTGGGCCCGCTTCTGCACCCTTCATTCACCGCTATCTACCATCTCCTAGAGTAATCTGTGTGCCTCTGTTATCTTGGTGCCCAGCACAATGCTACCTATGATGACAGACCACCGAAACTGCGCCAACTTCTCCTTGACCGACAGGCACCCGATACCTCGGCTGCTTCCGTGCGTCTCTTTATCTGAGCTGTACGTCACTCCGTGTCTGCCCAGGCCTCTTGAATCAATCTCTACACCGTCACCGGCAACAGACTCGTCATACGTGCTTTACGCCTTGCAGATTCCCTGTGTCAAACGACACTATCATACTGCATACAGCGCAAGCAAAGAGCCACCAACAGGCCATGTGCAGGTTGGTCACTGCCTCAATCAAACGTGTATGGATTGCTGCTGACTGTCCCGAACACATCGACGGCAGACTATAAATAAAGGCAAGATTTCTGCCCCCACATGAACCCTCCTGAGCCATTCACGACACATCCACCAGGATGACCAACCACCCTTAGTCAAGATCGACCCAATCGACCGAGGGAATCGCGACCAAACACTTTCACTCGAACTCAACCCAGTCGGCGGTGCCCCCATCCACTGACGCAACTGATCATCCTCATTCTCACATCCCAATGGACTTTGTGTATTGTCACGATCACTAAACTTGGAGCGGTGAGCTTGGCCATCTCGTTGGCGATAATTACCTTGCGGAGCAAGTCGACCTCTTGAGCGCTAACAATGAGGTCTTTTTGGTGCAGACATGAATGAAGAGTCGATTTCACAAGAGACCATGAGCTTGATCGAATCTGTGCACGGCAAAGGCCCCGAAGAAGGCGATGACTACTGTGAAGGAGACCAGGGAGGAAAGTCAGGAAATTCCGACGAACTTGACCAAGATCTGATTCACATCGACGACCCTGATCTTGGGCTAGCACCATTGGGTGCACAGCTCAGAAGTCCCTCCCCGCGTCCGGACCAAGATGGGGCAAATGAAAGCACTGCGTGCGAGCCTGCTCTCCGCAAAGCTGCGCACGATCGCTCTAACGTCATCAACTCGGCCGAATGGATTTACAACAGCTGGAACAGGGACAGTGAGCCTCCTAGATGGCAAGATGTGCTCGCAATCTTCGATAAACCAAGACCAGGCGTCTCACGCTATACATTCCCACTAGGAAAAGCGATGCTGGACCTACTGGAGACCAGAATGAACGTGTACAAAGCCATCCAGACAATTTTGCACAGGTACGGAATCACAGATGCGATTGTTCAACCCTACCAAGAGGAAACCGATATCCGTGGTGTTGATGTCACGCTCCCAGAGGATGCGGATATCGACCCATCCCTCCTCAAGCTGGAGTACAACGATGTCCCTATTACGTACTTGAAAACTGGCATCAGTCTGGGCAAGGGTCTCATTCCATGTCACATCAGGTCGGTCAATCATGGAAGTCTAAACGACCAAAAGGCCCTACTGGACGCCATGAACGGGCAACTTCAACGCAGGGGCTATGTCGTACGCTGCGTTTGGTCCACCAATTATAATCTCGGGGAAAAGATAGGAATACGACCAATGTTCAGTGGTACCCTACTGATGATCGCCGAGCTTGTTGCGGAGGATCGCAAGATACATGGCTTCATGCGTCTTCCACAATCTGGGCAATGCATTGTGTCCTATCTGGGACGAGGGTACTGGTGTCCAAGCTGTTCGTGGAGGACCGACATTCAACATGAACAAACTGAGGCATGTAAAGCTGCCGAACAAATTCGCCGCAAGAACAGCCGGAACAGAGGGGACCTGTTTTCGCCTGAACTTAGTCTAGAACCCCTCCCTCCCCGTACTGGTACCAAGGTTCCCGTTAACAAAGCACTGGCAGCAAGCATTAGGAGATCGGCAACACCAGCACGAAAGCGAAAGAACACGCCACCTCCGCCGCCAGAGGATCTTACGGACCTGATGCCGCCACCACAGCTTCCGCCGAGCACAGCAAAGCTCTTCAGAGGGGCCCCACGCCGCTACTTCGACTTTGATGAGCCACTGTTCCGAGGTCAGTCAGAGCAAAAAAGAACTCTTTCTCCGTCAGAACGAGAAGACAATGGAGCTGGCCCCAGCAGCAAGCGCCGCAATGTCTAGACTACTGTCACCCCCTAGATGTGAATCGAAACCCAAGCAAGCAAGATCGGCCCACCTGAGGGGTTGCATCCATGAACCATTCGGATCAAGTGGCAGGTATGTGCCTTGGGCGCAAGTAGCAATTTGCCACCTAGAATGCCCGAGCACTAGCTGTCAGGACTCTTGGTGGAACTCATCAGCTTATGCGCAACCCGCCTACAATTTTGGTTATTCAAGAAGCTCAGGCGAAGATGTTCGACTCTTCGGACGTGCTCGGTGCTCAGAAAAAAGCGGCCTTTCAAGTTCCAGGCTCCTCGACTCGTCCTAGTGTAGCAAGTGGATTTTCGACAGAGGATGCATCCTTCTTCTGCTTCCCGCCGTTCGACGAGCTTCTGTTCCGAATTCTCTGGCAGGACGACTGGTTTCTCGGTATCTGTCTCGACGGCGCTGTGCCCTTCTTCTACACTGGTGACTCCGCCATCCAACCGACCCGCGATTTATGCTCCGTGCCTTGTGCCTTGACCCGTATCAGACCAATAGCCCAGGCCTGGTGCCTGTTTCTAATACACCTGCTCCAGAAAAGTCTGCCGAGTTCAAGTCTGTTTGCTTTCTTGACCTTTTTTGATTGTCCGGCATCGGCTACGACTCCAGCCTCCCATTCATGATTTCAGCATGGTTTTCCATCCCGTTCTTCTCTGTATGCATGTCATCACGAATTGTGGCCTGACTCGATGACACGCACAGGGCCAGAAAGGTCGGCACCATCTGCTGAAATTTTGACCCATGCTCCTTGCCTTTATGTACAGTAGATGGAACGCACGTCGATCGACCAGTCGTGCTGCCTTTGTCGTACCCCTGCGTACAGCAACAAGAAGCAGAGCGCGTCTTGCCGCACTCTGACTAGGGATTCGACAGAGGCGACCTCCGTCCAGCCAATCACTGACTCAACTGTAATTCACGATTTGTGATTCAAAATTCTTGATTTGTGATTGTGATTGTGATTCGTGTGATTGACTCACCGCTGATCTTGGGTGATGACGCGCGGCAAGGCGCTGTGAAACAGACTGATGCGAAGAGACGGAGAATTATTCAATCACAATCAATAAATCTTGAATCCGTAATTGGACTGCTGTCAATTCGAGTGAGTCAAGTACGTACCGCCATAGTGCGTGAGCTTCGGGCATCTCCGCGCGCGCTCGGCCCGAGCTTGCCTCGCTTGCCAGAGCATCGCCGAGCACAAGCTATAGCGTGATTTGAGTCACGAGTACGGCCTACTGCACGCGCCGGCGGTCGTTTCATGCGAGCCATTTGATTCACATTCATATTGATTGGCTGCTCTGTGCATTCGCTCTTTGATGCGTAGGTGAAGCTGATCCCGACTCACGACTCACGACTCAGACTGCGATAGCCCGAGCGACTGCTCTGGATACACATGCCACAAGGCACGCGCGTGAGGACATAGGAGATGAGCAGCAAGCGCCCCTAGCAAACGAGCATGAAAGCAATCGTGAATGTGAATGTCCGTCGCCATATTCTGTCACGAAGAAGTGCAGGGTATGGCTATAGTAGCACCGTCGCAGGCGCTTCGTGGGAGCAGAGGTAGATCGATCAGGGCACAGAGAAGCTGAAAACCCCAAAGAACTGGCACCACCACGACTTGTCGCCTGCCACATCTTGAGCACAGATACCATTCAAGATCGGATCTAGTGCATCGACGCAAAACAAGTTCGATAACATCGCATGCGTACAGCATACTTCGTCCCACTATGTCATCCTACGCGCATCTCTATCCCAAGCTAGATCCAGCTGATGAGGAGCAAGCGGCCGCACAAGCATGCCACTGGCGGCCTCTGGGCACGTCAGCATCGAGCGAGACGGAGTACGAGCGCAAGGCGATTGGATCAGAGACGTTCACCTTCATCTCTCGCGCCGCGGATCCCAAGCATCACTGCAGCACCATCACTTGTTCAGCTGCCGTCTCCCTTCGTCAGAAAGATGACAACTTGACATCCGGATACGACGAAAGAGTATGGAAGCAGATTTTTAGAGCAGCTTGGATCGACGTAGCTCTCCGATTGCCTTTTGCGCTGCTTGCCAGACAGGACAGGCCTGATCAGCTCAAGATCCGCTTGCCATCCAGGGTGCAAGAGATAGAGCAGTGGGCGGACGACACCGTCTCATTTGAGAAGGCCGATCACACACAGCAGGCTAATATGGATGCGCTCCTTCATACCAAAGAGGTCTTGGGGTGAGTCTCGAGATTTCTGAGCGCATACATGTGGGGACAGACCTCAGACGACCTCTTTCCCTGTTGGTTTGGCAGCTGTCTTGAATTTCCAACGTCTCTAGGCAACGAAGCAAAGCTCCACGTCCTGCCAGCCAACGAGCCTCTTTGCTTCATTGTGGCTCTTCAAATTTCCCATTCTTTGACGGACGGCAGTGGTGCTTTGGCGATATTGAAGCTCATCTTGCAGCACGTAGTCAATTTTGATGGTAACACTCCCGCACAAATCGACCTACCGCCAGTGTCCGTACTCGCTTCTCGTCTGCTTCCTGGGTTCTCAGCTCTAGTTCGCGAGGATGCGCGACCAAAGCCGGAGCAGTACGAATCGATCACGATGCAGGTGGGTCCAAAGACGGCTCTCCGTGGTACAACTCAATTACTGAGACCCTTCGATTGTCGATCCGCCAGCAAGTGTGCAAGATGACCGGAGCCGGATTTCACGCATTCAAACTGCATTTTGACCGACCTTTTCCGCCTTCGGAGTGGGGCGCCACTCTGAACGTGGTAGAGCAACTGAGCGAGGATCTGACAAGAAAAATCAACGCCTTTGCCAAGATGCACAATCTCAACGTCAGCTTCTTGATTCATGCAGCGTGGGGCCTGACAAATGCAAGGCAGAATACGCAGGAAATGAGGAGCGATACCACGATGGCTGGGTTCGTTGCCATCAACAGCAGACGAGCATTTCCCTTAGAGCTGCAAGACCCAACGGTCAGCGCACAAGGCTGCGTATCGCCCGTATCGATCTGCATACCCATTGGCGCGGCCACAGCAGATTTTGCTGATCCGACTGAAAGACTTTTGATGTTGTCCAAGTACTTGGCGGACGAATTCAAGGGGGTGGAGAAGCAGCGTGGGACAATGGCTTTCTTGTCTGAGCGCTGGATGCAGCGCCTAATTGCTGCTCATCCTGCAGGAGAGGCACCAGCTCCAGTGCAACATCCCATCCTCGTGAGTTATGTGCACCTGCGCACGCGGGCTACCTCAGGTCTTTGCGGCGAAAAGCCGCTGACTTGCCGTCTGCCGCTCCACAATTGCATCGGCACCGCTACAGGTGGCAGATGGCAAATACGACCGCATCCTACCTCCTATTTTGCGCTCAAAGAAAGCGTTGGAAGTAGAATTGCACACCGAAGCGATTTTGATGGGCATAGACCATGGTGGTCCAGTCAACGTCACGCCCATCGGGTGTAGATGGTGGAGTTTCCGCGATCAACTACACTTCGGAGCGGACTTCAGCGAGGGAAACTTCGAAAAGCGACAGGTGCAGAAATATTTGAGCGATTGGAAGAAGATCTTGGAGGAGGTCGTCTAGTGTAGGCGAAGCCTTTGAATCCACGCTCGGCATCGATATACAAAGTGTCTCAGATAGGTACATGGCTGTCAAAGCTGATCACGATCTTGAATGTAGACGCATCCACGCGTACATCCCTGCACGCCAATTTTTGAGACGCGACGATCACGCGTTACACGCTCTTCGAGGTAGGCACCAAGGGGCGTCAACACAGAGTGATACTTCATCAATTACCACAATGGTGCTCGATCGACGTAAGGGTGATGGATGTCTGCGCAGATTTATGATCGTGTGGGACCACCACTTTCCTGCATGTGTGCACCTTGGCAAGTAAATACGCAATCGTCGCGCTTGTGTCCCACGTCTGGCGATCTCGGCGCCCGGGCCGCCACTAACTACGCTGCGCTCCTGTATTGCTTGCACACCGCCCCCTATCTATGCCGGAAGTGGTGCCCAGTGGCCCAAAGTAAGATGAGGCCCGAGCGCTCTGCACCATCTCTCCTCGCCGCGAGTCACACTTGCATGCAGATGCTCTGCCTTCACTGGCATCAAGTACTTTTTGCCACTGTTCTCTCTACCCTGGGTCAATTTGACGCCACTCTTGAGGGGCCTGTGCATGGCGATCCTTGAAAAATGGCTCCTGAAGCGAGGGGATACTCGATAAATATCCATACTCCGCGTCACACCTCTCTGGGCTTGTGCGAAAGCCATGCCAATACAGGGAAATCGCAGCACAATAAAGAGTGCTCTGGTGCCGCAGGGCTATAGGCGCGCCGTCGCGACATCGCCATTCCCAGCAGACTTTATAAAGAGTGTACCTGCCTCGAAATTACCTCCCCCTTCCTACCACCTCCAAGCTCTCTTCCTTTCCTACGCCTCCAAATTCACCCTCTTTCGAGCACCTCAAGTCCTCCCTCTGTACGCATTCACCCACTATTACGAATCTCAGCTACATCCCTTTCCGACAAGGCAATCTTCCAAACAGATTCCTTCTCGCCAAAAGATCCTGTTGGCCCGTCTCATCATGCATACTGAGGACCTGACTCATGGGCCGACTCACCCCCGGTGCAGAAGGCTATGACGCGTATCCGCACGAACAGGAAGACCTGCTCCGAGAAGAGGACCCCTTGCAAGGAACAAAATTCCAGGCCTCCCTCTGTACACAACAACTATCAGTCGCAGAGAGATCGATGCTCTGAAGATGAAGAGGTCTCAGCTGTGGATGAGTATCTAAACACGCGTGGTAGGCGACCGCAAGTGGATGCAAGATACGCGCGCGCGCGCGCACGCGTGCACGTGACGTGCAGTAACTTCGCGTCAGTCCAAAAATTCTAGGCATCATCAATCCTAAGCTCGAACGCGTTTTTGGCCATTTCTCGGCGAGTACTTGCCCTGATTCTTTCAAAACTCGATGGAAACCCCCTACACAGATAGGAGAATGCGGGAGAGTCCAAAAAAATGGCTGGTTTCTATCCAAAAAACGGCAAAATAGGACTTGACCGCGCCCGGACTTGAACCGGGGACCTGCAGCGTAACCAGCAATTAGCAATTGCTGCCAAGTATTTGGAAATGTTAAGCTGTCGCGCTAACCAACTGCGCCACGCAGCCTCTTTGGAAATTGGTCTTATATTGACAAATATCATTAGATCGTGCAATTCCTTCTTGCAATCCAATTCTGAGACCGGCTTCTTCACCAGCAGAGCATCAACTCACGATCAAGGCGCCGGCGGCACGCATGTACGCGGGCGGCCGCATCAGGAACAATCTTGAATTATTGTGAAGTTGATGAGACCGTCCGGGACTTGAAGCCGAAGTGCGAGCAACCGAGATGCTGGAGCTGCACTCTGGCATCTAACATCACAAGCGGTCGTCTTTCCTCCTACACACAGCTGGCTGACATTGCACAATATCCAGACGGTACACGTACCATGCGACAGAGCGTGCCGCCCTTCGTTCGATGATTGCGCTCTGCGCACAGCCACTCTGATCAAATAGCGGGCAGGCACTTTGGTCCGAAGTGACCGATTGCGCTTTGAGGAACGTTGAAGATCGCGTCGGGAACCATGCCTCTGCCAAAGGCTCTGCGACGACCGGCTCACACACGCCAGACCACGGATCTCGTGGATGGCGTGCTGCCTGATCAGGAGGGCGCCTCAGGTGATCAACGAGCTGCCACTGGAGGGGTCGCCTTACAAGAAGTGAACGAGCACGCCAATCTTGGCCAACCCACTTCCCTTGATCATGACGAAGCAGCGATCTCGCGCACAGCTACACGCTCTACCGAGTCGACTGAGGAGGATTTCAAAGCGGCGCTGCTCACTTCCGGAGAAGACACCTCGGCGCTGGATCCACGCTACGAAACGTCCAAGTGGGAATGCTGGGCTTATTATGTCTACTACATTGGGAACAGCGGTTTAGGCCCGTTCAACTATTCGCCGTCTCAAGCTCAGAACCTCTTGACTCTAGCTGCGGAGAAAGCTGGCAACGGCACATGTGGGGGCGATGCACAGCCTGTATGCAGACTCCGCTGGGCCGGTCAGGATCGGACCGTGCAAAGTATTGTGCTGCTCGCTAATGGAATCTCGTGAGTGCATAGCGATCGCGGGCTCGGGCTGTTCTTTGAATGGATGAACGTGCCCCGAGCAGTCGGGCTTAGCTAGGCGCTGTCTCGGGCGGGTGAGCGCGGCCTTAGGCAGGCAGTCTTGGTCGGACTGTGTTATAGGCCTTGGGCAGACGTTCTTCGTCGCGTGAACCCAAGTGCAGCTACATCAGTCAGCCTTCGTGGATGCTGTCCTTCTTCGCTGTCGTCTGATACTAACGCACGTCTTCGGTGCGATCACCGTTGTTCCTTGCATCAAGCTTTGCGATACAGGCAGCACTCTTCCTGGTCATCGGTAGCATGGCAGACTACGGCAGGTGGAGACCTTATGTCCTGATCGTTTCTACTCTGATCAGCATCGGAATTTCGTTTGCCTGGCTTGGTGTGACGGACGCGGACAATTGGCGCGTGGGCATCGCCCTCTACATCCTGGGGCTGATAGGCTATCAGGTCTCGTTGACGTACTGGACTAGCGCATTCCCGGGTTTAGCCAGGAATCTACCAGAGATGCGGGAGTCGGCAGAGAAATTACAAGAAGTCCCTCCTCGCACCACCCCGGAAGCACACCACGAGCTAGACACAATGACCCGCAATCGGATCGCAAATATCGCATTTGCAGTCTGTTCTGCTGGCGAGCTGGTCGTGCTAGCCATCATACAAGGGATGCTCATCGCTCTCCATAGCGACGCGTCGACCGAATCCAACACTCGCGCATTGTCCATCGTGACCGCTTTTTCAGGAGGAGTGTGGTTCCTGGTCGCGCTGCCTTGGTTCATTTTGGAGAAGCACAGACCAGGTCGAAAGCTACCCGCAGGTCATTCGTACCTTACAGCTGGTATCGTCACTGCTTGGACAACCGCCAAGCACATTTGGCAGCTGAAGCAGTCACTGCTCTACCTTGCCTTCTACTTCATCATGGGCGACGCTCTCAATACCTCGGTAACCGTCATCTCAACTGTCCAGAATCAACTCATCTCCTTCTCGGGTCAGACCTTCAACCTGCTGCTCATTGTCGGAATCGCCGCTCAGGGTGTAGGCATCTACCTCTTTTGGCGCATACAAAAACACTTCGCGCTGACCACAACGACAATGCTGCGTTGGGTCGTTCTCTTCATTATTCTCCTGCAACTCTGGGGTCTCGTTGGCATTTGGACCCTTAAATTTGGCTTCCACAATGTCTGGGAGGCATACGCATATCAAGCTTTCTATGGTTTGGTAGTCTGTCCATGGTACGCTTACTCGCAAACGGGCATTTCGGAAGCCTCGCCCAAAGGCTACGAATTTGCTTTCTTCAGCCTTTTAAACCTCGTGGGCAGGACATCTTCCTTTATCGGACCTTTTGTCTCTTCGGCGATTGCCCAGTACGGCAACGAGAGCTACCCGTTCGGATTCTTGCTGGGCATGGCAGTGCTGGGAGGACTGTTGTTGATTCCTATGGACGCAAAGAAGGGAAGACAGCAACAAGCTAGATTCATTGCAAGACAGAGCCGAGATGCCAGGACACAGGCTATGCTGCAGGCCGCGACTCATCAGCAGTCTCTACAAGTCACCTCTCGTACCTCGAAAGATCTCCAAGATGCCAATGTGGTGTAGAGCTTTCCTACCTTTGCTCATCCTTGCCCCCTGCCCACAATGCCGAATTGCACCTTGATTTTCTTTGCGATGCCAAAAACGTTGCCGGGCTTTGCTGAGCTGTGGGCCAGGTCGCTGTTCGTGTGACCTAAGCTTGTGCGGACCTAGGTAAGCAGTTGGGAAGGGTGGGCAGAGGGCTATGAGTAAGTGGCCATCGTGCATTTTGAACCGGCCATGCACCACTGCATTTTGTTATCACGGTGAATCGTACGACGTGGACAGGATGCTGCGGGCCGTCGCATCGAGAAGCGCAGCACCATCGCCGCGCGGCTCGTGCTAGAGCTGTGATCATTCACGACTTGGGGCGGCTATCGCGCGCGCGTGCACGCGAAAGCACACACATGCAGTCACCACTGGTGACTGTTGAGTTCATGTGCGAGCTTTGGGTTGCGCAGGGTATAGGGATGCGTGCGGCAATCACGAATGCACAGCTATGGCAGCCTGCAGGGGTGCAGCAGCAGAGCAGCAGAGCAGCAGCAGGCCAAGAGGCCGGCGGCGGCGCTAGAGATGTGGCGCGCACCCCTCTTCTCCCGACGACCGTGCGAACGCGCACATTTTCTTCTTGGGCTCGCTGCGCTGCCGCCGCGTATCTCGCACGAGCGCGACGACAAGCGCTCAAACGCGATCACAAGTCGCCAGTCTCGAGTCTTGCGTCGCGAACACGCCCAGTGCTTGCCAGGCTGTGTCTAGACATCTGTGGCTAGCACCGCAACTTCGATTCGAGCCGGATTGCCGTCACGACCCCATACACTGGTAAAGCCATCGCACACCGTAAGCTCTCTTGACCGCACAGCTCGCGCTTCAAAGATCGTTGCAAACCCTTGCTCATGAACCCGAGCTTCCCGACCAATCTCTGAGCACTCAAGAGGAGTCGTGTCGGACGCGCGTGACGACTACGGAAAGAAGGCCTGATCGCAAGCCCTTGGGCAGTAGCAATAGGCACCTGTTCGCGCAGCGCACTTCAGTATGACACCCAACAAGGTCTCACGAAGCTCGGCTCGACCTTCAACAGCTGCAGCATCAGCATGGCCTAGCCGGTCATGCAGGAGCGGCACCGCAGGCTCTCACGCTACTGAGTCACGTCTGGGTTGGACAGAGAAGGAAGAGAGAGCTGAGAAGTTGCTGGACAGACAAATTGGTGAGTAGGGGTTTCGGAGCAGCAGATGCTTAACCGGTGCTGCGTATATGCTCTCGCCAGCCATGAGCAGCGCACTTGCACATGGCTCAAGTCGCATCATCTGGGCGGTGGATGTGGAACGTGGCGTTGGATCCCTTCGCGGCTGACCCGTTGCTACCATCGCAGATGTTCCACTTTACGGCTTGCTCGCGCTGGTGGTGATGCACATGCTCTCTGGCACGTCTTCACTATCGATCGCACATTTAACCACGCACCTGCCACACTCGATCCAAGTCTTGATACCTCAATGGGCCAGACATCTTCCCTCGCTCGCACCATTCGCCTCGGACTTGCCAAACGCCTCGCATGAATCTAAGCTGAGAGCTGCTGGCTCTGGCTTCAGCTCTGCCTGGGAAGCCGCGACTGGAGCAGCGGGCCCTTTCAGAAGCGACGCTGCTGGATTTGGGCACCCTCTCAGCGCTCTGCACGCCTTTACACGCGCCTGTTTGGGGCTCTCGTATGCCATACCACCCTCACCCGATCCTCTCACATCTCCCGTCTCCGCAGCTGCGCATGCTGCAGGTCTCTCATCCCCTGCGCTCCAGCACCTGAGCGCCAATTCCGAGCCTTGGGCCTGGCTGATCGGCAAACCTGGAATGCTGTACGGCAAGGGCCCCAAGGATCTGCTCTTCGTGGCTACTGGCATTCTAATTTTCACCACCCTCCGAGCAGCCACCATTCGATATGCTCTAGTCCCGCTGGCAGAGCTCGTCGTCAACCCTCCACTTCCAGCCGGTGAAAGGCAGGTACCCAAGGATCCCAGAGCTGCAAAAAAATGGAGAGAGTCAGCAGCTCGTCAAAGAAGGAGCACGGTCATGCGTTTTGCCGAACAAGCTTGGTCCATCATCTTTTACGTCTCGACACTGTCTTTTGGTCTGTATCTCGCATATCACGAGCCCTTCTGGATGAGGACAGCTGGGCTGTGGGAAGATTGGCCTATCAGGCACCTCGACCGGCTCACCAAATTTTACTACTTGACAGAGTGGGCTTTCTGGATTCAGCAAATCCTAGTCCTTCACGTCGAAGCGCGAAGAAATGATCACGTCCAGATGCTGTGCCACCACATCATCACCATCCTGCTCATCACTGGCTCCTACTGCAGTCACTTTACCCGAATCGGCAACGCCATCTTGGTCCTGATGGACCCTAGCGACATCCTGCTATCCTTCGCAAAGTGCCTGAGGTACATGGGCCTCATGACGGCTTGTGACATCGGCTTTGGAGCATTCATGCTATCGTGGGTAATCACTAGACAGATACTGTATCCCATCGTGGTCTACTCTTGCTTCAACAGCCCGCAGCGCTTGGCGGAGCCCATCAGGCCCGATTGGTCCTTTGGAGAGAAGGGCCCATTCGGCTGGAAAGATCCGGTACGATTTGGCCTTGTCACGCTGCTTTGCTTGTTGCAAGTCCTGCTCTGCATCTGGTTCACCATGATCGTCCGAGTGGCCTATCGCGTCTTGGCAGGGTACGGAGCTGCAGATTCTCGGAGTGACGTGGAGGAGGAGGAGGAGGAGGAAGAGGCTGTAGGCAAGTCGATAGAGGCATCGCGCGAGCCCACGTCAAAGGTTCACGCCGTCAAGGGATCTGTCGACGGGGGTGACGGATGGGGGAGCGTGGCCAGCGTATCAAAACCAAGCCTTTCGTGAGTTTTTGCGAGCCTAGCAATCACTGCAGAGACTCTTTTTTAAGTCCGCGTCGCGCAATCTTTGCCGCCCCTCAGAGCTTCCAACTCCCCCAATGCGACATCTTCCGCTTCTCGGCGCCGAACCAAAGCGCGGTAATCGATGCACAGAGCGCTGCCACGGCATTCATACGGGCATGCTTGTGAGGCTATAATACATTTGATTCTGCGAGTGCCGCGTGTCTCTGTGAAGCCCAAGTCGGTGCGCCAGAGGATCCTTGGCTACATGCGCGGTAAGCAATCCGCGACCAGGGCCAGACAGCGGGCATCAGCATCTCTCCATTGGTAGGCCACCCATGCCCAATCCGCTTGTGATGATGTGATTACCTCTCACGGCACGCAAAACTTCGGAGATACGTGTCTCCAGACGCGACGCTGGCCTTGCTGCGCCGGTGTCTTTCTGCAGCTGTGCGTCCCATCCCGAAGACAATGTGCGAGTGTGATATGGAGCTAGCGCTCCTTTAAAGTGCCGAAGATAGCCTTTGCTTACTGCTTTCCCTTTGCGCTGTCGTGGCGGCCTTGTTGAGTCGCCCTGTCGAGCCACAGTCTTTGCGTCTCGTGCTGCGTTGGATGCGCTTATATGCCCCGATCGGAGCCGTGATCGATGTTTGGCTGCTGCTCGAGAGCGTGTTTCCATTCGGTGCGCCTTTAACTCTGTGCACTTGTCGCTTTCGTGCGTGCCTTGTCCCGACCTCTTCCGGCGTGGTCGCTTGGCGCCAGTCATGGTGCTGGTAGTCTTGACAAGCACGGCATCGGTCTTGTCGCCCACTCCTTCCCTCGAGGCATCAGCATGTTCTTGCTTCTCCTGAGCTAGCCATCGAGTTTGAGCACTGCGGCGTCTTTGACGTTGACCTAGTCTGATGGGCTTTTGCGGTATCTCGGACGTCATTTTGATTTCGAGCTTGGATTTGAACGCGCTGCTCGAAGCGCTCCACTGAACGGCTCGAGGACGGCGGGCTGTGAGGCTGGCTGAGCGCGATGCCGCGCTGTACTGCGTTTATATCGTTTGCGCGAACGAGGATGGCCAGGGCGAGTGCAGGATATCGAATGGATATTTGCGATTTACACAGCATATACAGCCAACCTTGAGCTAGCTACTCCTTGCATTCGTGATTTCAGACTATAAGTGGACTCTTGACGACCAGATGGAGCAGCGATCTGACTACTGCGCATGCTTGACGGTGAAACTGATGAGCGTCTCGCGCCACAACTGCAGCAAGGATCGCTTTCGTCTCTGAACCTCGCGAAGTAATGCTAAAGTCCCCGCGTTCATCCATTGAGTCCATGGTTCACGCTTGAGGATTGTCGTACTCTTGAGACATTACCGCGTAATGGTTATGTGTCTGCATTCACGATTCAAAGTTCACTGATTTTCCGAGAACATGCCAAACAACGATCGTGAATGTTCTTCAATCAAGAATGAGAGTCAAGAGTGTGAGTGTTGAGTCTGAAGAGTGTGTCTGCCGCGCACGGAAGTCGCGCGTTTGATTGGCTGCTGACGCGACCACGTGATCTACCTGGCTGACGAACAGCTCATCTATGCAAAGCCTGCTGTGCGGGCGAGCAAGACGAAGGGCTGGTGCGCTGGTACGGCGCGTGGCGTTGGGCAGCAAGCGCTGCTCGGTGAGCCTCTCTGACCTGATGAGCGGATTCGAGCCCCTTTAGATGCGCATTCGCGTCCACCATCGACCACGATCGCCATCCGCTCCTCGCGCTCGCACTTTCGGACCTCACACACCGTCATCATATCATGGTCGCCTCTCGCAATATGATCTCTGTAGGGCGTTCAGGTGAGCACGTCTTGCGAACCTCGTGCGCGCGGATGACCTTATACACCTTGACCGACTCCAATCCTCGCGTCACAGCTCTCCGTGCGCCCCTTGCCCCAGCAGCACGAGGTCTGCGCACTGCAGTGCCAGCGCCAGTGGCGACAGCTTCCAGCCGATCTCAAGAGAAGTCTCCTGCCAAGTCTTCTCCTCAGCTGCCCAGCCTCGGTCGTTCCTTCGCCACATCGAGCTGCGCCAAGGTGTACCAACCCGATCCTCAAGCCATGACGACTGTGGGCAACCAAGGCTCGAACCAGCTCTCCATCGAAACGCCTCGCAACAATGTCGAGTACGTCACCACCACTCTGGACAAGATGGTCAACTGGGCTAGACAGGGCTCTATGTGGCCCATGACATTTGGTCTGGCTTGCTGCGCTGTGGAGATGATGCACGTCGCCACTGCTCGTTACGATCAGGATCGTCTCGGTGTAGTGTTCCGCGCCAGTCCTCGTCAGTCCGACGTTATGATCGTTGCCGGCACTCTCACCAATAAGATGTGAGTACAGGACGTGGTCAGCAATGGCAATCATGTACACGTGAGAGTTGTACATGTCGTTTTACCGGCGCTCTGATTAGCGCACGCAACTCGCATGCCATCTCTTGCAAGTCTCTTGCTGATCTTTCAAAACCCGACCTTGCCACCCTAGGGCGCCCGCTTTGCGCAAAGTGTACGATCAGTGAGTTTTGGCAGGCGAGCTGGCGCAGTGCGATCTCAGCCGCTGATATGCGAGCTTTCTCCCCTTTGATCTTTTCAGGATGCCCGAGCCTCGATGGGTCATCAGCATGGGAAGCTGCGCAAACGGAGGTGGCTACTACCACTACTCCTACAGTGTCGTTAGAGGCTGCGATCGCATTGTTCCCGTGGATCTCTACGTGGTGCGTGACAGGTCGCGAAGCTGTTGGGGTCGGTCAGATTCGAGCGCTGACTGTGCCCTGCTCCTTTCACTCGTTCAGCCTGGCTGCCCTCCTACCGCCGAGGCGTTGTTGCACTCTTTCCTGGTGCTCATGAGAAAGATGAGAAGGGGACGCAAGGTTACGCGATGGTACCGCTCCCTCTAAGCCGCGCATTGATTAGATCAGTCCTCGACGCGCATCATACACCTGTATTTTCTCATTTCTGCGCTCTCGAAGTGAGGCAGTAATTCTTCCGCACATTTCGCGATCATTGGCGCATCAGATTGTCAACAGTGCCGCAGTGTTCAAATTGCCGAGAATTTGTGGTATCAAGAGGAAGGAAAGGAGAGCAGGAACGGAGGCAAACAAGCGTGGACGCGGCGTGGTGCAATTGTTGAGGTGTGGCATCTACGGCATTGACGAGTCGTCGTTTGCTGGGGCGAAGGCCGCGCGGTCTAGAACAGCGTTCCAGTGACTGGTTGTTGCTGAGATTGTCCTTGCTGTGGACTTTGCGCCTGCTGTCCGTTTTGCTGGTTCAGATTCACAAAAGCAGCGTTGCCAAAGGCAGAGGTAGGCTGGAACGGCTTCACGTTCGAGCCCGCGAAGCCAGTTGGCTGTGGGGCCAAGGCCGCATTCGAGCCAAACGACGTGGTATTTGCTGATGGGCCAGACGCTTGAAACGGTGCAGATGAGGGTGTGGAGGTTGTGCCGAAGAGACTTGCACCGAAACCTGTCGGCTGCGTAGGGAGGTAGGAGGGATTAGTGGGCGGCAAACTCAAGCCAGAAGGATTGAGTCCGAAGTTCGAGGCGGCCGGAGTCCCTTGAGAGGCGCTGGCTGCAGAAGCAAACGAGGGAAAGCCTTCGTTGCTCTGCGCTTGCGGGGCTGTAGCTGGTTGACTAGGGTGTTGCGTGGAAGTGCTGTAAGCGAAGGGATTGCCTGTCATGTTGGGTGGCAAGCCCGACGTCGGAGCTGGAGAAAGAGACGGTGAAGGGGCAAACGAGGACGATGCGGCTAGCGAAGCTCCGAAAGAAGAAGTTGGCTGGAATGGCTTGATACTGCACGGTCAAGCGAATGACTCGCCGGAAGTCAGTACGTATTGTCTGATACTTGTATGCCTCGTATACCTGGCACTAGAACTCACTTTGAGCCGGCAAAGCCAGTCTTTTGGGGCGCAAGCGGTGAAGGCGGGGCAAAGCCGTTGCTGCCGTTGACTGACATCGCTGCGAAGGGAGAAGCCAACGATGCACCAGCTCCTTGTTGGCCGGTCAAAGATGCAGCATTAAGACTGGGAGACGTTGCAGCAGGCGCGCTGGATGGTTGCGCTGTCGGGGCAGGGCTAGCCGCATTCCCTCTGCCAGACGCGAATTCAGACGCTACAGAGCTTATAAGGCCGGTCTTCATGGGGACTAGAGCTTGGGTTTGCGATTGCGAACCTGGTCCGGTCTGGAGCTGCGAAGCTCCATTCGCACCGGCATTCTGCGGTTGACTTTGCTGTTGCGCAGTAGGGTTCCAGGCGCCGTGACCTAGCCCGTACACGCCCCCGCCTTGTTGCGGGGGACCAAAAGCACCCATTGCAAGCTGCTGCAAGGTGGGTCCTTTGTTGGTCGGAGGCGGAGAAGGGGGAGGAGTTGAGCCAGGAGGAGGTTTGAAAGGATTGTTTGAGCCGGTCTTTTGAGGTAAGAGCTTCGCTGGAGCGCCCAGAGACTGGCCCGCTGCAACATTCGAAGCCGGCGGAGCTGCTGATGTAGAAGCGAACGCGTTGTTCGAGCCGAAAGCAGATGACGGTGTCTGCTCCTGTGGTGATAGTCCAGACAGGCCAGGAGCTGAGGAATGCTGAGGTGTCTGCTGCTGCTGCTGCTGAGTCGGCTGGGAGAACGCTTGACCGCCGAGAGGCGAGCCCATTCCCGTTGGCTGCGGTCCCATCATCATGCTCTGGCGGAAAGGATTCATACCAGTCATCTGCGGCTGCAGCATCCCGGTGGGCTGTGCTCCAAGGAAGCCACCAGGTGCAAAGCCGGTGATCTGAGGTTGCAGCCCCCCCATACCACCTTGTTGGAACTGCTGGCCGGGAAAAGACTGCTGCTGCTGCTGCTGCTGCTGCTGCTGGAAGAAAGGGTTGAAGCCCGTCATCTGCGGTTGCATAGAACCACCGCCAAATCCGCCTGCGCCCATCGGGAAGCCAGTCATTTGGGGTGCTAGACCTTGCTGCTGCTGTGGGAAGCCAAATTGTGACGTACTTGGTCCACCGGGGCCAAAGATAGACTGCTGCTCGCTCTCAATAGACTCGAAGAAGTCTTGCAGCGCTTGGTTGCCAGTGGGTAGCTTGACCTCCGTTGCAGCAGGTGAGGACGGCTTGTCCTTCTCCTTCTCTGCCGCTGTCGGCTCTTTGAAAGTGACTGAGGGGAAGGCAACAAGTCAGTGCAAGCGAAGGGGTCACATGTCAGCTTGTGCAAAACCAGGTCGTGACCTCTCAGCCCTGTGCTCACTGCTTTTTTTGCTTTCGCTCGCTGGTACTTTGCTCTCGGGCTTAGGGGGCAAGCCGTTTGCCGCCCTTCGATTGGCAGCGTACTCTTTCCTATTCTGCTCAAAATTTGGATCCTTCAAGTATTCCTCCAGGGCCCCGGCCAGGCTCGTAGGGGCATGTTTGAGGTTCGGTATTGCGACATTGAGGGAGTAAGCAGCTTTGCGAGCAGCCTGCAAGTACGCAACAACCTTTTCTGTGTGGCGTGTGAACCTTTTGTAGATCTCCAACGCCCTCTCTGCATCAGGTTTGGACATCTCGAAGTAGTGCTCCAAGATGTTGATCATACCCTCGTTGATGGCTGTGTACAACGCGAACAGGTCTTTGAGCGCCATGCGAAGCGCCGTGATGGACATGTCATCGTTCAGATCGTCAAAGAAGAACTGTGGGCGCAGTGTGATGGGGCAAGCAGCTAGTCATCAGCCACAGGTCTTGATGAAGATGCGCGCAAAGAGGCTCACCGAGCAGTCAAGGAGCCTGGAGCAGACTTTCTGAGCATTTGCAACTTCTCGCAGCAAGCCCCTGTCTACCGTCAGTCTTCTGAGCCTGTGTCCGGCTCCACCTCCGTCTCCCCCATTTGTCCTGGCAGCATCAGACGAGCGGATCACGTCGTGATGCATCTCTCGATAGTAGCTGACGCGGCTATCCAGGTAAAGCGAGTAGGACGGCAATGATCGAGGGGCGTCATAGCCTGTCCGCAGGATCAGAAGAGAGAGGAGATGCAAAGCTGCGTCAGTACGTTTGCGAACAAGCAACAACACCAGAGCGATGCAAAGGCGCACCTTGCCAATTGCCTCCTGCTGCCACGTTCTTCAGTTTCAAGCTGCCATTCTCGCTTGACACATGCCGCAAGACGTTGTCGACACCACCATTCCTGATAAGCGTGTGCAAAACCAACAGCGCCTTGAATACGACCTAAATGTATGCGCGCGTACAACGGTGGTCAGCATCTCACTTGGCCTACGAGCATCGGACAAGCTGCACTCACAATACTGCTAGGTTCGCGCAGCCTCAAGGCGAGACTACGAGTGATGTCTTGCAGGCTGCCATCCGAGGAGAAAGAAGAGGCGATGATGGGGTCCATGTGCTTTGGTTTCGGCGCGCCAGCCTTCGACTTTGTGGCCGCCTTGACCACCTTGTCGTAGGACGACATTGCTTACCACCTTTCTCGCTGGTCGCTCACCGGGGGAAGATTGAAAGGCGGATGACTGCGCTCCCGAATGATCTGGCCTTGCCAGACCTGCAGCTCGTTATTGGTGATTCCAGAATCGTGCTCGTTGTGAGAAGGTCGGTGACCAAGCGAGACGATAAGGTGCTGTTGGTGGAAGGAGAAGCTGTATGAAAGGGCGAACGTGTAGACGATAATGAAGCGCGACCACGCTGACTTCTGGAGGCGGTGATGGTCTGGCAGGAGCACGGAAGCATTGACGTCGTCGAGAGTGCATGTACGTGTAGGTATACGACCTGCCTCCGAGAATGTAGCTGTTGTGTCGGTCCCTCTCGCACCATTTCGGTTCTAGCCCCACGACAGCCGCCGCGTGCCTGCACCAGCGCATCTTCTCCACGGCCAGGATGGGCCGGCAAACGTCATCACCACGGCTTGCATGCCCAACGATCACGTGAGTAAGTTGGGTACACAGCCGCGGAGACAGTCATGAGTCAACTCGAACCCTGATCGACCGAGGGCAAACGGGCGTATTGCAGGGCAAGTTGACTGTGCTGAGTGCTTGTGTGCACGTCGCAAGCCGCGCCGCTGCTGGGCGGAGGTGGCGCGTTCACTTTCGCTGCTGTTGCCGCTGCGCCCACGGAACGAATCGAGGACGCCCTCCACGTCCGTATCCCTCTTCCTACCTCCATCCATCGAGTGCTCAGCTTCAGTGAATCACTATTTCGTTCTGCGCAAGCCGGTCGCCAATCTTGCTAGCACTGCATCGCAAGCAAAGCTGCGAGACCGCGTTCCGGACATCTCTCCAGATACTCACTCGCCATCAATTGCGTCAACCTTGACATCCTGAGTTCCAACCAGACCGAACCGATCATGTCGTACGCTCAAGCACCGCCGGCATATGCAGCTGCCAACAGCAAGAATGGCTATCAACCCATTCCGCAAGATGACGTTGAGGCTCACGCAGAGTCCAGCGTCCCCGGACGCACAGCCAACGCGCAGTCCCCCCTGCTTGGGCCCGATGGCATGCCACTTCCTCGCTCTGAGGGAGACACTGATCCTGACGACTTCAAATTCGGTGTGAGTGGCTCACGCTGGCTAGCTTTGCCCGTCACAAAGCTGACTCTCGTCCATACTGCCAACGATTCCAGGTGACTGTGGAGCAAAGCTCCCCCGAGGTCCGTCAGATGTTCCTCAAGAAAGTGTACGCTACGCTTTTCATTCAAGTGGTATTCACCACAGCTATCGGAGCTGTTCTGCGCATGGACTCGATTCGATCGTGGATCTTCCAACACAGCTGGATCATCATGCTCACTTCCTTCTCAAGCTTGGTCACCATGCTCGTGCTTTACGTCAAGCGCCACTCTCATCCGACCAACGTTATTTTGCTTGCTGCTTTCACTGCTCTTGAAGCTGTCTCCATTGGAAGCGCTATTGCGTATGTCAATGAGGTGAGTCTAAGATGCGGTGCGCGCTTCCGCTTACATGTGGCCGCTCTGACCGAGTAAGCTCGAATCCTAGGTGGTCGTACTTCAAGCATTGCTCATCACAGGCTTCGTGTTCATCGCACTCAATCGTGAGTTCGTTCACATGTCTTCATTCGCGCTCGCGCCAACTCAACCGACATGCATACTCCCTTGACCGCATTGCAACAGTTGCGGTATACATTTGGCCCTCGGTAGACTATTCCAAGCTTGGACCTTGGCTGTTCTATGGCCTGTTCATCTTTTTGGGCATCGGTCTGGTTCAGCTCTTCGTCCCCTTTTCTCGCGGTGTAGACATCGCAATCGCAGCTGGAGGCGTAAGTCTTGAAGCGCACGCGGCAGGCTGGCCGCAGTGACATGTCTGACACATTGTTCGACTTGTTTACAGGCCGTTCTGTTCTCGCTTTACACACTCTATGATGTGGATGCGATTTCGAAGAGGCTCTCTTGCGAAGAATGGTGCTACGCCAACGTCATGCTCTTCCTCGACCTGCTCAATCTCTTCTTGTCCATTCTTCGCATCCTGAACGGAGCTTCCAATGACGACTAGTCGGTCATTTGCTGCGTTCGAACGTGCTGAGCGCCATGACGACTCGGCACGATGTCAGCAGCATTCATCCCGCAAGTTGCTCGCAGCTCTCACCGACCATCTCAAACGGCTGGCCATACTTGGCCACCCCAAATTCAATGCCGCCCGCGAACGACCGAGAATCTCTCACGACCTCACCTGTATATCCCTCGAGAAGTCACCTACCCATCTGTAAGAAACCCCCGTCTCGATTGATACGTTCTAACCATACCACCCAAGAGCTTGGTGTTGGCGCGACTTCCTGACTTGGGGAGATTGCTGTTGCGTCGCACTTGCATTGTTCTTACGCTCGTGACTGCCTCGTCGCAGCCAATGACGTGCTGCACGCAGAACGGGCTCGGACTTCCAGCGCGTCAGATTGTGATTGATGGTCAAGGGTCCCTCCTCCTCATCCTTTGAAATGCTGCTCTGCTCTGGGCCGAAGCCGTGATAGAAGGGGCGGGCGTCGCAAGCTTATCAAAAGATGACTTGTGTATTCGTCGAGCCGCAACGCTGTACGATCGCTCGCTAAGCAGAAACACGTTTCTGGAAGTATCTGGACAGGGCAGGCTTTGATTGCATGCCCTAAAGGCCGTCATGATCTACATGGTTCTACATTCCTTCTGATGGGATGTGTCGCCTAGACGCCCTGGCTGAGCAGGGCGTTGAGTCTCTGAACGCGGCTGGAGACAGAGAGGTCCACGGATCGGTCTCCAAAGTCGACCTGCAAACCACCTTGGATTCCGGGAGAGACCTTTTGAACAATCTTGACGCTCTTTCCAGCGGAAGCTGCTTGGCTACCCTTGAGAGCGCTCTCGAGACGGGAAGCGGTGGACTTGTCCAGGGGCTGCGAGAAAGGGGTACGGGACCTGATCTCAGCTTGGAGGTCCAAGGATACGGCGCCTGTCGTGCGTGCACTGAAGCGACCGGCCAAGCCACAGTCTGCACTGTTACCTCTCGATCTGAACATTTCCTGCTACTTTACTCACAGCGGCGCTTGTGACGGTGATGACAACCTCCCCACGGTGCGCGCTCATGAGTTCGAGGAAACCTTCGATGACCTTTTCCGTGTCTGGCAGGCGTCCGTTCTCAGCAAGCACTTCGAAGAGGTTGCTGTATGTAAAGGCGATCACGCGAGGAGATCGATGTGTTAGCCAAGTAAAGTGGATGATCAGATCCTCAAAGAATCCCTCCGCAATACGTCTATAAGCACGCCTTTTGCAGCCCTCTGCCAAGCCGTCAATGACCACCCAATCGCCCTTGTCGCCGCGATTGCAAATATGTCCGGGCGATGCTCACCGGGTGATAGCGTTCTCCTTTCCACCGAGCAAGGAGTCGAGACCCTGGCTGCGCTCCTTGACGCCCAGAGTAGGGTTGTTGATGAAGTCTCTGAGCTTGACTCCTTGAGATCCGGTCAAGGAAGTTTGAACGCTGCGCAGGTCCTTCTCGACGGCATCGAGAGTCTTGCTGTCCTTGTTGGCGGCAGCTTGGTAGGCCGAGGTTGCGTACTTGCCTGTGCATCAACAAAGGAAATCCAAAAGGTGATTGAGCATTCATGCTGCTGAGAATGCAGTCCCGGCAGCCCTGCACTCACCGGGCAGGCCGTTGAGTTGAAGCGGTGCCTTGACGCTGGCGGGGGCGGCATAGCCGCGAACCGACTGCGACAGGAGGTCGAGGGGAAAACATCAGCGTAAGCCTACGAGTCTCGGTCCACTTCTAGCCAATTTCAGGTTGGAATCGGGATGCGCACCTGGTTGAGAATGCGAGAAGAAAAGCGAGCGGCGGCCATATTGTCTAAAGTGTGGCTGATGGACAATGCTGGTAGTCTGACCGATTGCCGCGAATGTTGTCGCGAAGATGTGGTTACGATTGCTGCCCAGCTGTGACGAAGCAGCACAGCAGGTGGTGCGGGATCGTGCGCGGCGATGGGTTGGGCACGGGCGCGGGCGCGGGCGCGGCGCGCGAACGGGGCTCTGACCGGCGCTGGCCGACTGCATGGTGGTGGCCATATTCCACCCATCAGCCACGTGGCTTCCAGCCTGCCCCTCCGTAAATCTGAGATTATCAGACGGGTACAGATGCAAATCCCCTCGCGTCTGGTCGTGAGTGGTGCATGGGTCACATTCATCCTTGAATCGGCCAATTCGAGGCCAGGCACTTCACTCTTCGCTTCTTGACAATCAAGCAATTGACTGTTCCCTAAGTTGCCAACTTCGAACATGGTCAGATACAGTTGCGCAACGCTGTGTCAGATTGTCGACGCAGATCGACGCCGCCTCGCACTGCCTCTCTAGGCCGTCAGCCTGACGATGTCACAAGCCAAAATCACAACATAGCAGAACGTCTTTGTCTGACCGCTCTCTCGGCTGCCATCTTGGTACGCTTGCCAGATGCACCAAGGTACTAGATGGCGAATGGCAGATGCAGTACGCCTTTCCCACGCACATATCGCAATCAATCACATCTCTGGATTCGTTCGGAATGGTGACAGACAGGTACGCGATATCGCATGCTCCCTAACTCTTTGGGACGTTGAGGTGCGAGTGAGGACGCTTTCTCTTGGAATCTACTGCTGCTTGCTGCGGATCAAGAGGTAGTGAGAAGAAAGCCGATGGCGTGGTCTCAAGTCAGAGGTGCAAGGAGCGCGTAACGGGTTGAATCGACTCACCACTCTTGTGGGTCCTGAGAGCCGGCCATTTGTGAGCCTGCGCTCGCGCCGAGCTGAGCACGACGAGCAGGAGGCTCGTCCTCGTCTTCGTCATCCTGCGATTTGTGCCAGGTGGAGCAGGCGGCGTGCCCGATTGGCATTGAATGCGCATGGGAAGTTTCATGTGATGGTATTGATTGCGAGCGAGAGGGAAGGCGGATAGGGGCACGGAGAAAGGACAGGCGAAGCTCGTGTGAGCGGCCGAGTCGTTTCGACAGCCAGCGCCCAGCGTTTCGACAACATAGTCCAAGTCTTTCTGCATGTGAAGAACCTTCTGACGTCTCCACAATCACTCATCGCTACCCACATCGTCCTCATCGTCCTCGTCAAATTCTTCGTCGTCCAACAGATCGTCCTCGTAAGCCAAGGCTTTGCCAGTCTGTGAGCGTCACACCAGAATGGTCAGCAAGGAGTGACGACCAGCTCAGTCAATGCTGCTTAAGACTCACGAAGAAGTCAACGGCGTGAGGAATGATCCTCTGCAATAGAGAAGAGGCGCATCGATCAGATTGACTTTCGCGCTGAGTTTGGGGAAGTCTCCGGTCAGAGGGTGTGCACTCACGTCCTTGAGGTCTTCTCCGACTTGGTAGTCAAGCTCCAGGCGCTCATCAAGCCTACCGAAACGTTGCACGAGAGCTCTGTCAGTATCGAAAGCATCGCACCACCCTGACGTATTTGTAACTCACTCGTCAAAGTCAGCTTCCTCGTCCGCATCGTCATCCTTGGGAGGCTTGGGTGGAGAGAAGAAGTTGAAGAAGGACTCGACAGGCACAGAACGTTTGACAGTACGAGTCTGGTTTGTGTTTTTGTTTCGTTGCTTCTTGGTCTCGATCTTGTGAGTCAGATCCTTGTCTTCCTTCCACTCGATCTTGTCTCCCTCTGCGTGGTCGTAAACGAGATCACCGCTGTATCCGACCTCATCTTGGTAGTAGTAAGTTTTGGTCAGAAGCGTGTTCGTGAAGAACTCGTTGCTACCAAAGTGAAACTCGAGCTTGAACCCAGCCTGAGTGCCAGGAAGGTACGACATGCGAATATCACTGAGCGCCTTGAGGGCATCCTCGTCGCGCTCGGTGATGAGCTCCGATAGGGCAACGTGGTTCTTGAGGGCTGTGAGCCAGAATTCGGGGATACCCTTCTCACTGTTGGCGGGAGCCTGGGCATCGGCCAGGCTTGCCTTGGGCTCCTTGGGCTCATCCTCGTCTTCCTCAGGAGGGTCTGATTCCTCGCCCTTCTTTACTTCTTCAAACGAGGGCTCGACAGAGCCGGCAATGATCTCCGCTCGGCGAGTGTACAGGGGGCGGTACCTTTCGGCGTACTTCTTCTCGAGCTCGAGGATCTCTTTCTGGAAGTCTGCTTCCACCTTGGCATGGTCGACCTGCAGACCTTTCAAGCCTTCCACGCGACGCTTGATGTGGTCTGGCAGCGACTCGATGTAGCCGGATGAACGACCGACCAGACCAGAAAGCTTGCTCTGCATCATGGCAGCCAGAGCTGGGTTAGACGCGAGGTCTGGGATGGTGCGGCACAGTGTTAGCTAGCCACACCTTGAGAGGTATGCAACGACAATTATGTGCGCGGTCGTAAATCTCAATGATGCACCCGTGAGGCTTATGTACTCACCCTTGACGCCGTCCTCATCATCTTCGCCGATGGTTCCAACAGTTGGTCGGGAGAGTGCCTCTCGAGTAATAGGAGCGTTTGTAAGAGGCGTGTTTTGCGGCGTGGGGGCCGTCAGGTCGGGCCTGTTGCTGTGAGCGAAAACAAGTCAGATAGCATGGCTCATGTCAGAGACTTTTGCTCGAGGGCCGAATCCTGTCTCGCTTTGTGGGCCAGATCGGTTGCCACTGCTTGCGGCTCCCTATTGAGGCTGCACGCTTCTGTGTGAAGCATTTTGCATAATCATTTGCGGGTGGCCTTTTTCCTGGATGCCCTTGCAAGAGGGCATGGTAGCTCATGAGGCTGCGACCAGACGTGCCACTCACTTGATAGGAACGTTGCTCGACATGGCGTCCTTGGCGAAGTAGGGAGGATCGACAAGAGACTCGTGACCTTTCTGCTGAAGAGTTGGACGCGCAAAGATGGCCTTCTTCAAATCTGCGACACCGCTGAAGTAAGAGCTCAGCAAAGCAGGCACAAAGACTATCCTGGATCAATGACTGGTGGTAAGAAGGAGCAAATGACGACGCATTCGAAATGAAGAAATTGACTCACGACTGGTGAAGTTGTTGTACCCTCGGCTGCGCGTGTGGCGCGTCAGACTCTCTGTCCCAAGCTCGCCCGGCATGCACCCACCCAAAAGCAGCCAAGACGAGCAGCAGCAGTGTGAGTGCCACCTCTGCCTGCTGCCGGCAGCCTATAGGTACAAGCTGCAACACTCGCGCCCCCCGCGCCCCTCGCGCCCGCAAGTCTGCTGCCCCGCCAAATTTTAGGACGCGCACGGCCACGCAACCGACCAGCAGAAGATGGGCCGGGCGCGCGGGGAGATGCTGCGCGCGTGCGGCACGTCGCGTTCAGCAACGTATATACTCTGCCTGCACTCGCTCCTCTTCACCCAACATCACCGCTAGATCGCCACTCGCCAGCTGAGGCTGCTGCATGCTCGAGGTGCGGTAGGAGCGCGAATTCACAGCATCGAGCTGTTTGCCGCGTTGGGCTTCCCCAGCAGCATGCATGCCATGAACCCACGCGCCGCCACGCAAGTCAGATCCGAGCGCATGGCCGCCGCCGCGCGATGAGAAGTGAGAAGACGCGTGCCGCGCGCGCCCCTGCCGCGGTACTGAACCCCAAAATTTGGTGCGGGTGCGGACGCAAAGCCTACAGCAGCGGCTCTCGGACGAGAATCGTTCAAGAGGCATTACGCTGAATCTAATCGTACCTGCCAAGATGGACGCCATGTCGGCTCGCACTGCACCAAGGCAGCTTACTGATACAATTGAGAAACACAAGAGAGAGGAAAAGGTATGAGGTGTATGCGTACAGGATTACAAGAGAATCTCGCAAAAGGTTTCGGAGTGAGTGGGTAGGATGTGATGTCGAGCGTGGCTGCTCCAACAGTACCGGAAAGCACGACGGAATAGAATGGTATCGATTTCACGTGGGAGGCAGATTCGCAGAGCGAGCCGTGCAGCAGGTGCGAACAACGGCATCGCTCAAAAGTCATCGTCCGAGTCGTCGAATCTAGGTGTCTTTTCTTGTCCTTCCTGCCTATTCTGCATGCCTGAGCCTCTTGCGCTGCCGTTGATCGCAGCAGAAGCGTTACCCTTGACAGAAGGGACTTCCTCCCATGTCGAATTGGCGTCATCCTCCTCACTAGTCGTGAACTCGTCTTGCGAAGAACGGCGCTTCACGGCATCACCGCGTCGAGAGCGAGGGCGAGTAGATACGTGGCTAAGAGCAACCTGCGCCGAGCTGCTGGTAGCAGTATCGACAGACGAAAAGCTGGCCGACACATCTGGCGCAGGCGACGAGCGAGACGATGGCTGATGTCTCATGTTGTTGTGGCGAGTAATGGGACTAGCAGCCGCCGTTGCTCCAGTATCGACACGTGAACGGTGCGATCTCGGATTGGCAGCACGCGATGATGTCTGGATCGCTTCCACGCTGGGAGAGATGCTGGAAGCATCATCGCTGCTTGGAAAGGCGATGCTGACCTCTGCGCTAGACCCAGCCCGGTCGCCAGCTGATGAGCTGTCGAGCGAGCTACGGGATGACCGGTGCGACAATGGATCACCCCTCCAGCTGGTTGGTGCATGATCGCCGACTAATTGTGAAGCCGAAGTACGAGCCATGCTAGTGCGCTGTTTGATAGAAGATGAGGCGGACCCGCTGCGAGATCTCGAATGGGCAAGACTGTTACGACTTCTAGGTCGCGCAGACGTGCTAGCCTGGTCCCGATATTGCGAGCCAGAAAAGGTTTCGTCCGCAGAGTCACCGTCGCGGGCATCGTCATCCGCATCAATCGAGCCCTCGCTAAAGCTTTCCAAGGCAAGGTCGTCGTCATAGGACAAGTCATTCGAGGCCGTTGCAGCTCCATTGCGAGGCACGTCCGAGTCGTCCATCATCCAACGGGGAGGTGCATCCTGTACGCTAAAGATGGGCTTCGAGAGTGCCCGCACTCTTGAGACCAGATCATCGAGAGATGATTGGTCAGAGCAGAGGAAGCCGAGAAGCATCGACGGGTCGAGTGACTCCATCGCCATCTTCTTTGGCGGTGCACTGTAGTGATAGCTGCCAAGCTCCTGCTCCGAATAGGCGTTGACCCACCACTCGTCCGCGGCTTCTTGCGTGCCTTCCCCGCCATCTGCGCTAGGCGGATAGGAGGGAGGCGCGTGGCGGAACGGCACTGCAGGTCTCTGGTTGTGAGGGTCGAGATAGAACAGTCTCGAGCCTTGGAAGCCAACAAAATAGAAAGACGAGCTTGGTCTCCCACCAGCGATGCCGACACTCTGTGGAAACGTGAAGAGATCCTGCAAGGCCCAGAGCATCGATCGTCAGTGTCAGGCGCACCTTGATCGACCAGCTGCCTAGACTTACCTTGATAGAGTCGTGATACATCGAGTTGACGCCCTCGAGGCCAAGGCGGATTCCCACGAGTATGAGCACCGGCCGCTGCCACTCATCGCCAGAAGGCTCTCTAGGCGCGGGTAGTGCAGCAGCAATATGAACGCGATTGAGGTACACGACACCATCGGCAGCCAGACAAACCCCGAGACCAGCTTCAGGAAATTCGTCCACGAGCTTTTTGATAGCACCCGCTGCGGTGCTCGGGCCAAACCATTCGCCAGGCTCCTTCCCAAGCCGTTTGCCCTCGCGCGCCATGCGGTGCACAGAGAATGGACATGCAGGACTAGGATCGTCGAAGAACCACGAGAGCAAACGCACGTAAGTGGCATACTCTGCGCGACTCACACGCCACGCTTCTTTGGCTTCCATGCCCGCGAGTGACTTGGCCAATGCAGCGCTACTCGGTCGAGTTCGGCGTCTCCAGTCCCTTCCCAGATGGACGTTGATAAGCGCATTGGCAAGCAGACTTTGGCCCGTCCTCAACATGCATCCCCAACCTGAGTCGCGTGTCAGATCTGACCGAACACCCAAAGCGCCGGAAAGAGCAGCTGTGGTGCGGCCCCAGAGGCTCGGTATGCCCATGCGTTCGCCGAGTCCCGGAGCGCTACCGACTTGGAAAGGCTGACCACTATTCGGGCTTGCGCTCGACGCTCGTGGCAATCCTAAGGCAGCACCTAGTCCGTGTGAAGCACCGGGCGGAGATGTGGATGCAAGCTCGGAAGGGTAACCAGCACTGCTGACAGCCGGACGTCTACCAAGCCAGCCGCGGCTCGTTCGCGAAGCTTCAGCGGCGCTTACCGTCGCCACGCCCGTGACTAAGGATGTAGTTTGAAGGTGAGTTGGGTGCTGCGACCTCAGAGGTACAGAGACGCTGGCAGTCATACTCGTAGCCTTCAACTCGAGAGCTGTTTCTTCCTCTGCTTGAGCTGTGGAAAGGGCTTCTGCAGCTTGCGTCGCAGCCAGCTCTCGCGCAGCGTCTGCCGCTTGAGCTGATATGCTGCCGTCCCGCGCGATGGCAGAGAAATTGGCTCGATATGTGCACCAGACTCGACTGGACAAATCGTCGTGAAAAGCAGCCAGATCAGGGGGCGGCGTCGTACGAGCGCTGCCATTGAGTGCTGTGCCGACAGAGATCTTCCTATGCAAGCCTGGCTTCTCATCCGCACTGTCACGCCGCTTCGTGGTCTCGCGAGGGGCAGACGAAGGCTGCGGTGAAGCGTGCGGGGTCGGGGGATTACGAATGATCAGCGTCTCGTCCCCGCCAGCGAGTCGCCTTTCGACCGGCGAAGGCGTAAGTGGAGCGCGATCTGCGCTATCTGGAGAAGCTGTAAGAAGCAAGGATTCCTTTGAGACTGAGCTTGGCGCGCCAGGGCCCCGCTTTTCTTCATGCGCTGCAGCCTCAGCTTCTGTTCTATGTTCCGTGTTGCTTGCAGCGGGGCTACTCGCCCTTTCGGCGCGAGCCTGGCGGGGCGAGGCGGTGTGCACTTCAATGGTAGGTCTTCGAGCAGGACTGGTGGGTCTGTGTGGATTGTGAGGGGACTGCGACTCGAGCTTTTCACCCGGCGTAATGGTATCCTGACCAGCAACAGAGCTGTGCAGAACCCCGAGCAACCAGATGTCACGGGTCGAGGCGTCATTCTCTGCCTCTCGAAGAGAGCGCATGGCGCGATCGAGGTTGCCGACGCGCTGACGCGCAGTGTTCGACAGGTTGGACAATATGCTCTGCTTTCGCGTCGCCGTGCCGTTCACAGAGGACCTGCTGTTGGCGCGCTGAAGCGATGGGGAGACTGATCGCTCACTGTGATCAGAAGCCGGACGTTTGAGAGCAGTAGAGGAAGCTGAGGTCGAGGCCAGCGGCTGTGTAGCCTGATCGCGCTCCGCCACCTGCTCTTCGGTGCCGAGCATGTTCAAGAGCCACCCACTGAGTCTTCTAGGAAAGGCCTCACCTTGGGCTGCTTGCAGCCCGTCATCGGCCAGCGAAGGTCTTGCCAGCGCGGAGGTGCCAGATGACGAAGCACAAACCTGGTTGGGGTTGGCCTCGGTGTCTGCAACGCTGTTGTCCACGCCGCGTTCTCCGACCGCCCGACCAAAGTCCAGCAGAGAAGAGACTGAAGCAGAGGCCTGCGTGTCGATACTGGTCCGGCCGTCTGGACTCCTCAAGCTGGGACTCCTAGGACCTGAAGCACTGGTCAGCGAGGTTTTAGACCTTCGTCGAGCCCAGCTGGGCATGGAAGTGGTTCTGCTGAGCATGTCGCTTGCCCTCTTCGAGACGCTTGTACTCGAGTCGGCAGAGGTTGCGAGCGAGTCGGTACTAGCAGCTGCTGCTTGGTTACCACCAGAGGATCCCTTGAAAAAGAAAGACCGACTGCCCACGCGGCGCACAAAATTCTGCGCGGTGCTTCCGGTTCTAGGTACCGCCTTCCCATCCGCTTGTGAGACCGACTCGCTTAAAGTCTCTTGGCTTACACTCATCGACGTCTTCCGCGTCCCGAGCGCGTCCTTCCTATCTCTCGAATCTGCACTTCCTTCTTCGATAGCTGACTTTCCCGCTGGGCTGGAAGAGCTACCGAGCTCAAAGGCGCTCTGCACGCTGGTTCGGATTTGTCTGTTCCCGACGCCTCGTAGCGAGCTGGGAGGATGAGGACCGCGCAGTGACGATTCCGGATCTCCATGATGTTCCGCGACACTCTGCGATCTGCCAAGAGTCCCGATACCAGGCATGATCTTGCGCCACGTTGCAGATCGCGGACGACTGCCGGAGCGAGTTGGTGTGGAGGTGGATGGGACTACCAGCTTTGAAGGTTCCTCTGCAAATGCGCCGGATGCGTCTTTGCTGCTCTGGCGATGCAAGAGGGGCGATACGGCTGGCGATTCCATACTGATCGGAGGTGGCCTTTTGGCAGGGGAGTACTTGATGCTGTTGTCATCGGACGGTGCAGCCGACTCGGACTGAGCGTCGTGCGCTAGGCCCGCATCCGCCTTGCTCTCTGACATTTCCATACTCCCTTAGCTCAGGCTGACCTGCTACGGAGCGTGGCGCTGAGGATGCGGAATGTTCCGGTCGAGCGGTCCGGATTCGATGACGTTGTACTGGGTATAATTTGGCTCGCCGCGAGGAGCTCCGTGCGTGTAGAAACCTCTGGGCGCTCGAGCTTGTGTACACCTCAATTCATCCGGCAATCGACGGTCCGGCTCGACGTTTGGGATGTGAGGCCAGGGACCGGCCTGCTTGAGGTGAATTGGAGCACAAGCAGGCACCGAACAATGTGACAAAAGCCACGAAGGAAGAAGAAGTCTTTGCGTGGCGCCTTCGAGTAGTCCGGTAGTCGTGAGTGAGGATCTGCGTCGATCGACCACGCAGCATCCACCCGCCTAAACTGTTGCTTGGATGCGATGTCAACCGTGCGCAGCGTGTGCAGGCGGGCGGGCATACATCGGGGGCGACGCTTCACAGTCGTCAAGAGTTAGCTCCGCGTCGCAGGCGCATCTTTCTCGTACGAGACGAGCGAGCACATGCCTGACGCGGCCCTCACTTTGACTCGAGGCGTACTACAGAAAATCCACGTTTTGGTCATGGATTCTCGTTCGTGCGTGCATCGCTCGTATTCGCCATGAAAGCGAAAGACTCATGACCGACGGTCAATTAAGCCAAATGACATGCCGTTGAGAGCGACAAGACCGCGCTGATGCAGATCTAAGCTCAAGCACTATGACTGTGAATCTCAATTGAGTCGATGCATGCATTATAGTCGTGAATACATCTTCATATTATTGACATTTGGTATACATGTAAATTCTTCGAATGTTATATATACACAGCCACTCACAGCTGCGGACGCCGCGTCGGCACATCATCATCGCTGCATCGAATCGAGAATCAGTAGTTTTGAGTCTTGAGTCACCATCAGTGAATGGATGCGAGACCTGTGTGCTGCTGAAGCATGCATGCAGCGAGACTCTGACTGGCGCCCGAGCTGCTGGCCTCCTCTTCGTCTGCCGCCGCTGCTGCAGGTGTATTTCAATGTATTCGCGGTTAAATTCAGATTACAGATTGGGCTCGTGAGGTACAAAGTTGCAATTGAGAAATTCGAGTTTTGAATTTGCTATGGATGGCCAGCTGCATGCCTCTCGTCTCTCCAAGAGGCGCGCGCAGCCCTGACGCTGCTGTTCGAGCCAGCGGCAAGCAATCCGGATTCGAGTTTTGAGTATTATTGTAGCAGTCGTGAGTCACAAGTAGTAGTCCAGCGTGATGGATAAGTCGTGAGTCAGAGTCACATTTATATACTCAAGACTTGCAAGCTCGTATGAGCAACACTTCTCGATCAGCACATCGATCACGACCAGCAGTCACAAGTGTACCGTGGTGCACCGTGTCGGTGTTGCGTGCGCAGCTGTTGGCGCATCAGCAGCTGCATGCTTGCTGTAGTCACGAGTAGGCATTCACGATTCAGATTGCTGTACGGTGCATTCAGCAGCAGTCAGCACCTGCAGCAGTCGTGAGTCGTGAGTGTACGTGTGCTGCACGGGCGGAAGCTGCTTACCGTGCCAGTCAAGTCTTAATCGTGAATCAGCACAGGTGTCGACCCACGCGTGCATGACTGTGATCGCACTCGTGACTCTGATGATCGAAAGCCACGCAGAGTGCAGCAGCAGCAGCAGCGGCAGCAGCACGGTGCGCGGTGCGCGGTGCGCGCAAAGGTTCATGAGAGAGGGCTTGTGCGTTGGTTGACTTCCCCTTGCGTCCTGCTGCTGCTTGATATGTGCTTGACTTTGCCCTTCCCTGTCTGTTGCTTGGTGGCATTTCAGTCACAGGCTTGAGTCTTGAGTCTGATTGAGTCTACCTAGCTGCATGTATGATCAGTCACTACTCACAGCAACAGGTCAGACGTCGCCGTCCCTTTGATGTATCGGCGCTTTGCACGTCTTCGTCATTTGCAGGAACCTGACTTGCCTTCTCCACACAAAGCTGACCCCCTCTCCCAACCCATTGAAGTTGCAAGTCGTCAAGATCATCCTTGACGCGTCTTCACTCTGGCAGTCGCCCGATCATCGACATCATTTGCGCCGAGCCTTTGATACATTAGGTCGCAAAATACACGCAAGCATTCGTTTTTAAATACTCATTTGGTGTCGCTAAACACAAGAGCAGCCGCGCACCGAGAGGATCGTTGCCGTACGCGTTGGCCCAAACTGGACGCGCGGCCTTCATCCGCTTTCTGCGCTCATCCACCAACCATCAGGCAGCACAGCGTTGGGGCCTTTTGCTTCGAACATCTTATACAGCGGCTCCCTTTCACCATCGCCGGCCACATCGCAAGCCACGAGTACACTTCGCAAGGAAGGGCCTCCTTGACTTCGCTCCGCCGCCCGGCGAGTCCGCTAAGGCTTGAGGCCTTGGCGCAAAGCTTCAAACCATGGCAGGTTCAGTCATCGTGACTCCTACTACTCCCTTACCTTCCTCCGCCCATCCTCTTGCCACCAAAAGCAATGGTCAGCACTACACTCAATCAATAGCAGCACCTGTCGGATCAGATCCCCTGTCTCCCACAGCGGAGGATGAGGGTGAACCCGCAAAGCTAGCGAATGGCGCATCATCAAACAGAATCGCCCCTTCGTATCTGCAGGAGTCTGGCGATAAAGCGACCAATCCTGAAAAGCAAAATCGAAAGAGCGGCTGGATAGAACTCGACACTGCTGCACGACATCAGGACAGGCCCAAGATGTCTAGCAGCTCAAAGCAGGACAGGGCAAGACAGGAAGCTGAAGAATGGGGCACTACGGGCAATCGGAAACATCAGAGCGCCATCGGATATCCGTATAGCCCCAATGGCGAAGAGCCTGATGGCGAAGCCAAGGCCATTGAAGAGGTGAGTACTCGTGCAGATACTGGATCATGGGAATACGATCCTGGGAACACGATCCTGGGAATACGGGCAGGCTTTGGGCGGGCAGAGTGTTCGCGATGGCAGCTAGGCCGCACTTCCGGAGCTGTTGCACGTGTCTTCGCTCGGAGCCTGTTTGAAAAGGGGCAGCTTGATAGCGTTGATCAGCAAAAGAAGGGTGCATACATGAAGGGGCAACGTTACTCCGTCGCCGGGCTTGTGCTCCATGATCCCACAAGGTGTCATCTTTCTCTCGGCTTCTTTGATTTGTCGTCAAGAGTCTTCTGCCAGCACGCACTGATGCATCACATGAACCCGACAGAACCTCGAGCGCTGGGCCGCTGCAGAAAAGCAACGTCGCCGCGCTTTGCGTGCTTCAAGATCGACATCCCTGGTCGGCCCAGCATCCAACTCACCAACTACATCTCTGGCAAGGAGGATATCGACGCTTGGGCGCAAAACGTCCACCACGACCGGAGGTGTCACTGTCAACGGTCTCAATGGCATTTCGACATCCGAGTCGCCAATCTCTGGCGGTGCTGCGCTGTTGCGACGCGGGTCTAAAAGCGAGAGCATGAGCAGTGCGGAAGACGGCAGGGAGTCAGGTGACTCTTCCCAGCGTAGCCTCCGAGCTGTCAATTCCAACACCAGCGCAGGTTCTGCAAAGCGTCAGCTGGGTGATTCGATCGTAGAGGAGAGTGAGGCAGATTCTTTGCAAGGATCTTCCACACCATCATCGAGCGCGACGACGGAAGCCAAGGGCAAATGGAAAGCGAGCGAGAGCGACGGAGGCTGGTCAGTGCCACCCTCGGCTGCCGAGCAACGAAGACTGGCGTCAGACAATTACGATTCGGCAGCTGCAGCCGCCGCTGCAACTGCAAACGCTTCCCCAACAACTCCAAGTGGCAATCCGTTTGGGGATGAGAGCGAGGCGGCCGCCGCGCGAGATTCTCCCAACAAGGCACGGTCTCCTTCGCGGAGGAGAAACAGCGCGACGGATCAATCGCCAGGTCGCTCATACTCGCAATCGGGCAAAGCTACACCCCGCAGACCCATCGTCACTCCAGGCAGAGCGCCGAGCGTCCGATATCACGCGGAAAAGTCTGGCAAGTACGCACCAGCTATCGTAGCAACCGATATGGACGTAGCAGGCAGAGAAGCTGGCAATCCATTCATCGGGAAGGAGGAGGTAGAGGATGCATCTCGGAGCAGGTATGCGATGAGGGGCAGTGGAGCATACAGCAGCACCATCAATCGACCCGCGAGACAAGCGAGCGCTTCCGGACTGATGGAAGATCTAGTAGAAGAACCTAGCACGCCAACGAGTGCTGCGCCGAGTGCTGCCCAAGATCCCGAGAGGCGCACGAGTCAGCTGGCTCCTCCTCGCACTAGCACTTCTACGAGTCGTTTCAACGAGGTCGGACTGGATGAGGATGACGCTTGGAGCCCCACCATGGAGGAGCCGTCTGCTGATGCAGGACGCAATGCTCAGCCTAGAGCGGATCCGATCGAGAATGAAGGGCGCAGGAAACCTTGGTGGACGGAGCTGCTTTGTGGTTGCGGTCTCGCTCCTGGTGCTGACGACGAGCAGGTGAGTGTCAAGGCCCTCGCTCCAAAAGTCGCGCTACGTTTCTGCTGACGCCCGCCCATGCTGAACCGTTTGCAGACTGGCAAGACAGGACCGGAATAGTCTCTGAGCGCTCCACGCCGCTCAAACCCCACAACTTCTGCAATTGAATGTCGACTGGTCCGATTCAGCATCTCTCATCATCTTGCATCCACCACCTTCTGCCTTTCCCAAAGTTGCGGATATGTCTCTCGTCCCCCCCCGCATCCAGTGTCTCTAGTCTCCTGTAAGACAAGTCAGACATTTCGCAATCATCCATCGCCTCCTTTCCATTCAGCTCAAGCACTTGGGACAGAGGAACACATCGGCATTGACATTGTAATACGAGAATGACTCTGAACAAGCAGCGGCGTGCCACAACGAAGCAAGTGTCACAAGAACGTGTAGAGCTCATTTCTGACCCAGTCGTTGCGTTCGTCGGCCGGAAAATTGGGGTAAAAGGGTACCAAGCTGTCCTGCGCGCCGAGGTAGCAGCTGTTGTAGACGCGGATGTAGGGCTCTCTAACTTTTCGCGCGGGATGGACGATGCCTTGAAGGGTGTGATTGAGCAGGACACCAGGCCCCAGACTGACCCGCATAGCCTCAATGGCGTCCATGACGTTGCCAATGACGTGCGGCGACGTCTCGAAGATGTTGGGCCAGACGAGGTTCAACAAGTGTTGCATGCTGTCTTCTTGACCTAGACCGGCCGTGCCCAGGGCAATGTGCTTGACGATGGCTGCTGCCGTCTGTCGATGCACGGCGTCCCTATCCGTCAGCGCATCCTCCAAACACCCGACCACAGAGTAGACGTAATCCTTTGCCATCTCTCCGATGTACTCAAAGACGAAGCTGAGCGCTTTCAGACAGCCATTGCGGACGTTTAGATCGGGAGTGCGATACTCGTTCAGAATGGCGGGGATGGTCGTGAAGGGTCCACACGTTTCGGCAACAATCGCAATGGCGACTGTGCTGCACACTCTGCTTTGACGTTCTTGCACTCGCAGGTTGGTCAAAAGCACTTGCAGGACATCTTGAGGGCCAATGGCCTTGGCGATGTAGCCAAAGCTGTTGACGGCCTTGAAGAGGAATGGAAGCAACAGATGTGAGTCAGCATTAGTTCGGGCGTTATCGACCGCAAATTCTGCACTACTCACTGCTCGACGAATCGCTTTTTTGTGTGCCTTGAGAAGATCCAGCAGCTCAAAGCAGATACGCATCCACTCTCTAGCGCTAACAAATTCAGCGCCTCTGTCTGCGATACGACCGATCAAGTTGATGCTGGCTTCTTGCACCTTCTCGTGTCTGTTGCGCAGGATGGGAGTCATGCGCGGTAGGAGGTCCTTGATGGGCGGGCTCATCTGGGTCATGCCGACGACGTTGGCAATGGCAGCCTCAGCCTCGATGATGCTGGCCAAAGTCTCGGGAAACTCTTCACCCAGATGCTCGAAGAGCACGACTCCCAGCTTGGACAGCAGTGCGTCTTCGCCGCATTGCTTCACTACAATGGCTAGCTTTGTGGTAAGATCTGCAGCTTGCTGGCGCGTCTTGGCGTTCTTGTTGGTGAGACGCCACAAGACCGTCGAGACGATCTGAGTCAAGTAAGGTCGCACCCGTAGACCGAGAGCATTGACGACCACTCCGAAGCCATCGAGCATGACCTTGTCCTCGTTGGTCTGCTCCTGGAAGGCATAGATCAGCCCATCTACCAGTCGCGTCTCCAGTTGTTCGTCGATGTCTGCAGCGCCAAGATTGCCAATGACGTGCTGAATGGTCTCCATGCACATCTTGCGGAATGGCTCGCTTTCGTCCTTGAGTCCGTCCACGATGCGGCCAACGACGTCAGAGACTCCAACTTTGTTCGCAAGCTCGACGGTGGTCTCTACAACTTGACGATAATTGCGTCTGTCGAGCGCCATACGGCGAACCCAGAACGACTTGAAGAAGTCGGGCAGCAGATCATCACGCAGGAAAGCGCCCGTTACGCCGTCCGTCGCAGCGCACTGCTTGACCACCTTGAGCACAATCTTTTTCATCTCTTCGTCAGCGCTCTGAAACTCTCGGATGAGGGTTGGCGTAACTTCCTTGACGAAGTAGAGGGTCGTGTCAGAGTCCATAAGTGGGATGATGAAGCCGATAGCTTTCAGAAAAGCCGCCAGGCCTTTTCCACGGTGCTGACGAATACCGGTCCAAAGCGGCTTGAGTACATTCTCAAAGCTCTCGATACCGTACGGCGCAGCAGCTTCCGCAAGCGCAGCAAGAGCCAGCGCCGTCATGGTCTTGACTTTTTGCTGATCATCCTCTAGACCCTTCTCGACGCAGTCGACGAGATTTTTGAGGTGCGGCAAAACAGCACAGCCCATCATGATGGCAATCTGTTGAATGATCCGGATACCGGTGTGACGCGCTTGCCAACTCTTTTTACTGCGACAAACGGCTTTGAGAAATGGCAGCAAAGCCGGAATGCCCAATGCGGAAGCCACGACGCTGAAGGCTCGAGCTGTCGTGTTGCGCACGTACTCATCTACGTGATCCAAGTCAGGTCGCATCGTCGAAATCATGTGAGCAAGACCGGCCGCTTTCGACAGATTGGAGATGATCTCTCGGCCTTCCACGCGCGCGTAGTAGTCTTCGTCAATGAGAAGAGGCTCGATCACGACCAGAATCCGGTGGACGTATGGTCTGACGAGATCGTCGAGCTTGTACAGCACGCGGTCGATGACCTTGACGAGAAGGTGACGCTCTTGATCCTCGAGCGTGCGCTCCATCAGCAAAGGCAAGATCTTGTCGAAGAGCGGTCCCGCGCCAAATTCTCGCGCCTTGTCCGTGATTTGCCTCAGCGCTGTCTTACGCATAGCCGGCGTTCCGTTCTTGATCTTAAGTAAGAGGCGCATGATACGCCTTTCTTTCAGCTCCTCCATGCTCAAGCTCGGTTCATCATCACCACCAGACAGAATCTTCTTGAAGTAAGTCTGATCCTCTGCCTTGAAGAAAGCGAGTTGACCAACGCCAGGGATATCCGTTGGCAATTCCGGAGCCATTTCCTCGGCGAGCGCGCGCGACTGAGCTTCGTCCATCATCATGAAACCACCTCCGTCGCCTGGTGCAGGTGTGGCCATGAGCTTGCGGGCTGGTGTGCGAATGGGAGCGTAGTCGGCTGGTGGCGCAACGATTGTGTAACCTTCGCTGGGCAGCAATTGATCCAGATCTTCATCCGTGAGATACCTGTTCCTGGGATCAACTGCAAACGATCCATCCAGCAAGCCGCCAGCCACTGGCGTCTGCATGACGACGGATCCTGCCCCACCGTTGGTCGTGCCGACTGGTGTCTGATCCCACCTCGAGCGCTTGGGTGTCTCTCCGGGGCCAGCAGCATCGCCCGCCACTGGTGTCTGATCCCATCGAGATCTTCGCTTGCGGGGTGTTGCATCGGTTGGCCCCTCTCCCTCGCTGTATCCGCTGTCTGTGGGCTCGCGTGCGGTGGACACGTCGCTGGGCGCAGCATCCCACCGTCGCTTGCGGCCCACACGAGGTGTGGCGTCTGGCGCTTGAGCAGGAGGCGTCTTATCACCATCAAGCGCTTGACCGCCTCGTCCATTGAGCTCCTGCTTCTCTCTCTCCTTATCTGCTATGATTTTTCGCACTCTTTCTTCCTCCCTCTCAATTTCGGCCCTCCTCATTGCTTCTTTGTAGCCGCCTTCGCCCTCTCCTGCAAGGGCGTCGCTGCCCTTCTCCGATTCTAGATCGCGGTTGAACCTGCGTAGCTGGTAGTCGCTCTGCCTGCTCGCGATCTGCCGCTGCTTGGCAGCATCCTGAATGGGGTCCTCATCATCGTTGGCGTATTCGTGTAGAAGGTGTTGAGGCGCAGTAAAAGCGTCCAGCGGGTTCTTTCTTCTTCCTGCGCCTGACGTGTCATCCTCATCATCATCGCTAGTATCATGCGCATTTCCCCCAACATCTATCTCGTTCACGTAATCCGACTTCTTGCGGCCTCCATAGACATCCGGATCTCCAGCTGTCGCTTTGCCAAAAGCTGCTTTGTCCTTTGAAGTGGCAGCTGCTGCTTGGCGTGCCGCCTGAAGCTCCCGGATCTGCGTCTCCTCGTCGTCGGCCATTGCGGTTCGACTTGTGTGTGGACGAGAGCAGCTATGCCGGCCTGATGTTCGCGCAGCAGATCTGTATGTATGTGCGTTAGAAGGAAAGGGTAGCGCAGACTGTCGATTGAAGATGGTGGCAGTAAAGGAGAATTATCGACTGAGCATAAATGACACACTTAGTATGGTGGCCGATTCCAGTCGACGAATACCGGGTGCTGCGCGCCACCTGAGGCTGAAGTCACGTGACTCTCGACGATCTCGATTTTCGCATCGTTCGAGGTGTCCCTTTCCAACCAGCAAATGTGATCCTGGTGAGCGCTTTCGCATCCGACACCAGCGGTTGAGTCAATTACAAACCAAAATCACTCAAAGGTGTCTGTGTGAGCTTCGAGCGCGTCAAATGCTGCTGCTGTTGACCAGCGGCAGTCACGAGCGCTTCACAGTTGACTAGCCTTAGCGCGCATTTCATATATTCAGAGCCAGCAGGTGTATTCGCGATTGCCACGGTAACCCTGGGCAAGCACTCTGTGGCGCGAACGGAAACGGTCAAAAGGTTCGATTGTCTGTCTGCTCGGCGTCTTGCTGCATCAACATCGTCGTCCCTAGGTCTAGCTTGTGAGGTCTAGTTGGATGCGCCACTTTCATGCGATCCGGTGTGTCGCTGATGTGCCCGAACCTGAGACGTCTCACCTGCAGAGCGAAGCTTGCCGGTCATAGATCTGGTCACAGGACGTCCATACTCGACTCGGCCGTCGACGGGCACCACGAGTCAGTAGCAGGGGACCATCTCTTGAACTCGTTCGTTTTAAGATCCTTGATCACTTGTCGAAGGCCGTGTCTCTGAGCATCGTCCGACTTGCGTGCCACAGGACGAGGAACTCTGCTGTTCAGCGAGTGATTCGCAATCGGGAGATAGTCCAAGTTCTTGACTCACTGCAATTTTTGAGGTAACCTCGGTAGCGCGCAGGTTGTAGCCCTTTCCAAACATGGTCGTGAACCCCTTGGTAGGATGCGCCTCGAATTGAACGACGTTCTGATCATTTAACCAAGCGACCGAGTGATTCTCTGGGAGCTGCGCGATTGTCAAGAGTATCAGCCTCCAAGCATCGTCAAGATCGTCGTCCTACGTGTCAGGCGCAAGTGCACTCACATGCATGTTGAGTCGCTTTTGCAGGGACTGTCGGCCTGCTTTCGCTGCTCCAGCATCTTGGACAGCAGTGGCCAACAAAACGGTGCAAAGCAGAGCGATGGATCCAGCGTACAGCGAGGGCCACATCTTCACCAGCAGACGTGTGTGGAAAAGGTGATCTCCTCGAGTCTTCTGTCAATTTTAATTGAGGAAGGGCTGATGAAGTACTGAAAGGCTAGAAAGGATGCGGATAGCAAGATCGGTGAGCTCGTCGGCAAATACAGAAGGGGACAAGCTAGGGCAGTACATTTGTACGTTATAACCTCGAAAAGACACGCTTGACCTAGCCCCGCATCAAGCGACGAAGCAGCTGGTCACTTTGCCACTGATCGCACTGTGCTTCGCCTTGCCTGTTGCTGGAAGCAAGACTGAATTTAGTGCCATTTCCGCGCGCACTGTGTACGGTGTCACCATCCGCATGAAAGCGCATCCTAACAAAATACACTGATGTGCCAGCGGAGGTGGCTGAATTGCCAAACGGTGCCTTTGCCTTCCTGCGAGTCACTGAGTGTTGAGACGCCAAGGTCGAGACGAGTGGCGCCAACTTTGGCGTTACTCACACTCCGCACTCTGTGCCGAGACACACTTAGAGTCAAGCAGCAACAGCTGTATGTGAGCCTGAGGCACTGGACTTGCGATCTCCTCACCATGTATATAGATCTCGAGAGCGACGCAGCGTTGCGGGAGGCGGCGGCGGCGCGGCACGTGCCATTGGCGGAAGAAAAGACTGAATTCACATGCCTCGTAGCCGCTCGCTCTTCGAGAGAACTCATGCAATCCGGTAGAAATCCGGCAGAGAAGAGCAAGAAAAGCAGGTGACTATTGAAATTTGCCCTCGTGGCTTGATGTCGTGAAGAAGTCAGGTTTGCTTGCAGGTGACGTGGAAATATGATGTAGAGGTGATCACGCATAGGGTGGCAAATCACTCGCTTCAAACGGCAGTGGCGCTCGTGGGCGGAGAGTCTCCTCGGCGGACGACACTTTGCCACCATTCCGAGGGCAGATCGAGCGGGGTTGCATTCCCGATCCGCATTACCATTCGGTCTTTGGATCTTTAAGAAATTCCTCATATTCTTGTCGATTGAAGAGGGAGAGTTCCGTCTCGTTTTCTGCGTCGCTCCGCCAGAATAAGAGCCATTAAAGGTTGTCCAAGTCAGCATCTAAGAAGGCGTCGAGCTTTCTGCAAGAACGTCTGCGAGGCAAGCACGCCATGGCTGGCCCGGGTCGCTGGGCGCGCAGAGCCAATTTGTAAAAGACGGGTCTGTGGATCAAACTCACGGCAGCCTAAATCGGCGAGAGGCACTTCCTCTTTGTCGCCATCCAGCACCCACTCTGGTCTGTCTAAGTTGATGATGAGGTTGGACGTCTTGGTGAAGTGCGCATGTGTGTAGACCTTCATGGTGTCTAGCAATGTGAGTGCGATGCAGGATGATTAGCAAGCACTTCTCACGATCTCCGCACTGGAGTCATCAGTCCGTAGCCTTGACTGACCAAGCTTTCCCGCTGCACTTCTGACCGTCTTCATGTCCACCCTCTTGCCGATCTCGACCTTGACAATCTCTTTCAACCGCTTTACATTCAAAGTCGTAAGATCCAAGTTATCAAGCACCAAATTTCTACTTGCCCTGAAAGGAAATGACTTGATGATCCTGATGGTTAGGACTGCGGATGTAAGAGGCCTCAGAGAAGTGGTGACTGATGTTGGTTCGTCATCGTTCTGAGGCGAGAACGCGTAGAAGCCCGAAGGTAAGAGACGTGGACCTGAAGGCGTGCTTTCTCCTTTTGACGAAGCAAGCTGCGCCGTTTGCTCCGCTGTGGGGAGCAGCGAGGCTGCGTCAGACTTGGTCTGCTCCGCCATACTATCAGCTCCAGCCGGTTCTAAGGCTGCCTCAAAGGACCCTGAACACTGCCAATGGCACCAGATAAAGTGCGCGACCCTCCGCTCTGAACCGGAGGTGCCCTGGGATGGGCTGCGTGCGAAGTCCTTCCTTGCTAGCCGGTGGTGCCAGACCTTTTGCGCAATGATGCGAGCAAGGATACCTTGTGTGCTTCAGGTATCTCCGAGATAAAAGGACTAAGCCTAGCGACCTGACGTGATGGTGGTGGTGCGGCGCGAACGACGCTGCTTTGTCCAACCTCAAGGAACGTAATTTTGAGTGGACGGCGCGGAAAAAAAGCCGCACAGCCTTTTGACACGTGAGGAAGCAGCATGCATGCACGTCAGAGTTCGTAAGATCCCTGCGAAGGACAAAACCAATTCTCATCTTACCCGCCTCTTACATCAACAATCAACAATGGATTCACACCTGTCGGCATCCCAACTTCGAGGATCTACTCTCGACTGTGCTTTCTACTCGCGTCGGATCTGTCCAGGACAAAGTTTCTTGATCGGACACAACCTGGCTAGCACGCCCGCAGCAGCGCGTTTTGGTAATGGCACGATCAGAGATGCGCTCCTCGGCCCTGGAGCTGAGGCCCATCGAATATCGATTCGGCTCTTTGGCGCACATAGACGGATCCGCAAGCTTCTCGTTCGGAGCTGAGCTGGTTACATTAGCTGGAGTCAGAGGTCCATCCGAAGTCCGCATACGGGACGAGCTCACAGACAAAGGCACCTTGGAGATCCTCTTTCAACCTTTGGGAAGTCCTGCTGCTCTACCCGCCACGAGCCTGGCAGCATCTCTGAGGTCACTATTCTCGGGCATCATCAGGCTGAATGTGTACCCACGAACGCTGGTACAAATCAATTTGCAGACTTGCTCGGTCCCACTCGAGCCTCATCGACCTCCTACGGAAGAAGAGAACGATAAGCTTTTGCCTCCGCACCCGGATGCTCCCATCTCTGCACCCGAGAAATCAGCCCTCATCAACGCTAGCATGGCAGGCCTCATAGATGCAGGCGTAGAGTGCAGAGCTACAGTCACCAGTGTCAGTCTGGCTTGTCTGCCTCGGAGAAAGGCCAAGGAGCTGAGAGAGAACAGAAGAGCTTGGAGAGCTGGTGAAGTGGATGTCACCCAAGAGGATGATGAGATGGAGGAAGGCGATGAGTCGTGAGTTCTAGCTACAGCGATCCCATGAATTGCCTGAGATGTATGCGCCATAAGACTGACCCACGAGCTCATCGAGCGTACAACAGCACGATTTTGCTCGACCCTACCCCCGCCGAGCTGAGATGGGCGACTAGCAACCATGTCTTTGCGTTTGCATTTTCTGGCTACTCACCCCAAAATCCAGGCCAAGTACTTACCGAGCTGGTGTTTGCGGAAAGCTCGGGGCGTGCAGAGTGGTTGAAGGTGAGTGTGACGGCTGGGGTACCAGGCGAAGTCTCCTTGTGTGCAAGCTCCGTCTACTGAACCGACAACATGCGCAATCCTTGCAATCTCATAGCACAAAGAGGTCATATCCTTGGCTAGGGAGGCGGCGCAATCTGTTCTCTCCGTGTTACGACAAACATGCCGGAAGAATGCGACAGAAACATGATTGAGACGCCATGCATTGCTGAAGCTGAGGCAGTATCTGCCAAAGGTGCCTGTTTCCTCGCCGAGCTTCCATTCCCTTGGCCGGCAGTCGTAGAGTAAGCAGCCATCCACATCTGCAGCCTCACTGTAAGCATCGGGAAATAATGGCGCGACTACGCCAGGTCTAGTCATGTTTCGCTTTCACAATGCGGTCAACGGTGCTCAAAAGCATTCAATTCTAGATCATCCTTATCCCCTTGAAGCTGCTCAGACTCGGTGCCTCGGTCACCGACTCGCCGATCAGCCCGGACCTTGAAGAAAATTCGACGACCTCTACAGCGTCTCTATGACCCCCTGCCACTGCGTCCACCTGCAGGACGCATCTTCGCTTCTGAACACGCGCCCGGACTTTGCGAGAGGTTAGATCGAAAGACTGTCAACTTTCCTCGAGAGTTGCACAGGCGCGTTTCTGACGCGTCAGAGCGCACAGGTGCCAAACCCACCTAGCTTGCTCACCTTAGAGCCAACGCCCAAGCGAAGGCCCAGATGAGTCTCGTGAGTTGGATCCACTGCTCTGGCTAGTGCTCCGACTTCTCGCTCCGCCGGGCGGCGCAGCGCTCGAACTGGCTCCGGCCGTCGAGGGTCCCGGCTGAGCTAAGGACAACCCGGCACCGTCAAACTGTTCTTGGCCCTGTCGGTGCCCTTGTAGGACCAAAGTCTGGCGTCTGCGATTACGATGGGCAGCCTCATCGATTGTCAGTGTGCGAGCGCTCCGCGCAGGGCGGCCTCCAATGTTGGACGCAGGCTGCGTTCCATCCTGCCAGATTGGCTCCCATTTGCCAGTAGCAGAGTTGTATGAAGTGTAACTCTGCCTGCCCGAAAGACCTGACCGAGTGAGTACAAAATTATGTCTCGCCATGTCGTCGAGCTGGTGAGAGAAAGAAGACGAGGTTCGGCGCATCAGTCACACGCAGTTACCGAGGCCAGGTGCTCCTATCGGACTCACAACTTTATGCAACTTCTCCCTTTCTCCTGGAATCCTCTGGCCATACGGAACGGATGCAGAATCGAAGTCTACGCCATTAAAGCGGATGAAGCCTCGCTGAGGGTGCCATCTGTGGACTGCCTCTCTGGTATTGGGGTCATGCCAGTTCAAGGCCTTGCCCTGGCCGATGTTCTGGTTGCTCAAAAAAGATACGTCTGTCAGAGGAAGGGCTAAAATTTGTTCTCATCGATCGTATCGAACACTGACAAACCAGTCTAGGCTGCGGACAGCGAAAGACGATGGAGGAAATGCAGGGAAGCGCGAGGCCTGCTCGATGAGCTCATCATCTGTTCGAAGTTCTGAGTACAACTTCGCGCCTACCTTGGGTGCCTATAGAGTCCGCCTGCCATCGACGGCCCTCTCGAGCCAGAACTGCTTCCAGGCTCAAGTAAATTCAGGGTGCGAGCCGCACGCGACTCTTCGGAAGACGAGCTTGAGCTCGAGCTACGGCTCCCGCTTGCGGGCACCACGTCACGAGGTGGAGACCAATACCGAACGCCAAGTGCTTCAAGGGCCTGCCTCATCTCTCTGACACCGTCGGGCACGTCGCCCGATCCCAGGCAAGTAGTCCCGAAAAGGAGCACGCCCAGCTGTGCAAGTAGTGCGGCAAGACGGAAGCGTGCTTGAAGCATTGCGAGCCGTGAATGCCCAAGCCTGACAAGCCTGGACCGGATGCCGAATAGGGTGCTGCGCGAAGCCACAAGGACTTCTACTCGTTGTGTTACAATGGCAATGACGCGGCGTGGGAAAAGGACGAGCCTCCAGATTTGCTAGGAGTAGGTCAAGATATCACCTTGTAGGTGAGCACCAGCGGATAATTCTTAGCAATTTTTTCAAGGGAAGTGCTGCGAAAGCTTGAAGTGTTGAACTTGCTGTAGCGAAGGTGAGACAAGAGCCAGCTCTGATCTGAGGGAAGACAAAAGCTGAGACATGCGTTCAATCTTGCCCATTAAATACGTTTCACAGAATGAGACACACAGAAGCTGGAAACAGCAAATATGTTACCGAAACGGGACGCGCTTTGAGGAACTCTTTGACGTGGTCCCGAAAGCGCTTTTTTTGCGTCGGCAATCTGCTCAACACACCCCACTGTCTGTGTCTAAAACACACAGAGGCACCTCAAACACGCGGCTGCCATCACGCCTGCAGCATACATAGCCCTGAGCTATGTCTAGGCTCGGTGTGGAAGTGAGAGAGGCGCGGGGCTTTGGAAACCAACAGCATTGGAGAAGAGGGGTGCTTTGGTAATACAAACCCTCAGAGCCTGTCCACGCGTAACAACGCGCGACGTTCAAGTTTTGTTACGTGTGTGAGAGCTTCTTGTTATTGTCGTCGATCTATCTGTTTTGCAGACTCGACAACCTTCCAGAACAGGAACAACAACAAACGAGAAACAGGATTGCAATAGGACCAAAACACTCCCCTGCCCTTTTCAGAGGCGGCCCTCCACGCTTGCGGAAAACCCCGGACGCACAATGCTGGAGCAAACACCGCTCCGCAAAAGCAATGTTGGCTCGCGGCAGAATCAATGTTTATTTTACGACGACCTCATCGGGCCTCTCAAGCACGAAAGGATCTTTGTTGTCGAAGCCGCAGCTAATGAAGTCCTCTATCTATTCAACCGGTACCCATAGGTCCGCACTGATCAGCCGGAACTGCCGCTTTTGGTGATGGCGCAACGTAGGAACACTCCGAGCAAGGGACTGTTCCAAAAGGCAGCATCAGCATGATTCTCACGCGTGCCGTACCCGGACGATCTTCTCGCTTTCAACTTTTGAAGTTTGCCGTGTCTGCATTGCACCGCGAAGAGATGGCAGCGTGATGAAAAGCAACATTGAATTTCGATGATCATCTCGCGTGCAAATTCTCTCTCCTCTCCTCCCCTCTTCCTCCAGCATCCAATGCCATCGCACGATGCTACAATACTCCGTTCTGACGATACAGCCAATCTGTCTTCCCACAATTCGGATCCACCTCGTTGGGGCCAGCAAGCCTGCTAAGCAGGCCGCCATCCGCCACTACCGTCGCCACTGGAGCTGGAACTACGGCTTTGACGACCGCTCGGCAGATTGACCGCTCCACTAGGTCCAGCGCCAGACGACTGGCCGGGGCGTAGCGACGGGCCTGCTCCTTCGCTGGAAAGCAGGCGGTTGGTCACGCGTCTGCGTGAGCGGGGCACTGGATCGATCGCAGGGTTCACACTGGAGTCAAGGGTAGGAATGTGTCCCTGTGGAGGAGCAGAAGAGCTGCCCGTATCCCACCCTGCGGGTTCCCACCTATCATTCGCGACGTCGTAGGTTTGATACCTTTGCACACCAACGCGTGAAGAGCGCGTTACGATGTAACCTTTCTCTCTCATGTCTTTGAGCTGTCATTGACACGTGAGCGGCGAGGGATCGCATGTCGAAGGACAAATGAGTCTGATGTGAGCAAACTGCCAGCTCGGCTCACGTTCCTGAGCCCCGTACTTACCGCCTGGTCCAATCGTTCCCTCTCATTTGGCAAGCGGCCACCGTGTGGTGCGTTGCCCGGGTCAATATACCTGCCATTCCACGTCGTGAAGCCCATCGAAGGAGCCCAACGATGCATGACTCGGCGAGTCTGGGGTTCGTGCCAGTTGAGTAACATACTTGAACCGAGTTTCTATGCACAGGCAAAGATATGTCAGCATCTAGGTCAAGCGTGAGCTCGTTGCTATGTTGGGCAGCAGGAACAGATGAACCTACCATCCAATCATCGCTGAATGAATGCAAGGTCCGACGGCAAGGAATCGTCAGCGATCAGAGATGGACACGAGCGGCCTTCGTGAACTCACGGAGCCTTGTACAGAGGGTTATCGGCCGTACGGATTCGTGGCGCCTCACCGGATGAAGTGGCTCCTGGGTGAGCAACATTTTGAAGGGGATGCGAAGCACGCGCGGTTTCAGAGGACGAGCTTCCTCCTGCACTGAGCAGACCCTCCGGTGGAGACCATCCTTGCTTATCAAGGAGCGCCTCCATGATTCGGCGCATGTCTGGAGGATCGCCAGCAGCGCGACACACTCCGGCAGACAAGAGAAGAATGTTGGCGACGCATGCGATCACTGCAAAGAGCACACGTCCGCGCAGCATGCTGATACTAGGAGTCACCGCTAAGCGTTCGGAGAGGATTAAAGTGTTTTGAAAGAGGAACAGACTCGATATCTTGCGGTGGACATACACGCAATGTCGTGCGTGACAATCGATGGAAGCAAAAGCGATTGTAGCAGAAGAGCTAAGCAAAGTCAAGTCGTGAGCGCGAAGAGAGCCAGCTCTGTTCTGAGGGAGGGGGAAAGCGAAGACAATCGACTACGCGCACTGTTGCTTGTTATATGGGTCTCAGCGCTGGACAGCGGACGCCAAAGCTACGTCGAAGATCGTCTCGACCGAGGTCTGACGCTGACGGACGCCAGTCACAACATCCTCCGCAGGCCTAATGTAAATACCGCGGTCGGAGCTGGAGCGCCTCAATAGTGCGGCAGGGATACGCCATCCCTTGAATTGCGCAGCTCTCCAGCGCACGTCAAAACAACCGTGACGGCTTGAGGCGGCTCCGTTTGCCAGCGACGTTGTTTTCACGCATCACGTCGGCCAACCACATAAAAGCGACGTAAATCCGCATCACAAATGCCATGATGTGACTTGTCCGAGTGCCGTCGATATACCGCACGGAGCTTGACTCTGTTGTCGACGGTTTGAGAGTGTCATAACGGACGCCATGTATAAGATACCTTCAACAGTTTGATGCTGGCGCATCGATACTCTAATTGAACTGGCGGCAGCAAAGAGAGCGCGCGCAATCGTCAAATTTCTAGCGTAAAGGCGTTTCAAATCACCTCGCTAGCCGTTCGTAGGCCCTGACTCCCGCAAACAAGCCAAGTGCCAAAGTGCCAACACCAAGGACAGCAACACCATCCTCGACCACTTTTGCTTGCCTCCTCTCTCTATCTCTAGCTTGTGAGTAGGGCAGATTGGAAAAGGTGACCATGGAGTATAGGCTTGACCATATTGATCGGGGCAGAATACTCATCAACACCGTGTCTAACGCTTTGCGCAGCAGATACGTCCGCGAAATGACTGTTGTGTGACAAGCGCGTCAAGGATATCAAGAGCGTCAAGCATAGGGTAAGCAACAACGAGGAACCTCGCAAAGTCGAAGCTTGATGCAGACCCTGGAAGGCACCGCAAGCACCCGCAACTCACCCTTGCTTGACATTTCCTTGTAGTTGTTCTTAGCCAGCTCGCAGATCGCCACCAGGTCGTCGTGTCTGGTGTTGGAGTACTCGGCGAGGGCAGACCCTAGGGCGCGCTTCGCATCGGACGTCCCATGGGCGACGTCGGCGCCATTTCTTTGGCGAGAAGAATGCTTGTCTATGAGTTGCAGGAGAACCCGCACATCCTCAAAGCCACAATTCAAGCCTTGTCCGTAGAACGGTAGCATGGCATGAGCCGCATCGCCAATGAAGATGGCCTTGTCGGCGTAGTGGTACGGTTTCGCTTTGACGCTAGCCAAAGGACTAGGCTTGCGAGACAAAATGTCCTTCACGATAGCCTGTCGACCGATCAAAGGCAGCGCATCCGCAAAGTGTTGCTCGAAGAAGGCAATGGTGGATGTGGGGTCGGAGAGATGATGCTCGAAGATGTCAGCGGGGGCAAAGAGGGTGCAGGTAAAGGTCTTGTCGGGATTGGGAAGAGCGATGAGCATAAAGCTGTGTCGTGGCCAAATGTGAAGATGATGTGGATCGATGACGAAACCTCCTTCCAGGCTCGCTTGGCCCGGCTTGGCTGCTGGCATGGATAGCTCGACGTACAAAGAGTCGATGTATTCCCTCGCGAAATCCAAAGTGGTCGCTCGAGCCACGCTGTCCCTCACAGCCGAATGCATCCCATCGCATCCGACCACCAGATCTGCCGCGCGTGCTCCATGTGCTCCAGCAAAGGTGAGCTGCGCCGGTTGCGCATCCAGGTCCAATGCCCTCAGCTTGTGCCCATACACCACCTCCACTCTTGCGTGCTTTTGCGCTCGTTCTAGCAACAACCTGTTCAACCTGGCTCTATCTACCGAGTGTATGCATTCTCCCTCTGCTCCATACCTCTGACTCTGCTGGTCTCCTCGTTGCGAATGGATCATTCTTCCTCGCATAGGTACAGCGCGAGCCAGAACATCGCTTGCCAGCGACTCGCTCACGCTGCTCAGACCGGCCAGACCTCGAGTAGAGATGGCAAGGTTGATACTTCGAAGCGACGGGGCTTGCGCTTCCGCCTCGCTCCGACTTTCGTACATTGTCACTTGAAACCCTCGTTCGGCCAATCCTAGAGCGGCGAGACAGCCAACAGGACCTCCTCCGATGATCGCAGCTGTGCTCGTCTGGCTGCTAGATGCAGAAGTGGACGCCATGGTGAAAGGGTTTCTAGAACAAATCGAGACTTGCGACGTGCCGCAGATCAAACATTGGACGTTGAGGCGTGCGTGGTGGAAACGAGGCAAGAGAATGGGCAAAGGCGCGCAACGTTTGATCTCACGCAAATGAGCTGATCAAACAAACCAGACGGCAAGGCTAGCGAGGGATCGGTCCCAACAAAATCACGAATGCAGGTGCCCGCGAGGCAATCGCGCCGGGGTCTCTTGACACGAAGAAGGTGTGTGGAGGGCTCTGAGCAAAAAGAAAGCAAGTTTGACGTGAGCGCAGCCGTCGTGACTCAGCTGTGCAGCGGATAATTCTCTCACCTTGGCGCGGATGTGGCGCACGCAGTATACGGCCGAAACCCGAACGGATCATATATGTATAGCCAGACGGTGAGGATTGCGGAGAACTGTACAGATCTTGCATGCCACCACCTCTGGGTTTAGTGGGGACACTCCTCGCTACGTGATGGTAGTTCAAGGTTCTTGATGGCTCGCAAAGAAGTTCGTCAAGGCGAACAATCGACCTGCACAAAGCGGATGGCGACGTCACGTGGTCTCTTTGCCCGCCGCAAGCACGGATGAGGGTACTGCATGGTGTGCGACCTCTACCCGCCAGGCTCTCCTCCCACATGGCAACTGAGCGATGCCACTAGCCAGAAATTTGCTCATCTTCATCATGAAGGAGAATACAGGAGTCATGAAGCGACATTGAGATACCATGGCGTCAACCGTGTGTGTTACAAGTAGGCGCTCGAGAGGGAATCAAAGTCGTGCGAGGATCATATCAAGATGCACCAGCTCCGGCCCACTTGACCTTTTTCTGCGTGCTAGAGCTCCTCTTCGAGTCGTCCGATTCTCCTTTCCTCGCAGATCTCTTAGCAGCCTTATCCAACGCCTTCCTCTTCTCTTCCAACTTTCTCGCCTCCTCACCTTTTACACCCTGAGTATATGACAACTTCTCGTATAGCTTGCGCTGCCGGTTCGACATCAGCATCTTGGACATTTTCCTCGCTTCTTCTGTCTCTTCCGTCTCTGCGCTTCTGCCCGACGCTTTGCTTGCTGGCTTGGCCTTGTCGCCTCGAGCCGCCTTCTTGGCTGCTCTGAGAGCGTCGGCGTGTGCGTTTTGCAGCTCCTCGAGCGCGGCATCACCGCCCGCAGCCTCGGCTTCCAGCTCGGCTTCTGCTAAGAGGCCTTCGTCGGTCGGAGTGACGAGCAGCGCTGCCAATGCTGGCCTCTTATTTTTGGCAGCTGCTGAGTCTTCGTGCTGCATATCGTCATCTCCTGCGTCCGCGTCCTCGGCCTCATCCGCTTCCCCTCCGATGTCGTCCTCATCGGACGAATCATCCTCAGCCTCTTGTTGAGCTGCTTCCTGTCCCGCCTCTACATTCTCAGCCGGTGCAATCTCATCCAAGCCCGCCTCACGAGGAACATAGCCGCCTTGAGCCTTGACCTCCGCATCGTCCACAAAGGGGCTGAGGTGCGGCGGTAAGGAAGCTCCAGGCGCATAAGGCTGGGTGGGCAAGATCCTGCCCGCATTAGCTGAGTCGACGATCCATTGAGGTTGTACTTTAGCCATTCGAGCTTGCGTCTGGCTCGTGGTTGAAGTGACGGGCCTGTCTACGATGTAGTGAGTGATTCTGTCGTCGTCCGAAGAGAAGCTCGATCCTGGGCCTGATACTTCGTCCCACCCAAGGTGACTTGGCGCAGTCCCGAATGAGCGCAACACGAATTCAATGACCGCTTTCGGACACTCTCGTGAGATGTAGAAGTAGTAGGGCGCAAAGAGGTGTGTGCGGGAGTTGCTGGCGGAAGAAGCGTCGATAGAGGCGTACGAAACCAGGCCAGACGTTGTCCCATCAGCCGACGGCTTTTCTACAAAATCATCTGCAACAATCTCCTCGCTCGACGCAGGGCGATCTGCTTGGGCTTCCAGTGGCGTGTCATCAGCAGCACCGTTCGCGGCAATCCCCTCCTGGGCGACCGCTTTGATGGCCTGTTTCACATCCTTTGATGTCACTTTCCGGCCAGCAGTATCAGTGTCTGTGGCGCCCTTGGAGCTACGAGCTCCTTGGCCAGGGGTGAGTACGGCACTGCTGCTCTCTACGAGACGTAAAACTCCAAGGGGTCCAGCACCTGCTTCCTCAGCGCTTGATTCCAGCTTTGGAGGGTACACGAGACCAAGGTCTGTGTAGAGCTTAAACATGACAAAGCCTAGAAGCGTCTGATACAGCTCGAGGAACGTCGCCATGACTCTGAAGTCCACGTCGGAGGGGATCTGTAGGGACGCGTGAGAACAGTAGCGTCAGTGACAGCAGTCTGGCGGTCCTTGTGCCCACATGTACTGGTCACGCGCTACCCCTCTAGCCGCATATGTGCTCACATGCTGGGTGAAAAGGTAAGGCACAAGCCAGGTGATCTGCTGACCCCGTACCTCGGCTTGAAAGTAGACGCCCTTGATGCTGAAAAACACCTTTCTGAGCGCCTGCGCCCTCACCACGTAGCCCTGCCATTCCGCGCAGATTCTCGCGCTCTTTTCCACCAGCTGGTGATTCAAACGATCTCCAGCAGGCAGGTTGGCGAAGAGGAAGAGTAGGCTAAGCGCATCGTCCAAATCTCTCAGACTGTCGTCAAAGGTGGGATACCTCTCCCTGATGATGTGATCGAGCTTGACAAGAGGCCGCCTGTCAGCCAGCCCTTGAGCGCTGTGCCATTCTCTCTTGCCAATGGCTCTGCTCAGCTTCTTCGCAAAACTTTTGTGTGCCCTCAGCGTCTGGAGCACGGGCTCGTGAGCCAAGTATGCGACATCTTTGGCGTAGTAGAACGTAGCAGGTGCGGCATTACCCTTGTTTGCTCTCTTTGCGTGTCGAGGTACCCGTGGATGAATGCCCTTGAGGATGCACAGCCTTCTGAAATCTGCGAGAGTTACCTGAAGCTTCTTGAGGGCCGAGTTTCTGGTGACGTAGTTCTTGGCCGCGCCAGACTGTCCGCGCTTCTTCAACTTCGCCATCGTGGTTGGGAAGGCGCAGTGTACTGGCTACGTCGATAGGGGTGCGGCGTTGGGAAGGCAAAGTAGGGGTCTATGCGCGAACGCTGACAGAGACAGAGTAGTGGTTGCCCGAGCGCCTCTGCGCCAATGATCCTGTATCGATGAGTGAGAAGCTCGCTGTGTGGCTTGGCAGTCAATGGTGAGCAGCGAGAGTCTTGTTGTATGTCCGGACGGCTCATTTGCACGTCACGAAGAGTCGTGCGAGGTTGCGCGTCTGGAGCGCATCTTCATCAACTTTTTCGCCTTCAACAGCTTTCCAAAATTTCAAAAATGTCACGTGTGCACAGGAGAGAGTCGAAATCAAGAACGCGTGCTTGTTCGAGAATCTTTGCGCCGGCCTAGGCATACATATGATTTGCCATGCATATGTGGGCGCGGCGGAATTGGGCTCGCCCCAGCAAGCTAGGGTGAATCTGCTGCACCTCGCAAGTCCGACGTCGCCTGCGGCCCCGATTGGAAACCAAGTGTAGCGCGCAGGGCTTCAATCACGAATCACAATATTGCTGCACCGAAAGGCCGGAGTCGGTCGAGTTCAGAAGCCTCATGCGTGCACATGCTGATGTCCATGCCTATAGCTGAAACTGAAACAGCCGGGCGAAGGAAGGTGTGAAGGTTGCTGCTGCTGATGCGTTCATGCAGCATTGACCCGAAACACGGATTTGCGGGGCTAAGACTTTCATCAGACCTTCATCTTCGCGCGCGTTGCGATGTTCTGGCCGCGAAAGACGCGGAGAGATGTCATCACACCCCATGCAATCAATCATCCACTCATGCCCGCCGGCATCGGCACTTTTGAGTAGCAAGAAGCAATTTGGCCGCCCAGGCTTGCATCGTCGCGGCCTCGGCGAAGAGCTCCTCAGAACCCAAGCAATGAAGCCCAGACTGCGCCCCCCCGACGGAAATGAACGTCGAAAGTGCTGGACGCTGTTGGCTCCACTTATGAGCTGCAGACGTCGGCCTTCGCTTCCGGATTCCTCGAGCATGGGCCTTCTGCAAAGCATGGTCATCGCTCATCCTCGTGTATATAATGTGGGTCTTGATCCCCAATCTCACCCATCTCTCTTCCCTCACCACCTTATTCCATCCGTCAATTCGCCAGCAGGTCATTCAAGCTTCTGCATCTCTCTATACCACACCTCAAGTCTCCCTACACAATGCGTGGACCTTACGTTACAGCGGCAGCCGCTGCAGCAGCCACGCTGATGGCCAGCTCTGCCGTCTCCGCAATGCCTCTAAGCTTTGACGATTTGAGCGACCCAACCTCATATCTGTCTCCCCGTTCCTCCATTTCAGAGCGTCGAGACGTTTCTAGTTCCCTCAAGACCTGCCTGAGCAAGACGGGAGCTCAGATCGACTATCCCGGAACCAACGCCTACAAGAGCGAGTCGTTCTCCGAGAACAGCTCCATCAAGCCTTACCAGCCCGCCATCATCGTCACACCTGCCAACGCTCAGCAAGCAGCGAGCGCACTCAAATGCGCTGCCAACGAAGGTGGCAAGACCAAAGTTGTGGCCAAGAGCGGAGGACACTCTTACGCTGGCTACTCTTTGGGCGGTCAAGATGGCTCCTTGGTCATCTCACTCTCCAAATTGGAAACTCTGACCGTGGACAAAACGGCCAAGACTGCGCGCGTAGGCGCAGGTAACCGTCTGGGACCCATGGCACAAGCTCTTGGTGAAGCTGGATTCGCCTTGCCTCACGGTACCTGTCCCACCGTCGGAACGGGCGGTCACTCGCTCGGAGGTGGTTGGGGTTTCAGCAGCAGAAAGTGGGGCTGGCTTCTGGATCACATCGTCGAGATGGAAGTGGCTACGCTGGATGGAAAAGTCAAGAAAGTCAATGCGCAGAGCACGGGCGACGATGCCGATCTTTGGTGGGCTCTGCGTGGAGCTGGCGCTTCGAACTTTGGCGTCGTCACCACCTTTACCTACGCTCTGGAAGATGCACCCACAAACGTCATCAATCACTCGCGCACATATGCCAACAACAAGGACTGCGCTCAAGCGCTGCTGGCATTCCAAGACCTCGGTGCCAAGACGGTCGCGAACGGCGGTCTGCCCGCCGAGTTCGGCGCCGAGCTCTTGCTCTACGGTGAAGGAAGCGGCTCCGACGGAGCTTGCACCATTTCTGGTCAATATCTGAGCGGGCCGAAACACTACCAGAACGCATCGCTCATCCTCGACAATGCCATCTTGAAGCGGGGCGTCAAGCCATCCAAGACCTCTGCTCCCGCCTTTAGCGGCAGTCAGGACGGCGACAACAGCGCTTGGCTTCAGGCTCTTAAGAACCTGGTGAGTCATGGCACAGGCCTTTTTTTCACTTGAACGATGCTGATCTGTTGTTGTCTTGCGATATTCTTGCAGATGGGCGATTTGCAACAAGCACCAGCTGCAGACCCTTACTACGCCAAGAGCTTGCTCGATGATGGTAATGTGCGCTTCAACGACGCTTCGGCCAAAGCCATCATCGACAAGTTGCAAAGCTATGTCGGCGGCGAGGAAGGCAATTCGATCAGCTTCGACCTGAACGGTCCAGCATCCAAGACCAACGCCCCTCTCAGCTCTGCCTCGGCATTCGACACCAACCGAGGTTCGCTCTTTTTCAACCAGTTCTACTCCTATGGAGTGCCCGGTCCCGACAATCCCAAGGGCCAACAGTCGCTGTATTCCAAGTTCGACAGCCTGGTCGATACTGTCAAGAACGCGGCACCCAACGCGAATTGGAGAGCTTACTCCAACTACGTAGACTTCAGACTGAAAGACTGGGCTCGCGCTTACTACGGAAGTAGCTTGGACAGACTGAAGAGCATCAAAGCCAGACTCGACCCAAACAGCGTCTTTGACTACCAACAAAGTCTTGCTCATGCCTGATCCTGGCAGAGAATCACCTGATGCATCTCGACTACGTCTTGTCCAACTTCACGATCGAACGCTCTCAACAAAAGCACATGGACATTTCAATGCTTGCGCTCCGCATCTGCACGTCATCATCGCCGCCATTATACCTTTGCTTCTATCTTGTAACACAATTCGTCTTCAGCAATTCACCTCTTCGAACTCACATTCGCATGGAAGACTCTTCCAGGGCCGCTTGGCTGTGTGTCGCTTGTGTATATGTTGCTGACCGATTAGTTCGTGAAGATTTTGTGATTTTGATGAAGAGGGGCCGTTCATGTGACTCACGCCCAATTTGAATGTGCTCCTTGCCGAGGATGGGAGAGAGCCCGCTCCCAAGTCCGCGGACTTGCGCGTTGCAGTTCGCATGACTCGCTTAGCGTTTCGTTGAGTCGGCGCGCTTGCGCTTGCGACTGCTCTGCACGCTCATGCTGCAAAGGCGCTTCAGGCTGAATCGATGCTCGCGTTCCTCCAATCTGACGACGAATGCGACTGACATGCGATCGTACAGCTCCGCCACTCTCCTCTATGCACGAAACACCTCTTTCTGACTTGCACATCCGAGACTTGCACCTCTCTTAGCCCCTAACGTCACCAGTGACACGAGTCCGAAGCGACATAGCGCTTGAAGGAGGATAAGCTGGTCATCTTACCGCTCCGACGAGCACGCGAACTCCTGGCCTGACCATTCACCTCTACCACGCGCACGCTCTATGGCTGAGGCAACACAAGCAGCAGCTCCTCCAGTGGTAGCTGCAGTCAGCGGGGAGCAAAAAGTGACGCCATGGGATGTAGAAGGAGCGACGATAGATGGGAAACAGGTAGCGATAGATTACGACAAGCTCATTGTCCAATTTGGAACGAAAAAGATCGATCAGGCTCTGTTGGAAAGGTTCGAGAATGTCACGGGCTGGAGGCCTCATCCGTTGCTGAGGAGAGGCGCCTTCTTTAGTCATCGGTGAGTACACGCTTGAGGAGGGGCGCCGTTACGCCAGCGGCCAATCTTGACGAGCGCTGAGTGCGCGACGGCGACGCACGAAATGCTCTTCCAAACGACTGCGCGATGAGCGGCGTGGAACTCAAGCTATATGTGCCGGCCATTTGGGTAAGAAGACTCTGCGCTGACTCGAGCAATGTTCTTCCTCCTGACCATCAGCGAACTAGACGTCATTCTGACTCGTTTCGAGCAGAAGAAGCCCTTCTTCTTGTACACTGGCCGAGGACCTAGCAGCGATAGCATGCACCTGGGCCATCTCATCCCTTTTCTCTTTACAAAGTGAGTCGTGACAAAGCGCCTTGAGGCGACAGCTGCTCCCTGCCATCCGCATGCACGCCCTCGCCGCAATCTATGCTGCGCCTAGGTGCTGATTCTTCTGCTGTGTCCCTCCCTGCAGATGGCTGCAAGACGTCTTTGACGCGCCCTTGGTGATTCAGCTCACAGGTGATTTCAGCGCCAACCTGAAGAAATCTCGTCATCTGCCGCTGACTTCGTCGCATCCCCCCAATTCCTCTGCAGACGACGAAAAGTTTCTCTTCAAACCCAAGTTGAAACTGGAAGATGTGCAGAAGTTTTCAATCTCCAACGCTAGAGATATCATTGCTTGCGGATTCAAGCTGGAGAAGACTTTCATCTTTTCAAACTTGGACTTTGTAGGGTGCGTAGAAGAGCATTGCGCTCATTGATCCTGCCCGCCCAGCTGGCTGATGTCCTTGTGATTGCGCACCTCCCTCCTAGCGGCCCCTTCTACCACAACGTGGTGCGCATCGCGAGAACCATCACCACGAGTCAATCGAAGGGCACCTTCGGCTTTGAGGATTCGTGAGTTGTATGAGTCGAATCGAATGTCGCGCATCGCTCCTTGGCTCACTCAGGTGGCTCTAATGCGGCGTGCAGCGACAATGTGGGCAAATTGCACTTCGTATCGATCCAAGCCGCGCCATCCTTCTCCAATTCTTTCCCGCAAATCTTTGGCGCAAAAAAGGACATTCCGTGCTTGATTCCGTGCGCAATCGACCAGGATCCCTACTTTCGACAGACACGAGATGCGGCCGTAAAGTTGAAGTATCCCAAGCCCAGCTTGATCCACTCCAAGTTCTTTCCCAGCTTGCAAGGTAGCCAGACCAAAATGTCTGCTTCGAACGAAAGCAGCAGTATATACATGACGGATACGGCTGCCCAGATCAAGAATAAGATCAACAAGCACGCTTTCAGTGGAGGACAAGAGACGATCGAGGAGCACAGACGATTGGGAGGCGATCCGGACGTCGATGTGTCATATCAATACCTCAACTTTTTTGTGGATGACGACGAGGAGATGGAACAGATGGCGCAGGATTACAGGAAGGGAGAGCTGATGACTAGCGAGCTGAAAAAGAAGGCCATCACTGTGTTGCAAGCTGTGGTGAAGAACTTCCAAGATGTGAGTATGGCAGCCGAGTCGCGACTGAACATGAGTTTGCTTGCGCGCACGGACGCTTAACGTCAGCGCCCTTCCCACCCTTGCATCGATGTAGCGCAAGGCAGCAGTGACGCCCGAGGTCATTCGGCAATTTATGGACAAGACCCGGAAGATCGATCACGAGCCGACCGAACCTGGCTCCACTGCCCATTTGCAAAACGACGCTTTCGTAGGCCGATCCACGACGCTCGACTCCATCACGAGTGCCGTTGAGGCCGTGTCGCTTTGAGCTGTGCAATGTGTACCAACTCGCAGCGCTCTTGTCCAACGCATTTGGTATGCTCCGGCAATGTCGATGCAGCTTGCACCCTCGTGAGCGTTGTGGATGTGCCGCATGTTCGTTCTGCTTTGATCCTCCCGACTTGCCTCGAGACGTCTGACTGATTGCATGACTGCCATGAGCGCAAGGTCTGCAATCTTTGAATACTTGACGAACGCTTTTGGTCGGCTCCTATCATTCAAAATGCGTCCCTCGCATCCCACAAATCGAGTGTCTTAGTTTCGATGAGCCTTGAGTTCACCGCACTTGCAGGCATACTCGTGACTCAAAGACTGGAACTTCTTCTGGCAACCCGCGCAGGGGCCTGACACACGAGTCACGTGACACGGCCACCGCCCAACTTCTGCCAGCCATGTGGCCGAATCGCCCCGAGATCGAGGTGCGTGCGCTGGAATTCGCTCAACGCGCGCACGAGCAGGAAGCCGTGCAGGCGTACGCGGGCAGGATGATCATCTATGATGGCGCCCGCCCGGCGCGAGCTACGCTGGATCATGGAGTGCAACGCGAGATGCGATGGGCAGGAAGGGACTTGCAGCTAGTTGAGTCGTGAGTCCAGACAGATGTTGATCGTGATTCACGGCGCTTGAGCATGACGACCACATCATCCACCTTGTTTCTGGTGCCCCCCCTTTTACAAGCTTCCTAAAAGCAGCAGTAGCATCATGTCCGCTCGTCTTTTCAGCTCTCGAAGCTTCCAAAGCGTCGCTCCTCGGGGCGCACGCTTCGCATCCAACCTTCCCATCCCTCCAAAGGTGGCCACTCCCAACATGGTCTCCTCCGGCGGCAGTTCCAAACGTATGGATACCGTGGTAGACTTTTACAAGAGCTTGCCCAAGGGCGAATCTACGCACAAAACTGGAGGTATCAAGGGAGCCTTTTTTGCGGGAAAGAATGCTAGTGGGAAACCGATCGTCGCTTGGATCGGTGCGATGATTTTGCTCGGTTACACCATCTCGGTGAGTCTTGCGCGCGCTCCTCGACTGATCGAACATTTGAGGATCAGCGTGTATCCGCATTGGAAGTGATTGCCGACTCACTCGGCTGCAACTCTTTTGATTCGTCCTTCGACCGTAGTACCAAACCCACCTCAAGCACCACAAGAACTCTGACCACTAAACGGTGGATGCAGAGGCGTGTGAGGTGAGCAAAAGACCGTTTGTTGGTAGCGCAGGTGGCAGGTGAATGGTGCGAAGGAGGGGCAAGCCCACAGCGTGTTCATCTCAAAAGACAAGAGTAATCGCAAACTGGCAGGTAGCTATTGTCGATGTGATAGCGCCCCGTTGGCTTTGGCGTGCAGTAATAAAGTAGCCGGGCGAGCGCTGTGGGATGGAAGACTGTGTCTTTGGAGTCTTGCCATGTCGACCGCTCCCGGCAAGATCGATTTCAGTCGATGAGGCTGGAGGATGGTCTAACAGCAAGCTGACACTCGCATCATCCTTCACAATGCCTGACGTGGCAGAACACGTGCAGCATTTGCTTCAACAGGCGTGAAAGCGGGTCACGACGAATATGAGGGCACATCTGAAGGGTCCTACTCCGTCTTTTCGATCCTCGAACGTCAAGACAGTTGAACGCTACAACGCACAGCTGTCCACATGTCTCATCAATCCGATAAATTTCGTACATCGTGTGCCAGCGTTGTGGGTAAGAGGCTTCGGCTAGGATGCGCAGTGTGTCACTATCCCTTGATCATTGAACTTCAAGTCTTATTGCGTTGGACAAAGATGAAGCCGCAGATGCTATCACTTTTGGCAAAGCTCAGTACAAGACTTTTCGAAGCATCATGCGGTGAGAGCCTTGATGATAGCCGCTTCGCACTCGGAAGTGGTAGCCACACCGCGCAGATCAGGCGTGAGAGCTTTGCCCTCGCGAATGACATCGTCGACGGCCTTGTAGATGCGAAGCGCGGGGTCAGGGTAGCCCTTTTTTCGAAAGAGCAGTCATAGAAAGAGAAGATCAGCGTGACAAATCGTTTGGCTTGGGATGTGAAAGGGGTAAAAGTGGCTCACCATGTATTCGAGCAACAGAGCGGCTGATCGGATCGATGCGATGGGGTTCGCCTTGTTCTGGCCTGCAATGTCTGGCGCAGAGCCGTGCACAGGTTCTCCCTGTAACGATCAGCATCGGCAAAATTAGCATTGTAGGCACTTGGCTCGAGATCGCGCCGTGTTCATGACTCACCATGAAGAAGCTGTCACCAGCATTGACGCTAGAGACAACGCCGAGCGAGCCTACGAGAGCAGCAGCTCCGTCGCTGATAATGTCGCCGTACAGGTTGGGCGCGACCACAACGTCGAAGACGTGAGGCTCTCTGAAAAGTCGGTACACCATGCTGTCTACTAGCTGCTCATCGAGCGCTATCCCGGCATATCGACCTGCACCTCCGGCAGAGATGGCATCCTTTTCGAAGACGCTCCTCACAGAGGTGCGGAAGAGTCCGTCTGTCACCGACAGGACATTCGACTGCAGCAGAGAGCAGATGTAAAGCGCGGCGCAATACGAGAGACTCAGCGAATGCGAATGAGTCTCGAGGCTATCGGGGCACTGCGAATCGACATCGGAGACTCACCTTGTGGCATACAGTCACTTTAGCAGGCTGAACCTGATTCACAGCATTCCCTTGCCCGGCTTTTTCACGCAGCTGTTGACGAGCGAGAGCAACTTCGAAAGCTTTGCGTCCGATCCTCGTCGAGGCTTTCTCCGTGATCTGTCGGATGGCCCTTGCAACCTGACCGTGAGGACCTTGCTCTAGAGTCTCCGATTTGATGTACTGCGTGGACCGGCACAGCAAGTATCAGCTCTTGCAGCTCAAGCACGGAGCTCCACGAACATGCGACACCGTTCCAGACGGCATCGCGGGTTCTCGGCCTAGAAACGCATGCGCGCGCAGTTCGACGCTTCTTCACTGGCGCACAGGGGAAACTCGACTCGACTCACCAGGCACTCTGTGTTCTCGCGAACAATCACAGTGTCCAACCATTTCTCGTCATCCTTGGTTCCTCTTACACCCACAACGGGTCTGATATTTGCATACAAGTCCAGCTCTTTCCTCAGCTTGACGATGGGACTAGAATAGCCCTCCACTTTGTGACTAGGACTAGAAACGCTTCCGAACATGGCGCCATCGCACTCCTCCTTGAGGATCCTCACAGTCTCTTCGGGCAAAGCAGAGCCGGTCTTTTGAAAATGCTCGAAACCGGCAGCGAGAGGAATGAATTGAAATTGGGGAGCTCCGGGAGTGGCTTGAAGAACTCGTTGAGCTGCTGGCAACACTTCTCGTCCGATGCCGTCCGCCGGCATCATGCCGAGCTTCAACACTCGGTTGGCACCCCGCGCGATGGATGCTGCCGTGTTCGTCATTTTGAATGCTTGTCTTGTGTTGGTTGAGGAGTGACAAAGCAGGCAGTGTGGATGGTTGAATCAGAATACGAAGATCAAAAACGAGTCCGGGTTCACCTGGCAAAGCTGATCAGATATCGCAGTGGATTCATTCAAAATTGATGTGCAATCAAGAATCAAGAATCAATCACAGTTTGAATGGAGCAAGTTGCCTAGCTGCCTGCCCGCACCCGTGGCTTCTTCTTCCTGCATGCACCGCACGCGCACACGTGCAGCTCCACCATCAAATAGCTCCCCCGCGTCCGCCCGGTGCATGGGCCCAGTCATGAGCTTTTTGAGTCAAGAGTCACAGTCAAGAGTTGATCATGAGTCAAGTTGGAGGTCCCGGGGAAAAAGCTTGGAAGAAGCGCTTATCACGTGAGCAGGTCCCAAGGAAACCTCCACCGCGCTCACGTAGCGCCAAGCGTTCTGGCTCTTCTACTTTCATTCACATTTGAACCTGCTATGATGTTCACCTCCATGAGCTGGCTTGGCGAGACTTATTTCCCCACTACCACCTCACTCGATCAATCTTGATTGATACAATTTTGAGTCTCTTCGTGAACCGATAATCCACATTTCTGGGCGCAAGTCGAACGGCTACCACGTGACACCGTAGCCGACGGCAGTGTAGAAGTGGATGAGCTTGCTGCGATCAAGCACACGAGGCACCTCAAACATCAGTCTTCATCTGTCGTGCGCCCTGCTGGCCCCTCGATCGCTGCATCGCTTTCCCTTGACAGCGGTCACAACTTCCAGCTTCTCTCGCAGTCACCGCCACGACCCGACTGTTCATGCGAGGATGTCTTCGACAGCACCCACGCTCGCGGACGCATTAGGTCCAGCACACAACATCGACCTAACTCTGGACCGCATTCAACAGCTGCTTGGACGGCTAGGCTCACCGCAGAATGCGATCCCCGTCATTCATGTGGCAGGCACGAATAGTAAAGGCTCTACCACCGCCTATCTGGATTCCTTGCTTCTGAACGCGATAGGTCTGAGGACCGGTAGATTCAACAGTCCGCACTTGATACAGGAACAGGATTGCTGCAGAGTGTGCGGCAAGGTTGTCAGGGACGATGTGTGGCGAGAAGCAAGGAAAAGAGTGCAAGCTGCTGATGAAGGACTGCCGATGCGCGCATCCGACAAAGAGGAATCGACGTCGTTCATGGAAGAGCAACCTCCACTGCGCTGCACATCTTTTGAAAAGCTGACGGCCCAAGCTCTCAGCGCTTTCGTCTTGCTACCCGAGGCCGAGAGACCAGAAGTGCTGCTCATAGAAGTGGGCTTGGGTGGAAGACTAGACGCCACAAACGTATTTCCTGCCCAGAACGTCCTGGCCAGCGTCATCTGTCCCATCGATCTGGACCATCAGACATTCCTCGGAAACACGCTGAGGGATATTACGAAAGAGAAGGCTGGCATCATCAAGAGCAGAGGCTTGGTTGTGGTGGCAGATCAAAGGAGAGCTTCTGTAAATGACAGTGCCGCGTCATCCTCCTCTTCCTCGCTTCAGTACAATACCGACGTGCCGCTCGACTCGCTACGACATGTACAAGCAGAGCGAAGTCAGATCGGCGTCGAAGCTGCCGAGATTCTGGATTCTGTCCGAGAAGTAGCATTCATGGTTGGGGCGCGTCTTGTCAAGTCTTATGTCCCTTGGCAAGCTCTACAGGCTACAAGCTTCTCGCAGTCCAGCTCGAGCAGTCCATGGTCGACGAGCACCTGGGTCAATGCTCGCTACGCGCCCATTCTGTGGCCCTCGTCGAGCACCTCTGCAAGCTACGCCGGCACATACGCCTCTAGAGCTGGTGACACGCTCATCTCTGGTCCCTCGCTGCACCTTCCTCGAATTCGACCGGCCCTCGTCTCCATCTTGACAGCTCTACAGACATTGTGGGCGGTTGCGAGGGACGAGACGCCATCGGGATTGGGACAAGATGGATCGGATCCGTTCGAGGAGCTGAGGTTGAAGATGGCTTGGGCGCTCAGGGATGATCGGGATGCGACCGATGCTATTCGGTGGGCTTTGAATGGAACGAAATGGCATGGACGTTGCGAGTGGGTGGACGTTGAGCTGCCCACGACGGTACCGGATGTGCCAGCTGAACTTGGAAAGGCAGACGAACAGACCCGAGAGGATAGCGAGGCAATGCCGGTGGACACTCTCTCACAGACTGGCTCCACCTCGTCGGCAGTCCCGCTTCATCTTCTGGTGGACGGCGCGCATAATCCTTCGGCAGCTCATGCTCTTCGCGCATACATCGACCAATGCATCCTATCGCGCGTCGCGACTCTTCGTCGAGACAAGCCAACCTCGGAGATTTACCTAGCAATCAACTGGATCCTCTCCATTTCAGAGGGCAAGGACGTATCGGGTCTTCTTGGTGCTCTTTTCGACGATAGCCGATTGCGAGGAGCCGAGGACGCATTGTCTCGGTCGCTTGCGGACACCCACATCACCACGTCTGGCGCTGATTTCAGCTCCGCGTCGGACAGTGCCGTCACCTTCAGGGTGAAACATCGGATAGCAGTGACTTCGTTCAGCACGCCAGTAGAAGGCATGCCGTGGGTTCGACCACTCTCTGCTCAAGATCTTTCTAGTGCCGTTCATTCCACGCTGTCCTCTGGCGAGGGCGCCGAGATCGAATGCTTCGCAACGGTGCAAGAAGCCTGCACTTGGATCTCGCAAGAAGGAGATGGAAAGACGTTCGTCGAGCTCAACAAGGATGAGTCGCAAGGAATGAGCAGATGCAAGGCTTCGTTCAATATCCTCGCGGGTAGCTTGTACCTCGTTTCCGACCTGTACAGAGCATTCCCTCACTTGCTGGCTGACGGAAGCTCGTGATTCATGTCGCTCAAGCACCGCAATCATGATCGTGCCGCTGCCGAACCTCTCAACATGATGTGTGGTCAAAGCGATGGCAGACAGACAAGGCGTCCGCACGCAGTGACGCAATTTCGTTTCGTCTTGCCAGGGACCAAGCGATACATTTTCTCGCCGACCGCACTAGAAAATATACCGGGAACGCATGTATTCATCATTCTGCAAAGTAGAGCTTGATGACTGGCGTGGCATGAAGGTGCTTGACTGGTCTTTTGGGTTGTGGTACACAATGAGGAGATTGACTGATGGGTCGGCGTTCGAGGATTCGCCTAGGTAAGTCAAGGCAGATGAAAGCTTGGCGTGGTGAGTACCGCAGGCCACCAAACACGTATGATAGCGGTTCAAACGACCTATTGCAACCTCGTCACTTCACTCACCTTGGAAAATTCCATCTCTGGGCATACCTAGTCGCTTCCAACCCTGGTGTACACCAATTGACCACGGTGATGAATGACCTTCTTGATCTGACCCTCGCGAACCAAGTGTTGGATGGCAACGCGAGCCAATGATCCGTTGATCTTCATTCGGTCAATCAATGTGGACTGGCTAATCATCTTGAAGGTGGGAACCTCTTTGAGGATCTTGTCGTAGGTGGGCCTGTCGAGCACGACCATGTTTTGTGCCTAGCAGATCAGACAAAGGTAACCCGAGGGTGAGTTTCTCTAAGGCTGTTTGTGACCGCGACGTGAAATTTCCGCATCATACCCAAGCAATCGCAATGCCAACTCACCTTGTCCTTGACCTTGCCCTTGGACCACTTCTTCTTCTTGGCAGTCTTGGTCGCCGCAGCGAGAATTGCCGACTTCTTGGGCGGCATCTGAAGATGGTTTCGGAATGATGGCGGATGAGCGGCTAAAGCAATAGCGAGACTGAAGAGACAGCGAGACTGGAGGCTTCCGTGATCGTGTGCTTGCAGGCGGTGCGCCTGGAATGGACCTACCGGCTCTCATGCAAGCGCCATGTAGCATGATGGGCACCTTTGCGCGGAGCCACGCCGACCCTGCTGGTGCAACGCAAGCCCACTAGATCTGGAAACCCAAAAAAGGCCTGCCGGTGACGAGTGAACAAGCTCGCGGAGCCCTTTTTCAATGCAGCGTGTTTGCCATTCGCCCCCCGTATTCTTGTTCCTGCTCATCTTGTCAACCATCGTGTGCTAAGCGGCCAACCTCTCTCCTGCAAATCCGACCGTTCCCTCGGTCCAGCGCTTCCACCTTGCCTTCCTTGCCAGCAACGCTAGATATTACTCACCTTGGGCAATCTTGAGGATACGTGAATCGATAAAGAGTGCTGATGGTCAAGAAGACGGGTTGGAGAAACGTACGCTGGCATAGAGCCTGACGAATGCCCCGCAGCGGCGCGCAAGCAGCAACTTTCCGCCGCGCGAGAATTTGCGTGCGGGCGAGATTGAGCCACGTGGCAAAATCTCACGCACAGAGGTCAAAAGTCGTGCAGCAGCAGGCACCAGACGAGCGCGAGCCACGCGCTGGCACTCCACTGACTGACTGCTGTACGTGCTCGACCCGGCCGGGCTTGCACGGGACGTGCGCATGCTTGGAAGCAGCGTCCGTCCCCGCCGTGCTGATGCGTAGGCGCGCGTGCGTGTGTCTGATGTCTATAGCGCACCGCACGACTTGCGCGTGAGCGAGAAGGTTGCGAGGAGTTTGCGGGAAGCATGCTTGAGGGCAAGCAAGATGATCAGCAGCAGGAGGCATGCAGCAGCTGCATCAGCTGGCTAGCAAGGCAGCCGGTGAAGCTGGCCGGCTGCTTGAGCGCATCGTATGGCGAGCGACTCGTGACGACGCTGCACATTGCTACAGATTTCTTGTTTCACCACTCTGACAACCGACACACACCACCGGCCAACATGTCAGCTGCTGCACCAAACTGGAGTCGTATCTCCTCGGCGTGAGTTGGGAGGAGAGCTTTCTGTGAAGGAGGGACGCTGGCCGGGTCAGGCGCGTGACTAGTGAAGGTGTTCAGGTTGGAAGGCGCGCAGAACGGTCTTCGGTAACAAAGGCCGCCTTCCATCCAACCGTACGATCCGTGCTGACACCTGCCTCCTCACCACGCTGCTACCGCAAAGCCTCGGCCTGGGAAAGAACACCACTGCTTCTTTGCAATCTTTTAGAAAGAGAAGCGAGGATGCTCGTAGAGCCTTGACGGCCCTTCAGGCTCAAAGCACCGATGTCGACATTGCTCACTATAGGAGCACTCTCAAGGTGCGCATACAATGGTGTCTCTCGATGAGAGAGAAAGATCGCCAGCAGGGTGGGATTAGTAACGGGCGTCACAGGAGCGGGCGTGCAAGAGTTCAAGGGTTTAGAAGAGGTTTGGGATAGATCTATCACAGACGTGGGGGCGATCTGATGACGAGCCATGCTGTCGCCAAGCACTCTCAATCTGCAATTGTCTACCATACGCGTTCATACGTCGCGACTGTGGCACGAGCGGAGCATAGGGCTGATCCTCGATACGACCCTTCTCGCCAACAGAACCAAGATGTAGTAGCACAGGCAGAGAAGATTCTCAAGGAGTTCAAGCCGGTCAGCTATGATGTCGGAGCTCAACTCAAATCTATCGATGCTTTCGAGGCCAAAGCTGTGAGTGTTGGAGATGCCAAATTGCATCGGAGTCAGACAGCGAGTGATGGGCTATGCGGTATGATGTTGGGGTGGTCTGCTGGGTTTTACCATGTCACGGATATCGAATGCGACGTACCGCAGACAGAGTGTAGTGCTGACATCCCTTTCGATTGATTTGCACCAGGTGGAGCAAGCCCAAGCGACGGCTTCCAAGATCGAGTCGGAGCTGAAGGACCTGAAGGCTACGCTCAAAAACATCGAGGACGCTCGTCCCTTTGATCAGCTCACCGTCGGGGAAGTCATTGCTGCGCGTCCCGAGATCGGCAAGACGGTGGAGGAGATGGTCAAGAAGGGCAAGTGGACTGTGCCCGGCTACGACGAGAAGTTTGGCAACCTTTCCGTCACCTAAGCGTGTGTCGATCGAAACGTTCCATCGCCCTCCCCTTTCGCTCAATTACAAACATGTTAGAGCCCTTCGAGCCAATTTACACATACAACTTCGCACTCTGATTGTTGAATGCCCAAGGCGAGGCAAACGGACAGGCATCCACCAAGGCGCTTATTGGAAGCACAGAGGGTTCGATAGGACCCTCTCGCCATTGGATTTGGCTACTCTTCTGAGGGTACAACGCGTGGTAAGGAGTCTTGCCCGACGCTTGATTTGAGCTCGATGTACCAGTCATTGCATCAAATGGTGAGCCTCCACTCATTCAGAATGACTCAAAGTCTCGTGGGTGGACTGACTGCAAGTAAAGCCTTGGGTATGAAATTGGAGGTGGGAGCGCCTCTGCTCTCGAACCTCGGTCGCGAACCGTGCAACGCGCCATGCGTAGCAATCATGCCGATTGCGAATCGTGAATAATCGTGTTTGTATGCGTCGTTTGATTGATCCACTTTTCATACGACTTCTGACACCCACCTGTGCTTGCCGTTTCTCGCACTCACGACCATACCACCTCATTCCTGACAATCTCGCTCCCCCGCGACATCATAGCTTCGGCTCTGGAGAGCGTCCGCTGGGCCAGCTGCGAGACGGCGTCATCATGTCGAACACGCAAGCATCGGGCTCAGGCTGCAGCTCTGCCTCTCGCAACAGATACGGTGGCGGCGTGACCACATTCATACCGGCCAGTGCACTACATGAGGACGAGAGGGGCGGCACTTCGAACGAGCAAGCAAAGGCAGGTACGGAGGGAGAAGATGGTGCGCGCGCCTCGATAGCTGGACGACGAGGAGGAGGCACAGACGAAGTGGATGTGGCTGGATCGTTTGCTGGACGAGCTGCTAGCATTGTGGATCACAGGTTGCAGACTTGGCTCACACCGCACGCAGCCCGAGGATGGAAGAGGGCGTTTGGGAACTTGCTGGGAAGCTGGGATGGGCTGGAAGCCGTCATGGTAAGTAGCGCAAGCTCACCTTGCGCAGATCGGTAGGTGACCGAGTGCAACTGTTGATTGGACCCCTCTTGCTGCCACAGCATCTTGGCGAGGCAGCTCTTTTGCTCGTTTATTCTCTCTTATCGTCTCCAAAGAGGAAGCTCAGCGCTGTCTCGCCATTGTTACTCTTCATGATCTTTCGATCCTCGACTCGTCGCCAAGCCCTTCAACGTTTACTAGCCACGTCCGAATTCCTCAGCGGCGCTCAAACACTTCTGACTCTAAGCCGTTTCACATATGCCGCCTTTCGAACCATGGTGGACTTTACAAAGTTCCAATTCCCTTTGTTCCATGGGCGAAGAAGGGATAGAACAGGGGTCATCATCAACAGCACGGAGAAGTGGACGGATTTGAGAAAGGATGATCAATTGAACCATCCTGATGAGGCTCACGCAACCGGTCGCAATGCCCAGTTGGCAAAGTTGTACTACAATCTGTATCAGAGCTTTCATCTGCTGGCACAACACTCGGCTGAGCTCATGATCATCACCGGTGAGACTTTGGAGCTGGCTTCGTACTTGGGTCATATGCACAAAGGCTTCATGGTGGGAGAGAAAAACAGCCTGAGGTATCGGATCGTGTCAGGCTTTGGACTCAGAAGCAGGACCAAGACGGAGAGGATTGGACTGATGTGAGTGCGGGCGATGAATTCTGATCAGCGGTCCTTCCAATGCTTTCGTGCTGCATGACTGACGTTGGGACTCCATCCCTGGCCTGACAGCCTTGGATTCTCTGGACGAGTGTTGCTGCTGTTGGAAATGCACTTCCGACTTCGCCATATCAGAAATTCGCTTCTGCGTCGTGCAAACGCTCGATTGATAGCAGCTACCGATCTGCTCAATAGCACTGGGGACGCACGAGACTCTGCAAGGTTGCTAGGAGGTCGCAGGATGGAAGTGCACGAGGCAATGGCTGCTCGAGAGAGGGGTGCGGCACATCGTCGACCAGTTGAACCTCAGCATGACGTGCATGGCACTGAAGATTGCGCCTCGGAGAGCAGCGGATCCTCAACGGCTCAACCCGAGGATACTGCAGATAGGCAGACCACCTTTCATTCCAAGGATTTGGCACTTTTGTCAAAGACGAAATCTGCTGAACAGCTCCTTCGCAAAGAAGAGATCAATATACGAGACTTTAAGCGAGAAATTTCGGCTCTCAAGATGGAAAAGTGGGCTTTAAGGGCCGAAGCGCTGTCGGGCTACCTACAAATTTGGCTGCCTGACCGAGACAATACCAGGACAGAAGCAGTCTGCGAACTCTTTGCTGCGTTGTTGGAGGCCAATAAAGTGGCCAAGGATCTCTAAAGTCTTGGCTGGCCCTTGTCTTTCACGCCTTACCCCAAAAGTCTCTGCCTCTGCCTTCCAAACCTCACTCGCACGCCTGCTGCCTTACTTTGTGTCACCGTCTTTCTCTAATTTCACAGCTCAAGAGTCAGAGTCACTCGATCCTCACCCACTTCAATTGCATTACTATCGCAGCGTCGATTGTTTGTGACCCGCCACGCTAACTGTCGGCCCTTCTTCAAATGAGGCCATTGGTCCCACGGTCGCGCCGGCCCTCACGTTCGCCTCCCCCGCTGCTGCTCAAGCGGCATCACCGCCAGGCGCCGATCCGACTTGGCGACGTTCCAGCTCCCGAGCTTGTCTTCTTTCCATCGAGACGCGCAAAATGTCTCGTCTACAAAAGTCTCTCAGGAACAGCTCGTGCTGCTCCTCTCCGCGCTTGTCCAGTCCACGTCGATGAATCTTGAAGTACCTCGTCAGCTTGTTCCAGATGCCTCCCAGATGCGGGCGCCTGATCTGGCCCAGATGAAAGTAGTTGGCACCAGCGTTCACACTGTCCCAAGCCTTTCTAATGGATGGGGTGGACTTGCCGACCTTTCTGATGCGGCGACCGTCGTCCGAGTCGGTGTCGCTATCGTACCCGCAGCGCGGATCGAGCATCGAGGTTGGGTCATCGCGTCTGCACAGCTCTCGCTTGGAGAGATGCTGAGACCGTTGATGCTCCTCTTCCTCTTCGAGACTGCGCTTGTGAGGCGAGAAGTATCTGAAAAGCTGCGAAAGGAGGCTGCGATTGCTGGGACGTCTGTCTTCGGTCATGTGCGCCTCGCTTTTCCAACTGGCAGCCTTGACGACCTTCTTTGCAGCTTTTTCGGACGCTCTTATCTGTGTGCGGATGTATTTGCGATCCTCGTAGGGATGGCGAAGCACGTCCTTGTCGCTCATGCCGAAGCAGCGAGGGTCCAGCATGGACAACTCTCGTCGCTCGATGGAAGATTCACCTCCGTCGCCTACAAAGGAAGGTGCATCCTCGCGACGTTCCATGTTCATCTTGAGAGCTTGGTGAATGAGTCCCATTGGTACATTGCGCGCGACCAGCACGGTCACAACTTCAGGACCACTTTGAGAAGCGCGCTTGCCGATAGGAGCTGCATTGGCAGTAGCGGCAGCCGCCTTGGTTCTTTTGTTCAGCTTCGCCTGCGCGCGCTTAGAGAGACGAAGGCGAGGTCTGGACTTTGCACTCGACCCCGATTCGCTGTGGGGTTGATGACGAGCGAGTCCGAGAGGCGATGCCGAAAATCCGTCACTCTGGGAGCGAGGCTCATCAATGGCTGCCTTGTCGCTTTCGACCCGAATGCTGGGTGCTCGACGAACGACTTTGACCTTCAGGGAGTCGACCTCGGACGTCGGCTCTGCGAAAGCAGAAGTAGCAACAGCCACAAAGATGACGAGCGCTGCGAAAGCAGCGGAGAAACGCATGATTGCTAGCCACAAAAAAAAAGGGGGGAAAAAAACGTCCCGATCCTGCGGATGTATAGAACTTTGAATTGGACTGGAAGAACAAGAAGACTTGCGCGCCAGCACGCCAGGTGGTTAAAGCAAAAGTGGAAGGATGAGCTTGGAGCCAACAAGAAAGGGACGATGGGTTTGAACGGCCTTCTTAAACCTTCTTCATCGCGCCCGAGCCTGCCTGATCCGTAAAACATGCCACACGCACGGCGCCGACTCGAGGAAGAGGCAAAAAGGGCCATAGCGAGCCGCAGTGCGGTGGCGCTCGCCCTTCGAAGCTTGCTCCTTCTAAGCGCTGCGAATTCCCGGGCAACGCGGCAGTGGCGCAAACGGTCTGCACACAAATTGACCGACCGACCGACCGACCGACCAGCGAAGCGCCGTAATGCGCGGGCTAGCGACAGTCTTTCCCATTGCGAGTCAATAGCTCCAAACTCGGACCTGGCAGTCCAAAATCGAGCGCATGGATCTGGCTCGTTGTGCAATGGGCTAGAAGAGCTAGGCGACCTTTGCGCACGCGCGCTGGACATGCACTCGCGAACGGCCTTGCCACCGGCCACATGGCCACTCGCCACCTCTTCTCAGCGCTGGTCAGCAAAGGAAGCCAGGAGTCCCTGAATCGTTGGCTCCTTCATGATCGCTGGTCGAAGCGCTTACGCCTTACGCGTCAGTCTTGCGAGACGATGATACGCCGAGCCAAGTGACCCGAGGCTGCGTGTATATGCAGCTTGTCTGCGCTGCGCCGCTGATCGATTCTCTTCCTCGATCATGACCACCCGTCCCGAAAGGCTTCCGCCGCCGCCCCGTGGTGCGGGACGATCGGGCGTCGAGGGAGACCGAGGAGTCGCTCGCCGACCCCATCAGCGTGGCGTCAAAAGTAATCGGGCGGCGTGCGAGGCCATGGCGGCAAGCAGCACCCAAGCATTTACAACGATGCTTGACAGCGCCGGTTGGCGGTGCATGCAGGCGCTCTAAAGAGGGGCTGAACGGCCACTGTAGAGGTGATTGGGTCAGGACAGTAAGGTTTGCGAGGATACCGCTTTGTACCCTGCCCTCCCTCCGACCGAAAGACCAACTCAGCCACTCGCTTGTCGGGTCAGCCGCGGGCTTGCAGTCTTGGCAGATCCCGGATGGTTTAGCATGCATTCCGTGTCTATACTTTTGGTCGCCAGATGAATAAGCACTCAACGCACAGACCGAGCTCTAAGCAAATTTCGCGTTTTGCAATGCCCTAACTTTGCGTTCTATTGTGCAAGCCGTGGCGCTCGCGCATTGTGCTCCAGAGCCCGAGTCGCTACGCAAAGGGCATTTACACTTGGAGCAAGCCGTCGCTTTCCAAGGTCAGAATGGTGGCGTGGACTCCCTCAGCAATGGTCATTTGAGAGAGGTCGAGGGTCAGGTCGGCGTTGGTTGGCTCCTCGTAAGGGTCATCGACACCAGTGAATCCCTTGATCTGCCCTGCTCTCGCCTTTGCGTAGATGCCCTTCCTGTCCGTCTGCTCGGCAACTTGGAGTGGCGTAGAGACGTGAACGAGGAAAAAGTTGCCCGCACCTCCCGTCTTCTGCACGGTCTCCTTCGCGAGCTTGCGAGACGCTTCGAACGGCGCAATCGGAGCTGCAATCACCGCTGCGCCGGCACGCGTAAGCTCAGCGGCAACAAAGGCAATCCTCTGAATGTTCTTGTGGCGATCCTCTTGACTGAAGCCAAGCTCAGAAGAGAGCTCGGACCTGACCGTCTCGCCGAGAAGCAAGGACACGCTTCTTCCGCCTTGCTCGTTGAGCTTGACCTGCAGAGCACGAGCAAGATCATCCTTGCCCGAGTTGTAGAGTCCAGTGATGAACACTGTGAAACCTTGCTGTGCCTTGGGGGGGTAGCTTTCCCTAAGCGTCTTGACGACCGACTCGTAGCTGAACCAATCGGGAATGGGCGCTCCGTTGCGCAGCCTTCGACGCAGCTCCGTGCCCGAAATGTCGAGCGTTTGTGTGCCAGCTGCAACTTCATCGACTGGCTGGTACTCGTCCGAAGCCGGCAAATAGGTCATCTGTTGGAAAGGAACCATCTCGATGCCAAGCTCGTCCTTGAATTGGGTGACCAGAGTCTGCGCATCGTAGGGCCCATAGAAGTCTTTGCCACTACTGTCCTTTCCGGGACCTGCGTGGTCGCGGCCAACGATGAAGTGAGTGACGCCGAAATTCTTGCGAATGATGGCGTGCCAAAGAGCTTCGCGTGGGCCACCCATTCGCATGGCCAAGGGCAGCAGAGCCAGATGAGCCATTCCCTTGGGGTAGCGAGGCATCAGGGATTGGTAGACTCGCACCCGGGTGTAGTGGTCCACGTCTCCTGGCTTGGTCATACCGACGACGGGGTGGATGAGAACATTGGCTTGCCTTTGACGAGAAGCGCGCACAGTCAGCTCTCTATGAGCTCTGTGCATGGGATTTCTGGTTTGGAAAGCGACGACTTTCCTCCACGCAACCTTTTGGAAGTGCAGACGAAGCTCAGCAGGAGTGTAGCGCAGCTCGACGTAGTCGTAGTAGCGAGGTCTAGAGATCGCTTGGACTGCTCCTCCAACGTAGAGTTCCTTGACGTTGTCGTGCAGGTAAGCGACGGCAGGGTGAGCGCGGTCATCCTTGCCAAACACCTTGGCGGCCTCCTCTTGCTTCTTGGCAGGGTACAAGTCCGACACTGGAGATCGTGCGCATGCGGCACTCGTTCGTCAGCGACACAGGCGGAGGTGTGAGGTGACCAGTGCGCAAATGCTCACCCGTCAGGATAGCGATGGGATTGTCATCTCTGGGGTCGCGCAGAGTGACGCGAGCACCAGCCTGAATTTTGAGAGCCTCAGCTTGATCCTTGCTAACATCAAGCGTGATCGGCATGGGCCACAGTGCGCCGTTGGTGAGGCGCATGTTGTCCAGCACGGACTGGTAGTCTGCCTGGTTTAAGAAGCCCTCCAGAGGTGAGAAGCCGCCATTGATGATGAGCTCGAGATCGCACAATTGTCGCTGCGGGTATGGAGCAGCGCAAAGAAAGCTTAGCTTATCGGGGATCGCAGAGAGGCGCTTGGCTTGGAGGCTGTCTTGCTCACCTCGGTCAGGATAATGTCGGGCAGCGACTTGGTCTCTGCAAGCAACTGAGCCTGAATGGGAGTGTCCCGGACAACGAGGTCCTTGAGGACACCACCGTGCGGAGGATTGGCCATGATGAAGGAAACGTACAAGTTGCGGTAGAGACGAGTATCAGAGACTACTTGATGGTGGGTGGTGTTTGGTGGATGAGGGCTGTGGTCGAGCGTGCGAAGGATCTTCCTAATGCAAGCCAGAACCAATATTTGAATGCGCGCGTGTGGAGAAGTTGAAGCGAGGCAACTTTGATTGCGGCGGGAAGACTTTCATTGCCTGACGGTCAGCAGGTAGCGCGCACTGGCACAGCACTGCACGCCTCGCATGCCGCCGAAGCTGACCGACAGAGCCAGCAGAGAGCACATAGATGAGAGGGCTGCTGCCTAATACGTACAATTAAGCGCACTCGACCTCCAACGGCACAAAGCACGCAATTCTCGGCTGCGTCCGAAACTTGGGTCGCGACTTTTTCACTGCTGCCCTTCTCTTCTAGCTTTGGTCTCGATGCTCTGCTCTTCTGCCTGCGGCCGCCTTGCGCGCGAGCGAGCGAGCGACCCTTGACGCGTGTTAATGGAGAGGAATCAAATTTCTTCTCATTTTTGCAAGCCACACGCACATCCCGCCCGCGGCGCGCACGCAGCGATCGGAGCGACCATGAAGCGGCGCACATGCGCGTGTGCTCGTGTGCTCGTGTGCTCGTCGCGGTTCACGCACTCACCATTCACGTGATTCGTGATTCGTGATTGCCGTTTACGCGTGCATGAGGAGCATATTGGCACGATGAGAGAGAGCATCAACACTCGCGACTCGGTGGGAGCGTTGCAAGTTTCAGACTCCGCAGGCTCCATCATCCTGATGACTATAGCTATAGGTATATTTTAGAGAGAGGCCTGCGAAACGCTTCATTCGAAGCTCTTGGCGCTTGTTTCGGAGCTTAGAAGATATGCTAAAGTTCCGATCATGATTGACCGCGGCCCATGGGTGCTGTATAGCGTATAGCAGGAGGCTTATAGAGGCAGTCGTCAGGAGCACTCGATCGACTTCGCGCCTGTGCGAGTCTTTCAGAGCGACGGTAGCCCGGCCTATGCTGCTGCCCGTCTCTGCCTGAGCAAGGTTGCGGCGGGCTTGTGCGGTTTCGCGACTTGCACGCGGCAATTAAGGTCATGCGAAGCCACATACATATGCACGCGCACAAGCCTGCGCGGCACCAGCAAGAACGCACGGCCGACACGGTCGGCGTCTCTGATCGCAATCATCAAGCAAGTTGTCAGCAGGTATAGGTCAAGTTGACTCGAGAACATATGCAAAGTTGAACAGAATAAGTGCGCCCGCGGCACAACTTTTGTGCTTGCCGCTTTTTCCTGAGGGCATAAAAAGTCGATCAAGTAAGTCCCAACTCTGACTCTGACTTGCTCACTCACGATTGCATCCATCTTGACAGGCTCTTGCTAGCTCCTGCCAGACGCACGAGAGGGAAAAGATTGAGCACTGAATTGATCGCTTGCAGTCGTGAGTGTACCACACGATGCGAGTCTGCAATCTGCAACAGATTCGCTGATGTTCGACATCTGCTGAGCACGCCATCGCGCGTCACATTATTGCCAAGACATCGAGCTGCATCGTTCTACTTCATGCGTCTCCCGGCCAGGCCATCTCCATCATGTTGCAAGCTTCTCTCCCGCGCCGGTCATCTTCTTGCTTTGAGTGGCCGTGCCAGGCAAGGAGAGAGCTTGTAGCCAGATCGCAATCATGGCAAGCAGATCAAAGAGAGTGCATCCATATGAGAAGTTTCACACTATTCTCACAGCGTCGCCGCAGGGTACAACAGCGAAGTGTTGGCGAGGCAAGCCACATCTCATTATTAAAAACGGCTGTAGAAGAGTGAGGATGGCAGGTTGATCATCTAGACCGTCGGCGTACAAATGTGGCAATGACATCAAGAGTCTCGGCCCAAATAGGTGGAGAGACGGGGCAGTTTGTAAGTCTATATTAGGCAGTAATGTGTGTTAGCTGGGCCGATGGTGCACCATAGCAAGAAGCAGCGCATGCAGCGCAGCGAGAGCGGTCCTCGAGCACGTCAAGCAGACCGTCGTACATCTGGCGCGCTAGCACGCAGCAGCATCGCGGCTCGTCCAATTGTTCTCCCACTGAGACGAGAGCGAGGTGGAAGTGGAAGTGGAAGTGGATAGGTTACTAGATCGATGTCGTGTGGAAGAAGGGGTGCCAGCAAGAGAAGTCGTCGTTCGCGTTCGCACCGGCGAAGCGGTCGGAGAAGGTGCAGGCGAGCTCTTGACGCCCATCGTGGAGAAGCTGGTGCCGCGAATACGTGTTCCGGTAGTCCATGGTCTTTCACCCTCCGCCGATATACGGGGCACGGCCTGCTTCAGAGGAGCAAGATCATCCTTGCTGTAAGTCGCTGAGCCTACAGGAGTCGCGCTTCCTGAAGAATCTGCACTGGGCTGTGCGGCTTCGAAAGGAGTCAACTCTGCGCTTGACACCATCCCACTCGCGATTAGTAGCCTGCTTGGCCGTTTCGCCAATCGCGGTGGAGCAGGGAGCGAATGTTGAAAGCCATCCAGCGGTCTCGGAGCAAGCTTGTGGTCTGCAGGCAGCTGCGACTCCATGCTTCGATTAGGGTGCGGCGAGAGACCGGCTTCTCGTGCCGGAGGAGATCCAAATGTGCTCAGCACGGGGGATGGCGACTGACCAAATGCAGCAGGCTTCAGCAGCGTGGGACTGGTACGGGGTCGTGCTGATCGCATGCCAGGGGAAGGGAAGGCTCGAGGCTCGGCGTCTGCGCTGGCGATCTCAAAAGCTCGAATGCGATCAATCGTCGCAATGAGCTCATCCGGCGGCAAGATGCGCTCAACGACCGGGGGAGACGAATGCGGAAGGGCTTTCATCTCAGTACGAGGCGATCTGCGCGTCGGTTTCTCAGTCTGAGGACTGATCGGTGCCAATTCAAACCCGTGCCTCGACCACATGGGGCTTCCCGGAGTCGTTGGACCAGCAGTAGATGCGTCAGATAAGCAAGGCGAAGTCAGATCCGATGCAGTCGTTCTACTGGAGCCTTGTTGAGCCATTGCTTGACTTGCAGGGAACAGTGCTGGACCTGCATTGCGTTGGCGACCGTTGCCATCTTGCACATCGGTGCAGGAGGCTAGACTGATGACAGGTAGGGACGATGACCCCTTGACCGAATCGTCAGCTACAGCTTGACAACGCTTATTCGCAAGACGTTTGTCAATGCTCGCGTCGCCAGTCATGACGCTGGTATCCTGTCTTTCGTCGGACTTGACGAACTCGGAGCTCGGGGAGCAAGAGTCGATGGTCGAGCTTCTGGCCTCGATGTGTCGCCTATTCGGCCGTGGCGGTCTCATCGAGCTGTTGCCGCCAAACCTCGCAGCAAGATTGAACAGCGAAGGCGTGCGCATGAATCCAGCCTTGCGTGCAGAGGACGAAGATGAAGACAGTGATTCGCTCGATACGCTCGCGCTTAGAATGGACCCGTAGCCATAAGGATGATCGGGCGCGCGCAAAGATTCGTTGCTGGCTTCTCGCCCTCCTTGTCCTTTCGACCAGGGTCGACTGAGCGCATGACCCTCTGCGGATGTAGGCGTGACAGGCGAAGTCGCTCCGTGGCCGGTGGCTGATCGTTTGTTGGTCCCGACGCGAGAGCCATAGACGAAGGAGCTCGATTCTGTAGGACGCCCAATCTGCTCGAGGTCCAGCCCAAGTCCAGAGCAGGCTCCATTGAACTCTCTGCCCGTCATGGTCGATGCCGAGGCTTTGCGAAGCATGTTGAAGCGACTCTGTGCCGACGTCTTGTCGTCGGGCACTTCGAGCGACTCGACAGCAGGACTTTGCCTCTGATTGCCCGACCCTCCTTTCGCAGCCTGCGTCCACGCGTCTAGGGTACTGTTGGAGCTTTGACTGCTGGTCGGTCTCGCGCCCTCGACGCCGCTCGCACTGTCCGAAGTCTTTACGAGGGCGAATGATTGCAACTTGGGCGAGGAGAGTCTGTTGATACTCTCTAGCTTCAACGCGGTGAGCACAGGTGGAGGCGAGCTGATCTTGGAGTCGGTCCGTCGGTGAGCGCTCGAGGAGCTCGTCCTCGACACTTCGATCGACGTTCCAGTCGATGTGCTTGGCCGCCTGTGAGCGCTGAGAAGACTTGCCCCGCTCACTTCGCTGCTGCACGTCGAGCTGTGGCTATCGCGCGGCACGCTCAGGCTTGAGCGATGCATCGACCCTCCAGAGGACCTCCTAGCAAGCGCCAGGGCAGCTGCATTAGCATCTGACATCTCGGGAACATTCTCGCCCTCCCTCCTTCGCAGTATCCGCCCAACCGTAAAGTCAGATCTGATGATCCTTGAAGACGTGGATTGGGATGCTGGCAGCATGGTAGAACGCGAAGTATTTATTTGAGAGGTCTCGGAGCTGTTGAAGAGGGGGACAGGAGGTCGCTTGTGTCTGCTCGAAGGTCGCGAAGATGAGACGGAGTTCCGTCGCGGGCTACCATTCTGATTGATGGAGCAGCAGAGCGCATCTGTCCACCGACTATGCGCGTGGGCGTCTGGGGCCCGCAGGCGCATGTTGGTCGTTGGCATGACGGGAACAGCGTAGCTCCAAGCCGACCCGTGCGATTGAACGCTTTCGCATTCCGGTGATGGACTCTTGGAGTCTCGCATCGAGTTGGACGTCCATGATCGATCATGTCGCACTTGGCTGGAGAGAGAAGACGCGCTGGACGTGGGTGACATGACATGCGACGATCCGTCCGGCCCTCCGGATAACAATTTGAGAAGACGCTTGGAGCCCAACGACATTTTGGTCCACCGTCCGCTTCCTCGTCGATTCTCCTTGAAGCCGTCGGCTTGAGCTGCACACGCGTCGCGGTCATCCTGGCCTTCAGAGGGCGAGAAATGATGCACGCCTGCAGAAGCTGAAGGAGACGAAGGACCTCGCATACTTTCGGAGGCTTGGCGAGATGATCCAGGTGTAAACGTGTCGGCACACCGATGAAATGCGGCACTGAGACTGCCGCTCGTCGCAGAGCGAGGGAGCATACGATGCCTCT